GGGGGGGAGTGGGGGAGCCATACTTGAACGAGGCACTCTCATCATCCCCCAAAGAATCAAACACCATGCCATCATCAACCTTTTCACTACCCACCTCCCTCCTCGCCTTCTTCCACCCCTTGCCCGCAGAAGCCATCCCCTTCCGACCCACAAAGACAATCTCCTCGTCCTCGCTATCCCCCTCGGCATCGCTCGCCTCGCTGCGCTCCTTCAAGAAACTCCGCACGGGCTCCTCGAGCACGCGCACCCAACCCCGAACAGCGGGCGTCCGCTTCGCCGTGTCGCGCAGGTCGCGCGGCACCTCGCCGACGGCCAGTCCCGTCGCGGACCCATCTTTGCGCTGCTGCTTCTTGCGCTGCGCCTGGAGTTTGGCCGTCTTTTCTTCGATGCGCTGGCGGAGGCCCGTGTCCCAGTATTGGGCTACCTGGTAGGGGACGACTTGGACTGGGTAGGTTGGGTGGACTTCCCAGTCGCTTGGGAGGGGAGGTTGAACGTTGGGTACGCCAATGAGGCGGTCTAGATGCGAGGAGTACGGTTAGCGGTGGTGGTTAATGTGGATGTGCCGTAGGGGCAAGTCGATCAAGATAATGACTCTTAGGCCAGAGTGAGAAGAAGGGGAATAGACGCACCATTCTCCCATCGCCGACGCGCCCTGCTGCCCTCATTACCCTTCAGAAGCTGCTCCCTCTTCTTCTGGCTATCTCGCCTGCTCAGGGGCCGCCGGATAGGCGTCTGCTGTATAGTCGTCGTCGCCTCGGCGGCGATCGTGACGGCGGCGGCGGCAGAGGCCTTTTGTACCTGCTCGTCGAGGTTGATGGCCAGCGGGGTTCCCGTGCCGCGGGCGACGGGGCTGACGCTCAGGGCCTCGAGGGCGGAGACGGTCCACGCCTCGATGTCGACCGAGCCGGCGGTCGCGCTCTGGGCGGCGACGTGGGCAGCAACCGGGGTCTGGGATTGGGGCGGCGGGACGACGTCGTTGGGGGTCTGGTGGTCGATAACATCGGGGGGAGGGACGGCGCTGAAGATTGCCATGCTGGGCAGATGGAGTGATGCTCGTGGAGTGGTGGTTTCGGTGGTGGCTGGATCAGTGCTTGGAACAGATGGACGTCGGATGTCGAGAACGCGGAGAGGAGATGTGAGGTAAGGTAAGGTAAGGTAGGGTTCAGGGCTGCCGATAAGGGGCGATAAGAGCGGCGATCGCGGGGTGCCCGGATGCTGCTGATAAGAGTCTAGGGATTCGGGGTGAATGCTGGATCCGGGTCTTTGAGGCGTCTACTGCAAGTTTGAGTGTTTGTCTAAAGGGTTTGGCCGGTGAGCAATTCTAACACTGTTAGGAGTCTAATGTAGGTTCATGTATGATGATGATAATAGTTGAAAGGGGGATGATGAGCGAGGTGGGAATGAGAATGCCGGGGAAGGTCGCTGCGGACCGGGGTTGGCTTAGCTCCGGGGGGGTAGTGCGCATGACACACTTCATTTCGGAGCTTGGACCAATCACGACGCGAGCGCAAACCACGTCTCCTTTTTCGGCGTGATTCATGGGTAGCTCATCGTTGCGGCTCTGAATCGCCATGTCTTGAAAGAGCGCAATGTTGAAACAATATTGAAAATGAGACGATTCAGCTCGCTTTCCGCTCGCTGCGAATGGATTCCGCATGGCGGCATTCACACGAGCAAGACCTCCATAGATAGCCTGGGTATTTCCTATCGAGCCTCCCAGAATTGGACGGATATTAAAGTAAGGTAGTAAGGTGTTCCAAGGTAAATCGGTTTCGCGAGAATGGACGGGACCCCCAAGGACATCAGCCAGGCTCCGCCGCAAGCGATATCTGTCAACGTAATACTTTCCTGTAGTAGACACGATGTGCTACTTCTCTCAAAGCGACGACGTGCAGAGGACAAGGACATGATGCAGTATCTGGCGAAGATGCGGTATCCACAGGATTTCGGGGAACAGCAATTTCAATTGCGCAAACCACGAAATCTGAAAATGCATGAGCCTCCACCAAAAAAGGTCCATCACCATCTGGAAATAAAGGTCCCAATTGAGAATGTCCGTTCCAATGCAATAGGGGTTCTGATGTAGCCCTCAAAGCATCTTATCCGTCAACTCAAGAAAGCCTACAGCCAATCCTCCTTGTATTAACTCCTGTCACTCAGAATTGATCCAGCAGCTTTCCAAACCATATATCGCCTTACTCTGCCAAGCCATCTTCGCGCTCCTCATGGATTGACAGCCCAAGAAGACTTGACAACCGCCTAGGTGCCGGACTAAGACTGCTGGTCAGTAGGCAAGCTGAAGCAACGGGTCTTCGAACTTACTACTCTGCGGTCACCTGTTTGTATCGGACAAGCCAATGCTTCCTCAGACCTCCCTTGGGCCCTTCCACTCGATTCGGACAGGAGGTTCGACACCTTTGCAAACGCCGCAAGAATGTGTGTCAAGAACCTAAACCAAAAGTCAACGATCACAAAACATAACATGAGCAGAATCCGAAATACTTGTTGTTTTGCAGAACAACGTGCCCATGGTCTCCTGTTTCAGAACGTTAGCATTTGTCATGTATGATGCGTGGATCGAGGTGTGATATGCTCGCCTTTGGCCCGCTTGCGACAAATACCAAGGCCCATGGCGCTGATTGGTGATGCCTTGCAAGTTCTCTCTGCCATGCTCGATTGCGATTTCCGCCCGCTGCTTGTAAGCCCGATGTGGCTGCATTAGCAATCAAAGGACCAATGACGCGGGATGTGTCTATATCATACCTGCGCTGACCAGTAGCTTCAACTGGGGAAGATACAAGAGAACAAACTCTTTATGGGTACGCGTGGGGTGGATGGCGCAACTTGCGTATGCTTCTAGCGTCCCAAAATCCGCGACACAGAGACATAAAAGGACCAAACAAACCGTTCACTCATGATGAGCTGCTCTCAATGTTGAGAGGAATGGTTGAGCAATCAAACTGCCGATTGCAAGAAGTGTGCTGTGAAGAACATACACCAGCTAGTCGGAATTCTGGCCCCGTTATCGCGTGTTAATGAGGGTTTTGTTGCGAAGAGTTCCAAGTAGTGAGATCGCATCAGAAAGGAAGGTTTTCATTCAATGAGTGATAGAATGCTAAATCAGGGCCAAGGCTGGTGGCCGTGGTCGAGGTTGGGGTGCTCCCGCCATCGGGCCTTGAGGAGGCTGTCAACAGTCAATGTTTGAAGTCGATTACGAGAGTGTCGAAGGGTTCCTGCCGCTAGACACCCGATGCAAAGGTAAGGCAAAGGTGCCATGCAGTTGGATGAGCGAGTGGTGTCTCGTTTCTGCTGCCGCAGAAACTTAAGACAGATACACCGATGGTGTTGAGAGGAAACAAAAAAAGGCTGAAGAGTCTTTTGAGTGTTGTGCTTTTGCTGCCTTCGAAGTAAATCGAAAAATAGGATATTCTTAAAAGGATTGAATCATGTGAAAAGGGTTGAGCTCCTGCCGCCGGAAGAATGGAGTGAAGGATTGGAGCTGTTGGATTCCTGCTGCCCCAGAAATCGAGTGAATGTGAGAGAAAGGTGCTGAAATTGAAGTATGTGCCGTGTGAAGTGTGGGTTTCCTCCCGCCCGAGGAATGGAAGTGGAAATTCAGAGGTGTTCAATAAAATGAGGTGTTGAGTTTCTGCTGCCCCAGAAACATAAAGTGAGGACAAAAAGGTGCCAATGGAGTTTATGCGTATTTGCGTGTCGAGGTCCTGTTGCCCAGGGAAATAAAGTAAAAGCTGAACCGGGTTGAAGTGCCGATCAAGAGTGAAGTGCTGGGTTTCTGCTGCCCCAAAAACATGAGTTGGAGTCTAGGATTGCTAGAGGAATGAATATTCGAGTGAAGCATCATGTTCCTACTGCCCAAAGAACATGAATTGAAGAGAATAAAGTGACGAGCCGGAGTGAAGAGTTGCGTCAGAGTGAAGTGGCACGTTTCTGCTGCCTCAGAAATATGATGTGAGACAATCGTTGCGTGTTCCTGCTGCCCCAGGAACGCGGAATCAAGAACGAAAAGTCGAAGACGACGAAATCGCTCATGTATAATGGAATGTCGAGTGTCTATGGCCCAAGAAACGTGAAGTTAAATAAGGGCCAAGACTCAGACATAAAGAAATGCCAGAACTGCTGAATGAAAACAGTTCGTCAAGTTTCTGCTGTCCCAGAAACGTCATGTGAGTAGAAAGTGTGAAAGGTACCCAGTGATTTGAAAGGTGAAGTATCGAGCCCTTGATGATTCAGGAGCTCGAAGTTGAGAGCCAAGAGAAAAGTCGATGAAGTCGACTGATGTTGTAGACAATTGGGTGCCGAGCTTCTGGTGCCAACAGAAGCAAAGTGTGGAGAGTGAGAACGAGACCCCGAAAGAGAGAGAGAGAGAGCTTGCGCAAGGTGAGTGTGGCTACCAAGCTCCTGCTGCCGCAGGAGCGTGGAGCGAGAAGCAAAGAAGAACCGCCAATGAAGGTAGCCAAGTTGAGGTGACCGACTTGAGATGAATGGGTCGAGAGTTTCTGCTGCCCCAGAAACATGGTTTGAGGATGGTCCGAAGGTATGTGTGATAACCAAGTATGATCAGTGAAGGATCAGATTGAGTATTGGAAGAGAAAACGACCACCCGTGTGCTGCCTTGGACTAGTCATGATGCCCTCACTTGCAACGGAGAAGCAAAAATGCTTTCCATGATGAATGAGATGACATAAGTGCTGTCGTGAATTGTTCAATGGACAATGTGTCCCAGCTAGGCGAGTGTGCGTGAGACGCAACAGGCCGTGTTGTGGCTGGGACAGACAACCCCAGCGAATTGAGTTAAAGGTTTGGGGATGGTTGTAAACGAACAGGTGTCCTGTTTGACGACCCTTTAGAGAGACTGGTGCGTCATTCGACTGGTAGAAATGTGTCATTCAACTGAGGTGTTGATCGACTGAAATCTCAATTGACTGATATGACGTCCGAGATCGAGGAAAGTGATGATCATTGAGTGAAGAGTGATAGTCGAACCTCAAGGCTAGATTTGGATGTTCGCCGAGGTTGATGACCGAGGTGATGAGCCTCTACTTGATTGCAGTCTCGAGCAGGTAGCTGTGCGTGCTTCCTGCGCCGAAGCCACATTACACAAGGTTTGATGGTCGTGCAATAGGTCCCGTGTGTTGAGATGAGTGTAGAGTGTTGAGACTGCAATGGATCCTGGGGTGGGTAGTGCCTGGTGTGTGTCTGAAGGTTGGCAAGTTTTCGAAGTCACAATGTTTGTAGGTTGAAGTTGAAGTGTGAGAGTGAGTGTGTGACTTGTTGAGAGTTTGAGATACCCAGGGGTGGCAGGCCGTGTTCCAAAGAAATGATGAGAACAGCGACCCGCCGTCGCGTTAGTTTCGTCGTCTTCGATCGCCCGATCGCAATTTCGACTACTAACAGCCGACACCAACGAGAAGGTGCGACATTTGTCGGCCGCGTTTTTTAAGGAGGTTGACATCCCCCGAAGCCCAAACGAATCTTCGTCCGGGGGGCGAGACCTCTTGTGGGCATCAACCGCAAGAAGGTCGAAAAGATATTGATTGTCCTGTGTGCATGGCAGGCGCATATCTTGTCAAAGAATAGACTGGGCGAGGCGAGTAAATCCGACCTCAGCCGTCACGGAGGGGCGCGTAACCGACCACCAACCGCGTGCCAGGGCGCGACGAGGCGAGTAACCGTCCTCAAGTCGCCGGCCCCCGGCCAGCCTAGGAATCCTCCGACGTCCAGCCGCGTCGGCGCCGCGAGCTGTCGTGTCGAAGGGCGAGGGGAGGAGGAGCGAGGCTGATGCCATCCGGTATAACCAGAGCGCGATCTTCCATGAACTGGGCCCACCGAGGTCCGAAAGGGAGATCCCAATCGGCATGGGTCCCGAATTCCCGTACCCGGCGAGGGATACGCCAGAAGAAAGGCCACTCCCAGATGCTGTCGCCAAGCACCGCACGCAGGTTTCCCATTGTGCCGAGATCCCACGGGTTGAACGAAACCACCACATGCTCGAAGCCGTTAGGCCCGGCAATCCCCATCGGCCATGCCTGCTGGGGGAGGTTCCGAACATAACGCGCCGTCTCTGAGTGCGTTTGGTTCCGAAGCCCTTGGTTAATCCATTGGGCCCGGAAAGGCGCTTTCTTAACCCAAAAAAAGACGAAGGGAAAAGACGTAGTAGCCACGATAGCGGGAGGATACGGCCACCTGGTTCCGAAGGATACCATGGGCCAGCAGAGAACTCCCAGAGAGAAAAGGTGAAACACCAGAATCCAGACCGTGAACAGGAGGTAGGATTTTTGGGTTTGGAGGGAGACCGGGCACCACAACCACCAGCACTGAGCATAGAATTGTCAGCCGAGTACTATTCCTACTAGCGCTTCCCCTAACCCGGGACGAGAGATTCACGGATAACTTGCAGGGAGAGGGAGGGAGGTGAAAAGAGAGATAGATGACTTACGTAGTGGTCAAACAGTGCAATGCACCCCAAGTCCTTGCCCTTGTTGGTCTTGCCGTGGTACATTCTGTCCAGGAACGACCCGAGGCCCTCCCCACCTTCGAAATCGGCGGTCTGGAGGCAGTGGTGGCAGGTATTGGGTCGGAACCCCAGGTCGAACCAGTGGCGGGCGGCGGCGGCGTCAGGCAAGGACTGCATCACTATCTTTTGGCGTAAGATAGCGCCCTTCGGGATCCTGTATCCCTGGTGTACAATCCGGTACGAATACACCCAGAGAGAGGCAAGGCAGCCCAGGGTGTGGAAAAGCACAAAAAAGTACATGCCCAAAAGGGCCCAGGCGGTGACGAGGTCGGACGAGAGAGGGGAGCGGACAGTCCAGAGAGGAACTTCCCGGGAGGCAGGCAGGATATACGTCGTGACTTATATAAGTTAGTATATAACAAACACGTGAAGGGAATAAACACAGGACGAACCCAAGGAATGGCAGACGATCCAAGAGGTCGCGACAAAATCGACGACGAGCAAGACGGGGATCCAGGCCGAAACCTGGGAAAACAAAAAATTGGCGAGGGCGAGCGGCACGGCCACGACCTAGGCGGCGGCGAAGGAGACGTTCTCGAGGATCTCCATGGCGGCGGCGGCGGCAGAGCGAAGACAGCGAGAGAGAAAAAAAATAAACTCAAAAAGCAAGAGGCAGTTGGTTTTCAATAGTTCTATAGTCAAGTCAGCAAAAGTCGACCAGAAAGTCGTCTTTTAGGGGGGTCAACAAACCGTTTCTCGTGGTCCGAAGAAGAGAAGAGGTTCAGAGGAGGGGGCCGGGTCGGGGAGATGATTAAGTACCAGGCCTCTGAGGCGGATGGATTGGACTTTCTTCATGCTCTGATCTGATCTGGAGCTGTCGTACCTTCGTCCTTCTCAGAAAATCAACAGGCTCGTGGAGCATGAAGGCACCGCAATGGCGACATGAGTGGAAGGAACACTCAGAGAAGGTGCGCCGTGTTCAGGGACGGAAGGCAAGTTGACACCATCCCAATTGTTGTCTGAGAAGGAAGCACCGCAAATTGTTTCAAGGATTCGCAACAACCATCAACAAACTAATCGGCAAAGCAGATCGAATCCTCTCCAACATACACATATGGCATAGTTTACACCCCATTCCTCCCTGGACAGCGGTCATGTCACTTGCTACCGCCCTTTCTAGAATCATATGAGCCATTACTTTCTCCATCGATTTGAACATTCTCTTCATGGTTACTGCTGAGGAATTTGCTAATCTCTCACCGGGCAGTGCCATCCCTGAGGTCCCCACACTCTCCCCATGCCGCTGGGCCAACTTCTTCCTTCTCAACGTCCCCGTCGTGGTCAGAACTGATTTCCTCGATCAGTGACGGTACTTGTGTCAAGTTGGACCGGGGGAGAACGTCCGAGGGTCAACGCAGTATCATCCCGACTCCGTTAGGCTGCAGGCACGTTGGTATGCGTGAAAGACCATATGGAAGGAAAGCTCCAGCCAACTCTGTGATTTGAAAGAATTTAAACTCTTCTAAGCAGGCTGACACGTCGGGGGAGCAGGAAAATACTAGTCCCCCGGGAAGCTCGCCCTTTCTTCCTGCACTTACACAGAGTTTCCCTATTCTTCTTCTTTTCTGAAGACCGACTGCAAAGTCAACGGCAGCTGAGAACGACATGGGCGAGTGGACAAAAAGAGAGAAAGAGTTCGATGTCCAAGGCAAATTAAAAATTACAGCCAGAAGGATTGACGAAGGAAACTCTCCTTCTACCTAGATAGAACGATAAATCTCACGACTACTCGGCAGTAACAGATAAAGAGGGCAGCATAAAAAGCGACTACGGCGTGTGTCCAGTCAAAAGACCTCCGCCATCTATGCAAAGATCTCGCTGACGCTGGAGTCTTCTCGCACACTAGCGAGGCAATAATATTTCGCTATTACATCCCGTGGTCTGATTTTGTAGATTGGGAAAAAAAACTTCTAGCACTTCACCCGCAAGACATCAAAAGACAGGCGTGTAGAACGCTCAGATGCATCTGTCTGATCTCCGTTCTAGATCTGTACCTTCCTCCTCAAATCTCGCACCATTCTGTCTTTCTGAATCATCAAATAACCTACTGAGTCCCGATTGTTGCGCCTCAGAAACATCATCCTCAGCCCATGTCATGCTCTCCCACTGATGATGTACCCTCAATAGAGATTTCTTCGTACACGGGAGCTGACAAGTCTACAGGCTTCCACATATTACTGCCAAGGACAATTCACTACATGAGCGATGTCCTGGAGTGGGCTCATGTATCTTCTTGCTCGCGCTCGGCACTCTTCTGTCGGCAGTGACCATGTGTAAGTGGCCACTCTGGCCGCTGTCAAAGCAAAGGGGTTGAGAAATGTACTGAGAGGGAAAGGCTAGCTGAGATGAGCAGAGTTCATTCCATAAACAAGAGGATCAAGGCGTTAGCATCTGCGTGGAAAAAAAGATGGAGTATCCTCTTCCTAGGTAGTCTGAATCTGTGTCCTTGACGCCTTATATATCTGGGTCTCCTCGCGCTCAGACCGTTCGACGAGGCACCTCACAAATACCTGGTACCAATTGCAGATTTGGTCTAGGTCTCTCTATAGACAACTGAGGGAAATGACGGTGGAAAGCACGAAAATGAGGCTTGAACCAATTTTTACTGAAGAATAACACATCGACATCGCCAGTCATGGACCTGGGGTGACCCATGAGCCACATCACTTGCAGTAGCTTCCCGTGTGTCTTGCTTTGTTGAAAGACGGCAGACCCATCCTACGAAAATACATTTCACCGCAGATTTCTGCCTGAACTCTCAAACCACCTATCACAAAACGCAAAAGGCTCAATGCCATCGAGGTGGGTGGTTTTGCAAAGTACGTGGTGTTTCGGTCGGAGAAAGCAAATGGCCCCACTCTTTTGAACAGCAGTGCACCGAGACCCGTTGCCCGGGCCTGGACAAAGAAACTGTTCAGGTTGCGGTAAACCTCAATGTGAGCAGCTTCGAGGTTCGCGCGACCCAATCAAAGTAGAATAATCAAATGAATGATTCGAGGTTTCGAGTGCTCATTGAACAATGAAAGTCCATAGATAAAGCTGAACAGCATTCTAAGTCCAGCATGGTGTGGTCGTGACGAGAGCAGAGAGCGCGTTCCACAATCAACATCAGTCAACTGTCCATTATTTCGTGTCCCATACTGAACTGAGTAATATCGCAAGTCAAGATGGCAAGCTTTGAAACCTTACCGCCTGAGACCCTCTTGCAAATTGCAGCTTGTTCAGACCTCAGCTTGTCATGTCTTCATGATCTACAACTCACTTGTCGTCGACTTTTCCACATCACGAATCCTTTGTTGCACCGCAAAGCTGCTCAGAGTCTTGCTGCCCTACATAGATTGGTCGAAGAAGATCAGGGCCGCATCATTCAGCGGGTTCTGAGTTACCAAGTCAAGGTGAAATCGGCTGCGCCTCAACACTTCCTCGACATCAGTCTCTTTCAGGCGCTCTCGGCAGGTCACTTCAAAGCTGCCTACGCTTTGCTCAACGGCGGGGCGGAGATCATCTTCAGCACCTATTCTCCAGACCGCTCACAATGTTGCGAGACCAGAGAATGGCTCAAAGACAATGATGTACTTGGACTCGGGTCCCTCGCACACGCAGCCAGGAGTCGGTATCATATGACGTTCTGGTACAAATCTACTGCGCCGCCATACGCCTCTGAGGAGTATTTCTGGAAGTGGAAGGGGAAGGTCCTGGAGAAGATTTGGGTCAGACTCCAGCTCCATTTCATCCAAGATATTTCTCTCGGACTCCCCAGCGTCGCCAACCAGACGTATTCAAGAGAGCTCAACATGGCACTCGCTGAAGCTGCAACGGCGGACGCGCATTCCATTGACATGATGGAATACCTCATCCGAAAAGGAGCAGACGCCCACTGCCAAAATTCACCGCAGTTGACTGGACAAGCCTGGCATAATGCATTGAACGAGGAGGTCCCAGCTCTTTTCGAAGCCAAGGTGAATCTGCTCCTTTACCATGGGGTCGACCCAATGAAGGTCTGGACCTGGGAGGGAGCGCGGACACCAATCCAATTCTTCCTCACAAAGTTGTATCGAGACTCTCTGTATGGCGAAGAAGGCAGCCCCTTTGTCAACAAGGTCTTGGGTTACATGGATTACTTGGAGTCATGTGGCTGTCTACGCTGGCCCCAAACCACACTTGAGTCCTTTGTGCCCGATATTGGAACTGTGCAGCTCAACGGCACCATTGGCAATGATCAGACGGAGGAGAATGACTTGTGTGACGCTCACGGAGTGGATGGCAGTCGGGAGCTCGATCTCATCTTCAACGAGCCGAACGAATCCCTGCAGCCACTTCGGGAAGCTTTGTCGAGTCACTGTTCACGCAAGCAGTTTCAGCAACAGGTTCCGCTGCGTCCACCCGCCTCTTTCAGGGAGCGGTTTGACAGGGATTCAATGCCGATCGCTATTCAAAAGCTCGATAGCCTGTTCATGGTTTTCCCAGTCTTGAGACCCAGTGTATCGACAACTGGTGAGGGAAGTACTAGTCCTGTGGAGAAGTAGGGCAACAAGGATCAGCCTGGGTACGAGGATGGAAGCTGTTTCTAGCCTGAATCGTCGACCGTTTCTTTCAGCAGTGCTGCACCATGGCGTCTGAATTGTAACCCATGATTCAGCCTCTTTGAGTATTATATAATTACCTTACTCAACCACCATATTGCCCCGTTGTGAATCTGAGACTCTCTGGATGTTGACTTCCGTCTTCCTTGCGATCGCGCCAAGACCATCGGATTATTGTCCTATTCAAAGGTGGCTGACATCAATTCAAAGTCCAGTCACGATCAGTAGCCCCTTATCTTATCCAATCCCCAAGCATCAGTTCGAAATATGTTCACAAGTCTAGACGTGAAATTTTCATTATTAAGCATGGCACTGGCCTGTCCCGTTAGCGCACAGCAAAGCGCCTGGGCTCAGTATGGAGGTACTAGCCACACAGGCGGGACGAAGTCCGTCTCTGGATGCTCTTTGGATACTGCTGCCGTTAGCAAAACAAGTGGTATTGTCAGTGTGTACTTGGCGCGCCAAATAGCAGAGCGCCTCACGCTCAGCCGCCTACGACTACTCTCCAGGCCATGACTACATTATCCGCATGTGATCCGGTCACAACTACTTCCACGGCACCGTGGAGTGAGGGCACCGCATGCCCCGCTCTGCCGAATGGCCTCGGCGCATCCACATCCGTTCTGCCGCACCCATTCACCTTCCAAAATAGGGGCAAGGTCACGTCTTAGTCTGACTTGTCTTGCAAACATGCCTAGATCAGCTCCCGGCTCCAACGCCTTGAACTAGGAACCTTGCCTCCCAGAACCACAGTCTATCACGGCATCCTACTCCCGCAACAAATAGATAATGAACATTTCGGACAGTGGCAAATCTATCTCTTTTACTGTTACCATCTCCAAGCCAAGCGGCAACAGGGTTCCAGCCATCATCGGACAGTGGGAGCCTGGCTAGATTCGACCTTTTCCCTAGCGGGCAGACAGTGGCTCGAATCTTGCATCCGGATCACCACAGGCACAAGTAACAAGGGCCATGTCGCCATGGTCGTCCGAAACTCGAGTCGTTCGACCATGTCGGATCATTGATGCTCTTGAGATGATGCCAGCCATGGGAATCGATCCAAGCCGAATCGGTGTACCATGCTGCTCCCGGAACGGCAAAGGGGCTATGGTCGCCGGTGCCTTTGGCTCCCGGATTGTACTGACTCTTCCGCAAGAATCTGATGCCGGCGGTGCAGGATGCTGGCGAATCGCCGATTGACAGAACGGAAACGGCTTCACCGTCCAGGATGCCAAGCAGATTGAGGGCGAGAATCCTCTGTTCACCTCAGCATTTAAGCAGTATGCCAGCAACATCAAGTAGGTACCCTTTGACCACCACATTCTTCGTAGACTCGTCGCACCGAGGGCAACATACGTCAGGAGGATCCGTATTTTCAGAGGCTTGCAGCGACGAGAACGTATGGATGTATGTCAGGCGCCAGGAACCAGTGGCAAGTGCTTGGATCTCTCGATAGCTTCGGCTGTAGTCAGCATGAAGGTCACGCTAATTGCAGCTTTCCTAAGTCTCAACAGAATGAGCTCTCTGCCTTCATTTCTCAAGCAGGAATGGCTGGCTACACTGGAATATATAGGTCAGACTAGTCTGGTACCAACTTCAATGTAGACAGTTGGTCGACATGAATTGTACGTACGCTGATTCAAAGCTTTACGAGATTATCTAGGGGTTGAAACAATATACTTATCAAGAAGGGAGTGGATCTTTACGCTACTGTCACAATTTGGAAAGACGTTTGTTGAAGATGAAGTAGAAGCACAGAGCAGCAAACTGCTGTGTTCTAATTTTGATTGTCTAGGCCTTCCTCGATGAATTAATGTTTGATATCACCAGAGTCCCACGAATCCTTCAGTCATAATCATCCTCTTTAGGTATGCTTAATGCCCTCATAGCCGTGCTTATCCTTCTCGCGATTCCTCTGAAGTCTCCAGCTTCGGTTTATTTGCGAGTAAACGGTTGTTTGTTTGTTGAGTGCCAGAAGAGTGAACTGTTGTGTAGAGGTGACTAGTTCAAGTGGCAGATGTCAAAGTACCAATCCTGGGCTTTATAGGCCTCCTCTTTACTGCAAGCGCCGGCTGTGCATGTTGCAAGTGAGTGCTGAGACCAGAAGCGGAGGTGCAGGCCGGTGTCCATGCAGAAGTCGTAGACGTTGACCTTGTTGATGTTTGGCGGATACCAGTGATTCTCGCTTTGGAGACAGCCCTGCCAGCATTCGGGGAGCTCATGAAGTGGGACCGGGCCTCGTGAGAGACTATCCGGATCCTTGGGGCCTCCGGGTTCTCCTGCCTTTACGATGGAAAGTCTGGAGAGGATGGCGAAGATGATGGTAGTAGACTTCATCTTGGTTGTTTAGAGGTGATGTGGCTTTTGCAGTATAGGTTGTGTATGCTGGGCTGAGAAGGTTGGATGAGAGGGGAATTTTAGATGAAGAGACAACTGAGGATGAGGGGAGAAGCTTGGGTGAGAGGAGTATTGGGCTTGAAGACAGCGAAAGAAGATGAGTTTGTTTGTGTGGTTGGTTCTTGACTGTTTCCGATTCTGGCATGCTCTACAGGAGAAGTCACCCTCTAAATATAACCTCCCTTCCCTCTATTTCCCGGTATGGTGACCATAAAACCCTTTCACAACGTGACCTTAACTTCTAGTTTACTTTGGTTCCTGGCTTTGACGGTAAACTTTCACCAACCTTGAGGACTACGACGTTATCCGTTGTCTAAACGGTGTAACTTTACTGGCTCTGAATTAAGCTTTGGATTGAATCTGGGATTTCCATTGCCGGACAAAAGTTGAGTATATGGCACAGCGGCTACACAAGGTGTCCTGAATCCAGGGGTTGGGCGTAGTTCTTGGCTTTTCCTCCGCCATCAGCGACTTGCCCAGTGTGAGCCCGGTGTGAAATCCAATTCACCTTTACCGGGACCGGATCTCAGAGACTAACACAGATATCAACAGATCCCATGTCTCTGTTCATTTCCTACGTCTTTAACCGGTTTCAACTGAAGGATCTCATGAGGCCAAGCTCATAGATTGCCATCTTCTGTAACCAATGAAGAGTAGGCTACATGCAAGTATCATATGAAGAAACCTTGGGTAAACGTGTCAAGCGATTCCGAGGTCATCAGAAAACCAGAATTGAATCTATGACTCCAATCCACAATCAAGGTGCCTTGTGAGGCCTCAAGGTCGTTTTGAAGGCTTACACGTCAATTTGGAACCCAAGGTAACCAAGACACGAAGCTGAGACCTCAAGGTTCTAGGACCAGGCGATCAGAGATTAAATGTCAAGACTACCATTTCAATTCGCCACCTTTTTTCGTCCCCAAAATCTGTGGACAACTTCTCTTCCACTAAACCCAAATCGAAAAAACAAAAAAGATGAAGCTTAATAATATTCTCCTGGTCGCTATACCTCTCGTGACGGCTGGGGGCAATTGGTCAACGGATCCAGAGAGTCTCCTGAGGGTTTCGCTTCCCCTTCACCAATTTCCCGAGTTCTGGCAAGACTATTTGCACAAATAAAAGAACCATTATGCTCCGTATATTAACAAAACGTGCACGAATTCTGTGTCGATAATGGGTAACACGGTCGATGGTGGTCTCTCAACGCCCTTGCCACATGTACGGCTGGCAAATGCAGCAGGAAAGAAGCATTGAAGGCACAAGACTGGTTTTTTAACCGATGTTAGATGGGAATGAAGCATATCAGGAAGATACCGTCATTCGTGAAAGAAAATGACATGGCTCCCAGCAAGACCAATTCCAGCTGGATGATCGATAATAATGTCTAAGGAGGAGTCAAGACGCAGAGGTTGCAGGGCAGCCGAGGATTGCCTACGTTCCAAGACGGGGCTTCGTTTCTCAGTATATCACACGAGAGTTGTAAAATAAGACACAAAATATTTCACTACTTTCTAGAATATTGACTAAAGGTTATGTTTTGGCTGTGCGACTGCCTACATATATGTCCAACCTGGAGTAAAGTATAACAAGCTAGAGAATAACCTAGGCTTACCTGCGTGCCAGCTGGAGGCTCTATCCCCAGTTTTCTCCCACTCACCGCAGCCACCTAGTATTCAATCGGGACTAACGCTGGAGATGATTGAAGAAGGATAGAGACAGGTAGAGGATAATTAATTTGAGCGAGGATCGAGGCTAACTAAGGAGTATGGTTTTCTGGATTTGTGGAGTTTCGTAGGTGTTGCCCAAACCACCAGCCTCGAGAAAAAGACTTTCTCAGTCAAACTTGAATAACCAGACTGTAATGATTGAAGCTATAGTGAAACTGTCACGATGGCATCAATCATCCAGAGTCTCAAGACCATCGCGTGACCTCAATTAAGTAATCACCAGGGTTCAGCGAACTTCGCCCTGTGGTACTTTGTATTCCAAGAAGACAACTGAACCTTCCTGCTATTATCAATGCCCAAGTACCGCCTCTTTAACAGAAAAATCAATATAACCAAGTCCGCTGTTCCTCTGTTCCGATGGTGTTGAGCTTGAAGATGCAGCACAAGCGCCTAGTCAGTCACGAATCTGCTGTCCGCGTTTCCTCGGGAACCCGCTGCGTCAATCCGAGACTGGTCCGTAGGAGGTTGCCAGAATAGGCGAAGTGGATTCCCCATGGACATATCTGATTGGTTATGTAGCAAGATGGAGTAATTTCGAATCTCAGGATCAAGTACCCAGGCGCATGAACTGGCCCCAGAAATCTTGCACGGAACGAGTCGTTCGCAAAGAACCAGAAGGCGGTGCGCTTGGGCAGCTGACGGGAGAACAAATGGCAAACTTGGATTCACCGGCCACACTGCAACTCCATCAATGCCAGCTTGCCTAGGCAGGTAGGCGGAATGGCGGTTTGGTTTATCAAAAACCATCATAGTCTGAACTCGTGTCCCCACTATGATTCGCCGGGACTTGGCTGTTCATTCTGGTCTTATTGGCCGGTGACATGCGGTTCGATGAGCACTAAGGCCCAGGGCTGGCGGGCCGATGGGGCGCCTGCATGATGCGAGGGGGAAACTGTTGAGCAATCCTGTGAGTTCTTTCAGAGTAGGATGGCAGCATCAGGCATTGCTGTTCGGTCGGTAAAACAGGTATGCATTGGGCCTCGTCGAATTGAGGGTATTCCCAAGGGTCAAAGGATGCGAAAAGTCCGAGGTAGGACGGTTTGGCTCCAAGTCTTTTCATGACGTAAGGCAAAGGAAATTAGTCCGTCCGGCGTTGGCCGGGATCGTCGGGTGGACGGAGCCGGAGGCTGCGGGCGAAAAGATAAGCTGACAGGTGACAGGGGTTGGGTCACAGGGGGGAGGGGGTTGGGGGGAGGAGCTGCAGGCTGGAGCAGCCACAGGCACACCAGATTCTCCCGCTCACTCCCAGTCGATTACCACATCAAAAGGAAATGGACTGGATCCAAATGGGCTATGGATGGATCCCGCGCGCCCGCCCCCTGCCGCTGTCCGCCCGTCATGCCGGGCTGACAGTCCAGACCCTTTCCCTGAGCGACCTCGCACCGTCGCGCTGACGAGTAGAAGTTCTTCAAAATCAAAAAAAGTGCGATGCAACGACGGCTGCGTTCTTTGTAACACATCACTTTTGCGACCCCAAATCACAGATACCCAAACAGTATCCGTACCCTACTCACATACAATGACGACCGATACCGCATCTTCCGACCCCGCGACCAGGGTCAAATCCCACGCCTCGACGGTGTCTGACGTTGGGTACCCTCACGGCCACTTCGGTCACCTCAACGAGCACGAGGAGACGCAGCTCGCCGCCTTCAGGACGCTGCTCGAGGAGAAGGGGCTGTACAAGCCAGGCCCGCCAGCTTCCCACGACGACCCGACTCTGCTGTGAGTGATCCAACGAGCTCCTCTTTTTTCTGCCGCAGTCCTGTCTGCTTTCCTGTGCCGGAACACCCGGAAGACACCCAAAGGCACTTTTGCTGACTTTTTCTGCCCCCCGCCTTATCCTGCAGCCGATACTTGCGGGCGCGAAGATGGGTCCCTGAGGACGCCCTCACGCAGTTCAAAGACACCGAGTCCTGGCGCGCCGCCAACGACATTGACGTGCTCTACGAGACCATCGAGCTCGAAGCCTTTGAGCAGTCTCGCCGCCTTTACCCGCAATGGCTCGGCCGCCGCGACCGCCGCGGCATCCCGATCTACCTCTTTGAGGTCCAGAAGCTCGACAGCAAGACAATCGCCGCCTACGAGAAGCTGGGCAAGGAATCGACGTTCAGCAAGGCCAAGTTTGACGGCAAGACCCCCGCGGGCATGATGCGCCTGTTCGCCCTGTACGAGAACCTCACACGCTTCACGCAGCCGCTGTCGACGCAGCTGCAGGACCGCGAGCACCGCGACGCCCCAATCACGCTGAGCACGAATATTGTTGATATCTCTGGAGTCAGCCTGAAGCAGTTTTGGAATCTCAAGGGGCATATGCAGGCTGCCAGTCAGCTTGCAACGGCGCATTACCCCGAAACTCTTGACCGTGAGTGGACCATCATCTTCTTCATCACTACCTTGCCCATCATTTCATTCACTGACAGATAAAACGTCCAGGCATCTTCATCATTGGTGCGCCAGCCTTCTTCTCAACAGTCTGGGCCTGGATCAAGCGCTGGTTCGACCCCATCACCGTCTCCAAGATCTTCATCCTCAGCCCCCACGAGGTACGCCCGACGCTCGAGCAGTTCATCGAGCCGCGCAACATCCCCAAGCAGTACGGCGGCGAGCTCGAGTTCAAGTTTGGCGACCAGCCAACCATCGACCCGGCGTGGGAGGGAATCATCGAGTGGGCGCCCGGCCACGACCGCTTCACCTCGCGCCCCGCCATCTGGCGCGAGACCGAGGACGGCACCCGCGTCGAGTGCATCGGCATCGGCTACGTCAAGGGTGTGGAGCAGAAGGAGGCCATTTGCTCCGTCCCCAAGACGTGGCCGCCCAAGGCGAAGGTACCCGCGGCTGAGCCGACGCCGATTGCTACGCCTGCTACCAAGGAGGGCAGCGTGACGGAGGAGGCTGGCAAGGCGGAGGCTGAGAAGGCGGAGGAGCCGGTGAAGGTTGCCGACGCGCCCGAGTCTGATCTGCAGAAGCTTTCCATTGCGGATGATAAGCAGGTTGCGGAGAAGCACGTCGAGGGCAGCACGTCGGCGCCCACATCGGCACTGGCATAGGCCGTCGGGATTGACTGGCATTCATGAGCATGAGACTTTGGTTACGGAGAATTAGGATTGCATGTTTGGCCTGGTAGGGTCGATCTGCTTGGTAATCTGGGTTGGTTTGAATCAATACCCCCGGTGGTGATGGACGTGACTGGGGAACGGGAGCAGTAGGTCTGGGCAAGGCAATAAGGGTTGGAGTTACATCATTACCAATTCAATTCGATTTTTTTTTTTAAACTTCCAACATTTGGTATCATGACGTTGCACCGTCCCATCTACCCTGAATACCCTAGCGGCGCGCGCGCACAGGGGTTGAATCTAGGTTCAGATCATCCCGTCTTCGCCGTTCCGTCTATGGCGTCTATCCTATCCGTGTCCAAATGCGACGATGAAGAAGAGATGAAACTTTGTCGCCCAATCCCAAGAACGCCGTTCTATGCAAAAACCGGCCCAATCGTGCGTGGCACTTCTATCCCGAATGACCCCTCCTCTTGCGCCACTCCGCCACGCCCTTCTCCATCTCGTTCCACGTCAGACCATCCCTCACCAGCTGCATCGTCACCCCCAAGCTCTCCGTCTCCCGATTTCGACTCTCGTCGTCAAAAAAGAGCATATCCGTGTATGCGATACCTGTCTTCTTGAAAATCGTCTCGAAATGCTTAATCTTGCTACTCGGGTAAATCTCCAACGGCGCGTCAAAATATTCGAGCGCCTTCTTCGTCTTCTCCTTCTTGCCGCTGCCGCCCTCCTCGGCACTCGGCGGCGGAACGTGTAGTAGCTTCAGCATGTCCTTTGCCAGGTCGGGCGCCGACGTCCGTGACGCGACGGCAATCTTGATGCCTGCCAGCGGCAGCGTGTAGAGTATCCGCGGCACGTCCTGGTAAAAGGCGAAAGATTCGCCGTGGCGGTCCGTGACTGCCGAGTGCGTCGCGTTGGCTTTCAGCGGGCCGGCGACGTGAGTGTCGACCCAGAAGGGCCAGAGAGTGTAGTCGAGATCGAAGACGATGAGTTTGGGGAGGGGCAGCTCGTCGGTGAGGATTCGAGGCAGGGAGAGGGAGTTGGAGTTCGTTGTCGAGGTCGAGGGCGTCCCGAGGTTTGTGGTGCTCCCTCCTTGGGGATTCTTGGAGAGTTTCTTCGGCATCGGATCGGTGAAGGAGGGATGTTCGGGTAGCTCTGTAGTAAGTGCGAGGCGATCAAAAATGCGACGGATAGGCGTCGAAGGGTGCTGTTGCAGGTTCCAGGATAAGTGACGGATACGTTTAAGAGCGGAAGCAGGGCGAGGGTAGATTGCGACTGCGATTCCGATTGCTCGCGACAGGCTTCGTCACTGCATCCGGGTCAGGTTCCATGGTGGGGAGGCTAGAAAAGAGTACGTACCTGCCTGCCTGTGCGTGTGCCTGCTTTCCATCTCGGGCCCACCGAGGTACACAGGCACGTGGGACGCCTGAGGTGGCACCGTGGCTATTGACTTTTGGAAAGTGGAAAAAAAATGAGATGGCCTTCTGCGAGGAAACATGGTGAATTAAAATCCCATCTGGGTACGTACACCATTTGTCTTCAGCCGTATTGTCACATCTCATCAGCGACGTTCAAGAACATTTAAATCGCAGTAATCACCACCAACTTCCGCCACACCGCGACACCGCGACACTTGCTACTGCCCTTCGTCATGTCAACGGGACTTGCATGAATAAGACAGGCACGAACGTTTCACCACACGAGACAGTCATCGAAGCGGACAAAAAGCAAGAGTCGACGTTGGCCTGATTCGAACAGACGCTCCCGAAGGAACAAGATTTCTAGTCTTGCGCATTAGACCACTCTGCCACAACGCCATGTGATGAATCCACTGTGAAGCGGGGATGTTGATGGCGTCCGGTCACGAATTCAAGGATGGAACTGTGCGGACTGCAGTGGGTTAGGGCTACGATGGGAAACGCCGCGATACTCTGAACGGAGCGGTGGAGAGACTGCGCTTCGAATGGACCCTGGCGCCCCAGGCCTATGCTGGCTTCGGACGTGAGTCTCCTCTTTTGGAAAAAGACTGACCGTCAACTTCGGCTCCGATAGCTTCAAAGTCTGGCGACTCGTCCGACCGGCTGGCCCACTCCCGAGCGTCTTAGATCGATCTGGACGGGGCCGTTCGGGATCCAGTTTACGCCTACGACGTCCGGCGACACAACTTGGATCGACACGACTCACGGCAGCGGCTCTTGTTTGTTCTGACGAAAGTCGGCCCAGAAACCCGCGGATTTACGGACTTTCGGGTTTCTGTACCCTGTCGGCAACATGCACCCCGCGATGGCACTACCCCACATGCTGATGATGGAAAGAGAACACTCGACTATGTCCAGCAAACATGGCCCATTCAGTATCAAGCAGCCAGTTCCCGGCAAACTTTGGCAAACTTTTGTGCCTGTTGCATCAGTTCGGGGCTACTTTTTGGCCCCGAAAGCGATGGCCATCCGTCAGAAAGCATGGTTCACCCATCCTTCATCTACGTCTGTTTTGGTGTGCCGAGGAAGCTCTGATACGCCACGAAACCAGGCGGCAGAATCACTCGGCACCTAGCTCGAAGTAAATCACTACTCACTACGGCTCATTGAATCTTCAAGTCGGCACATGATGCACTTAAGATAATGAAATGAGTGGCAGCTTCAGCCCTTGCGCCTCGGTCTTGTTGGGATTCTCTAGAGAAGCATCCCAGCGACAGCCAGCGCCTTACCCAAACGCCACGACCCCGAATCGCCGTCTGAGCTTCGGCACCGCACCATCTAAAGTTGCAGCACAACGCTTCCAAAGATAGCGAACTTGCAGCAGCCACCACTCCTTTTGCGCCGGACTCTGACGCCCCTTGCGCAAGTACCGAGCCGTGCGTGACGTCCGATGGACTGTAGTGGGGTAGTGCGGGGGAACAAACATGGCTGGATCGCCCATCCAACGGCATTCGCGTCGGTGAGATGTCAGCTCCAGCTCTCGATATAAGACGGTTCCGTCCCTCCTCGCCCGTATAAGTGGCATCCGGCGCCGAAACTTTGTGACCACAGTCAACCCTCTTCCCGAATCTTCAAATTTGCATCTCCCAGCACCCACGATCTGTGCCCACCATGCCCGAAAGAAAGATTCAGCTCGTCCGCCTGGCGCACGTCTTCTACAAGCACAAGAACATTGAAGAAGCTCACAAGTTCTACGACGACTTTGGCTTCTACGAAATCGAGCGCAGGGGTAACAAAACGTTCTATCGCGGCTACGGCACCGAGCCGTTTGTGTTATGTGCAGAGGAGGCAGCGGAGGACGAGTTCGGAGGTCCGGCGTTCGTTGTGGAGTCGTTGGAGGACCTCGAGTACGCGTCAAAGACATTGCCAAGTGCGACAGAAATCTACGACCTCAAGGATGTACCAGGCGGCGGCAAATGTGTGACGTTCAAAGACCCCGTCGATGGCTGGCCGCTGCATCTCTTGTACAATCAGACGCCGGTTGAGAAGAGGGACCCAGGGTTTCCTAACCTCAAGTTCAACTTTGTGAGCGAAACGCACTGAGGTACTCAGGGAGCTTATGCTGATCAGATTGTAGCCGGAAGAGAAGCATCGCGACGTGAACAAGAAGCAGCGCTTGACCAAGCGCCCGGCGCCGGTTCACAAGTTGGGCCACTTTGGCGTGTGTCTCACGAACTTTGACAAGGCGTACGAGTTCTATACCAGCAACTTCAACCTGTACCCCAGCGAGGTGAGTATTCAAAGCGCGCGAAAGTCGATCGCAGCCATTCTGACAAGACCATGTAGCTCGTCCACGCTCCCGACAACAAAGACAAGGGCGTGACCGTCTTTTTCCGCCTGGCACGTGGCAAAGAATTCGTCGACCACCACTGCTTCTTTTTCCTTGAAGGCCCCAAGTTCCACGTCCATCACTCCTCGTTCGAGACGCATGACTTTGATACTCAGGTGTTGGGCCATGACTGGCTGAGAGAACAGGGCCACAAGCTTTGTTGGGGCGTAGGCCGTCATATTATGGGAAGTCAGATCTTTGACTATTGGTGAGTCCACGATGAGAGCTTCGATGCCTTTTCGATGTCTTGCAAGGGATATGGCAAGCTGACACGGGGACAGGTTCGATCCTTCGGGCTTCATTATGGAGCACTACGTTGACGGCGACCTGCTCGATGACACGGAGGAGACGCACCGTCTGCCCGCGGCGCCGGGTAACCTGCACATCTGGGGTGAGTAAGGAAGGTGATTTGTAGATGTGCCTCATGCTGACTTTCTTCCCGCAGGTCCCGAGGTTCCTTCGAGCTTCCTGCAGTGATCGCAGACGGATGCCGTGTTTCCTTTTTGTAGCAAGAACATGTATCGTAATGCATAGCACTTCAGCACAAAATTTCCGGCGAGGAATTCTAGGAATTTGACATTCTCAAAAAGGCGGGACTCATAAGCCATTTTAAGATTCAGTGACATGGAATCGCGAACGCCAGGTCTGGTAATAGTCAGCAGCCTTGCCAATGGATAGTGCCAAAAGCCACAGCTCTTCTTTTACATTGATCTCGGACAGCGGGCTGTGGGGACCTATGCTCACCAACAATTCTACGCATCATTGATGGGTGGACCATACTTCGGCCAAATTTACGTCAGCCACTTTCATATCCTTGGCGGAGATGAGGTGATTCGACCTATAAGTGGCTTTGCTGTGGCTTTGCCGTCGCTCCGCCTCGTTGACCAGCTTAGAAGCACAGGCCTGTTGTCGAGCTTAGAATTGGCTATTCGGGGATCCCGCGGTTTCGAAAAGTCTTTCCTGTTTGGTTGCGGCTGCACACTCTGGTGCCGCTCCTCTCAATTCACCAAGAACCCAAAAGACGAGTTGTTTGGTTTAGGTCGCATTATCAAGCGTCGAAAAAATAGAACCGTGTCGAAGGCCTGTGACAATTTCACATTAGTCGATATCGGGCCACCGCACGAAATGATATCGAAACAGCTGCCGTTTATCCGTTTCACACCACAACGAAATCTAGAAATGATTAGACTTTCCGCACCTCCCCACGAATATTGAAGTTATTGACAGCCGAGGTGCGTGGTTGACGGATGCTATTCGACTGCCCCTTGAAGTGAAGAGCATGTACCCCTGCACGACGATGCAAGCTCGTTGGGACGAAGATTGACTAACGAACCCTAGTCCTAGTCCTCCCGTCTAGGGTCGCATTCTCTATCGGCACTGCCTCCCTCTTGCGGCACCGGTCGCCGGTGCAATGTCAGCGACCAAGAGACCCACGTGTTCGAGCGCAAGCAGGTCGAGAGCTCCGCGGTCTTTCTGGATGGTCGAATGGGATCTTTAATCGGGAGGGGGGCGATTGACGAGCCGCAGCTCTACGGATAGGAATAGGCGCAGAGGTACACAAGCTTCGGCTCCTTCGGTTGGCCCTTTGCCTCTTTGGGGCAGGTTTCACCGATTCAGGAGCGCATCGGCGCCTTTGACAGCCATTGGTGTGCGGGGGTTAGGGTAACATTATGGTGGATGAGAATTCGCCGCCTGCAGCTCCCGTGGGCCGTCGGCCAGCTTCACATCGCAACCGGGGTGGACGGTGAGCTGAGGCTTGAAAGGCCTCCTCCTCTCTCCTCGTCCGCGATCCAATGGCACGTCCCAAAGGTGGTTCACGGATGACGTTCCCGAATGGTCAGGGCCATCCGTGGGCCTTGGGGTATTGATTTGCTCATTTACTTAAGGTTGAAAGCTGCCGCACTCATCGTGAGAAACATCGCTCCATCGCGCATCCTCCCGTCTCCCCTCGCAAGCCGCCCGCCCGCCCGCCCTTCCTCCTCTCCACGCCTCCATCTCACCCCCAAATCGGACCGCGTGCTTCCCCGCCTCCGCATCGCAGATCACGATGCGCCCCGACGCCACCTTTGCGTTGCTCACACAGGCTCTCGCCGTGCAGGCCGTGCGCATCGTCCAGTCCAACGACGATGGGTGGGCAGAGCTCTACATCCGCTCCTTCAACGACGCGCTGAGGGCCTCGGGCCACGACGTCCTCCTGTCGGCTCCCGCCGAGAATAAGTCCGGCTCAAGTTCGTGCAATTGCCTTTCCAAGGGCGCATCCAAGAGGGGCATATGCTGATATAACCTAGGCTCCCTTGACGTCGAGCCCAGCCCGCGCAAGAGCGCCTGCGAATACGACAGCTGTCCAGCGAACAGCGGACCCGTCGGCCTCAACGAGACCCGCAAGGACCTCCGCTGGGTCAACTCGTACCCGGTGACCGCAATGCGCTACGGCATCGAGCAGTTTGCCCCGGAGCAGTTCAACGGCGCCGCCGTGGATCTCGCCGTCTCCGGCCCCAACGTCGGCACAAACCTGTGGCTCCAGGTCCTCTTCTCCGGCACCGTTGGCACGGCTGTCTACGCCTCGGGCAAGCAAGGCATCCCCGCCATCGCCTTCTCGGGCGCCTCGGAAGGCGCCCTCGCGTGGAACACGCTGCCCGTGCCTGCGCGGAGTACCATTTACGCGGAGCTCGCGACGCGGCTGGTCAATGAGCTTGTTAGCGGGGGCGCGCCGTACCTGCCGGACAAGACGTGGCTGAATGTCAACTTCCCAAAAGTCAGCGACACGGAGTGCAACGACCCGGACCAGTTCAAGTGGGTCCTGAGCCGTATCAACCCGGGGCTGCTGTCCGGTCCGGACGTGAGCACCTGCGGGGGCAACGCGAGGTTGCCCGAGGAGAATACGGTTGCCGGCACGGCGGGATGCTATATTTCTGTGAGCGTGGGCGATTCGAACGACAAGACTACGGCGTCCAAGGAGCAGCAGCAGCCTGTGCTGGATCGGTTGTCGGGCTTTTTGTCTTGCTTGCCTTGACGACGTGGCGGGAGGAGAGGTGGCTTTCTGATGAGATGACTGGGTCGTTGTATGATTGATTATATAAACGATACATGAATAATATAATGTCACGGCTGCAAAAAGGTGTGGGCATCAGGACTTGGGAACGTCGTTACTGTGAGGAACCACTTGATTCGAGCCTGTTTTCGAGAAACCAACTCGACAGGTGTACATCCCATCTGCCATAATTTCTCATAAATTCAGCCTCAACTAAGAGAGATACCGGCTCAAGTGCGCAGATTGAGGGGGGCAGCGATAGTCCCATCATCCCTATACACTGCGAGACACTGCCAGCGAAACTGCTGTATAAACTCACACTGTGACTCTACTAAACATACATTGTGAACATGGCCATCTGAATCACCACTCATTCTTATTCTCTGCCATAATTAGGTTCAAAATGGATTACCACGCAGGTGCCGCCCAGTCCCCAGCTTGATAAAGCACAGAAACGCTATTAGTATCGTCGAGAACCTCGCCCTGACTGCCATCATCGCTACTATGGAAGCTGTAGCCGACAACTTGTCCATTGATGTCGCCTGGGTTGTGGCGCTTACTCTTGGCCTCGTGAATTTTTGTCTTTACTACTATCCTTTTATTTGTCGACATTGGTGCGACCAAGCAGCTTGTTTAAATTGACTTCGCCTTTTCCCTTCTTTCCCTTTGGGCCGGCGACAAGAACTATTTCCTGACCACTTCGTATAGCCATTGCTGTGTGCCATACCTTCTTACAGAAACAGCCCCCCTTCTCTAGGTACAGCGTTCGTTCCGCCTCGTCTAGGAGGGTTTTCTTAAGGCCATTCTTTTTATATGTCGACCAAATCTTCTTGAACTGAGGGAAACTTTTCAGTTGCAATTTCTATAGCCAGGAAGAAAAATGTCTGAATTGACGCTCTACCGTGCCTAAATGTACATACCTTGGTAGCAAACATGAGCGTGTTAGTCACTCCGCCATACCACTCCTTTGTCATATCCTTCTCCCTTGTGCCATCCAAGCGCCCGAGAGACACTACACTAGCACCTGGCCACAATCTGAGGGTCAAGATGGGTGGCATGAGTCGTTGCCTCGTCCTCCCCGTCCCACATCATACTATCACGGCTAGAATTGGAAATTGGGCCCCATGGGCCCCCATGAACACCCATGGGCACCCATCTTTTTGGGATGGGTAATTTGGGCTGCCCGATAACGAATCCAATATACCCATATTACCCATGGGCGTTCCCCACAAGCGCCATCCTCTACCATTGACTCATGAGTAGCCCACAAATTACCCATGGGTCGTATGAACTGCATCCATATGGGATACCCATGGGCCCTTCCAGGCCCAATCACCGCGCTCTTGAGACACGTCCCTGCTCCGTAACGCACCCGCCGACTTATCCATCTCATCAGCAGCAGGAGTGTCAGACATGACCTAGTCAGTCTGCTTATGAGAAACCCCACTCGAGGTCGTTGGCCGCTTTCCAACTCGATGAACTGTTGGTGTTGGTGTTGTTGTCTTTGTTGTTCTCATATTTCGCGATTCTAGAATACCATCGCTGCTGCGAAGACTTGCAAGTGGTGAGGTCCCGGCATGGGTGAACTCGGCGACGTAATGCGTTGCTTCGCTGGAGCCCGCATTGTTGCAAAGGAAGTTCGAGCTCACCGTCCAGCCTGCCGGGGTCTGGCCAGCTGCGACCTGCCGGGTTGGACGGACGGGCATCCGAAGGAATCTCGGTTTTGGTGGTGTCTGGGAGACCTTGTCGTGAAGCCACCATCTGACAAAAGTTTGCATCAAAGTCAGTTTCGACCGCAGGGGACGGGTGATTGAGAAGAATTGTGTCAATCGTCTTGGGGGATGGCATTGGTTGTGGTAATAGTCCTACTCTCTGCGAGAGGTGTTGCTCGGATTCGGTTGCCATGTTGATGGTCTCCTTTGGTGAGCTGTTTTGGTGAGAGAATCGGTGGATTTTATGAGTGTGAGTGTGTATATCCTTGGCAAGTTGGGATTCAGCCTTTACTCGAGCGCGATTGCAGATGAGAAAGCAAATGTCATTGAGAACGTCTATCTATCACAGCTGTTCAGCATAGCTAAAGACATGTTGCTGCTCTCATCCATCTCCGATAATGTCAGGTCGACAGTTTGTGTTGGTTCAAGCACTCCTTCAGGGTTTCCCACCTGACCACTGCGTGCGTGAAGCCATCTCCGAAAGACATATGCTGTGTCTAATTATCTCAGGGCACTCCGACTGCGATCCACCGGTAATGAGAAGTTTAATGCGAGTTGCGCGTCGTGGGAGATGAGGTAGAAGAACATCGCTAAGCACAACTTGAAGGCATCCCTAATTTGTGAGAATATGTGGATTCACACGAGTGTTCAAGTAGATAGAAAACAAAGCAAACGATGCCAGCTTCTTCATCCCAGTCCTTAGATGCTATCAAAAAGAAGAAAATGTTCTATATATATCAAGAGAATAGATGTCTGTGGTTGTGTGAGGTAGGAAAAAGCTTTCTGGGTCGGTAATTCTGCGGGAATGAGTAGCTGATGAGAGTCTTAGACTGGTACGTACCGAGGCTCCTCCAAAGCAAAGCTAAGCTAATGTGATCTAGCCGGTGAATAGGGCGATACTTTCTGGATAATTCATTATATTGCCATTTGTATAACAAGGTATTGAACGCTTGCTCATCCCGGGAAGACCTCTGGCTACAAGATAGGTTCGGAAGTCTTCTAGGGTTGATGTACATGTCTTAGTGATGACGATGGACACCGCATTACTTGATGCGTTTGGCGTTAGCCATATCTTGCAATCTGTGGATGAGAATCTCGAATAAAGACCCATATGGTCTACTCTTATGGGTTCGTTCTGCTGCTATATTCTGAAAGCTGTCTAGCGACAGGTGTGAGAGTTGTTTGGTCATGTTGCAATACATCTATTGTAAGTCGTTGCACCCAAACCCTCGATAGATGAAGGTCATCTTGCTGAGTTTTGGCCGATGAGTCCAATCTAGTTACTTGACACACCAGCGATGTTAACAAAAGTCATCGCCCAGAAAAGTGAAGGCTGACTTGGAGCATATATGAGCTTATCTCCACAGGAGTGCAAATTTGGGATTCTACTACGCCCTCAAGATCCTCGGCTATGAATCCTACCACCAGCTCTCAGTCTTTAAAAATGGTGTACCTCATTTGGGTCATGTCCGCATGATGGACGAAGCCGTCCGCGGGAAGCCATCAAGGTCTATGAGAGACAACAAGTGCCAAAGGTTAGCAGTCAACAAGGTTGGTGTTTCTTGTGGGTACCTTGCTGGCTGCATCCAAAGCAAAAGGACTGCCAAGAAGATCATTCTGGCGGACAAGCTCCCTGTGATTAAGGCTTCAAAAAGGTCTTGGACATGTATTCTTGTCCACATGCACCTTTTGACTTGAGCCATCGTCTCCTGCCAAGTGCACGTAGGCAAACTGCTCTCTCTTGGTAACGTCCTTGAATTACAACTTTCATCTACTTGACATTTTGTTCCTGGAGCTTCCTTAAATTGACCGTAAAATTTGACTGCCTTACAAAGAACGAGTTCCACACGTCCCAGGTTCTTGCCTTCTTGTTCATCTTGAACTAGAATCCAGTATGAGCTTACGTATCCAAACGAACATCAAAGTTGGGGAGAACACTTCTGTAAAAGCTTCTGGAAAACGTACCTCGTAATTCAGAAGGAGTGTTGGTATGGTCTTGTAGATCTCGAGTAGACTGATGTTTTTACCAATGCAAGTCCGAGGCCCAGCACCGAAAGTGAGTGACGCGCTGTGCATTAGAGACTTCCTTATCTTGAAATTCTCGTCAGACTCATCAGACCTCTGGAGCCACCGTTCGGGAGTGAATGATTCCAAATTCTCGCCAAATAGTGGATGGCGGTGTATAACCCACGGGTTGACACCGACGACCGTACCGGGCGGCAGCAAAGGTCCATCTGGTAATTGAAGCCCTTCTTCTGGGACAACCCTTTCCAGAAGTAGGCCGACAGCTGGATGGAGACGGAAGGCCTCCTTGACCACCGCATCAAGATAAGGTAACTGCTTGCTCTCTCTCCATCTGACGGGCAGAGACAGACTGCCCTTTCTTCGGGCTTCGGAAAGTTCTTTTTGAAGGGCAGCCATACAATGAGGACTTTTCAGTAAGAAGTACAGGATCGAGCGGAGTGAGATAGCAGTAGTGTCTGAGCCGGCCGTGACATTACTGAGCGTGTACTGAAAGACCTGACGATCATTCACGATGCCGGGATGTTTCTCTTTCGCAATGAGCAAGCGGTGTAGAAAGTCGTCATTCAAAGACTCATTTTCGTTTAGCTTCATGGTAAGGCGCTCTTCCAAGCACTTGATGGCAAAGCTCGCGATTGCCCCTGTACCGCCTCCCAAAAGTCTCATGAGAGGGTTCTTGAGAAGTAAGTAATCGAGCCATGGCATTTGTCCTACCTGAAATTCACCCCATTAGAGTTAGCGCACTCCTCCCCTTTACCTGCGACTTAATGACTTGGGGAACAAGTAGGTTATACGAACCATAGCAACGTAATCCTGGGCCTTGCTGAGAGACTCAGTAATGTCTCCAACGTCTTTGGCTTGACTTAAAAAGCCCAATGGCTTACCAAACGTGATCTTTCCAATGACATCAAACGCATCTATTTCGCAGTCAGCGCGTCAACTGTCCTGATCAGCTCCAAATAACCACATACAGAATTGTAGCCATTTCCCAATGTCGCAGACCTTCTGCTGGGAGGCGAAGTCATCTAGACGGCAAAATAGCACTTTCATAATTTCGTCGACGTCGGCCTCGAATCGGAGTAAGTTGCTCATCGCATAGGCCGAAGACACTGGTCGTTTAATCAAAGAATGATAATCTTCATCTAGCGTGGAGAACAGCGTGGGCGCGAGTTTTCCCCATGCCATCTGCTGTGCGACTCGATAATAGGCACTCTATTACCTAGTCAGCGACTGGTACATGTGAAATGCAGAGTGTACTATTGTGACCACCTTCTTGTATGCATTCTTGATGCTATAAATGGTCTTCAGCACTTCAACGTTCTGCACGCTGACAACATTGGGACCAAGGCGCACATATTGCCCATGTTTTGCGTGCAATGTTAAGTGCGTCTTATGGGCATGTCCTTGGGCTACGTCGACCAACCTCCATAAGTCTGTGAGTTTTGCAAGGAAAGGCCCTGGTACAGCGTGTAAGCCGGGTCGAAAGAGGACTCGCAAGCAGAGAATGCATAACGCAGCAGTCAAGATGAGTAGAGCTTGGCCGAGGAAGTCAGCATCGGTGATCCAGTTGACAGCAACCATGTCAGAGATGATGCAAGTTTTTTGGCTGGTAATGAATGGTATGGGGCAGCAAGCTGAGGCTGGATGCGAGACAGAATTCTGGACATCAGATCCAAGAGGTGCAGGCATGCTTAACCCAAAACCTACATTGAGGAGCGCCGGTTCTTAGTTATCTTCAAGCACACGGTTTGTCCACCTCTACCAAGTGAATTTGATAGGACTGTGGCATTCAGCAATGGGCTTCATTGCAAATCAGACATGCTAGGGAGAATGTGGGAACGGCGAACCCCGGAGTTGGGATTTCAGCTAGTCCGCGTGAACCAGCTTTGCCTGGGTGTTTGAGCGGGATTCCGGCCCATTTTCATCGTCGGAGGTGGGTGGTCCGCTCAAGGCCGAGCCGGTGTTCCTCCTTTGGCCGCGAATGTCCGGACTGGCGGCTTCTCTAATTGACTTAGGTGTTTGCCAATAGCGGTCGTCCCGGATCTCGAAGTCTACATGTGGTTGATCGTGTGAGTGGCGATCTTGGTTCCGCTGATCCGGTCTTGGTCATCTCTGAAACAAGCCGGCAACGTCACTTGAAGCAAGGTAGTGAATGAGGAGACCAGGACACTTCATTCAACCGTGCGAGCCTGGAGGCATTTGTTGCAGCTGGCATCTACCCTGAATCATACTCCCCGTTACTACCTGCTTTTCTGCTTACTGAACACACCAGACTGCTCGGGGTTCCGTCAAATTGAAATCGATTGACAGTGCTTTATTGAAAAAATATTTAGGAGAAGTAGAATGCATTGATAGTACAGCAACTCGTCTTTCCTGCGCGTTACTAGAGGGGGTGCCTTGGGAAAGCGTGGAAAGCCTTCCACCTCTCAAATGCATCGACACTTTCCCCCACGGCATCGAACCCCAAAGTCACCCTGAGATAAGCTGAATCTGCAAAGGTGAACCCGTCTGGCGAAGCAGTCGCCGGACCAGATCTGAGCCAAGCGTCCCTGGCCTCTTGAAGGGGCCCGTCTGGTAAATGATATGCTTGCTGATTCGACCTCGCCCCCTGAACGTTGACAGTGGTTCGTGACTTTCGCAAGTTCTCATAGATCTCTAGCATATCCAACACATTGTCTCTAGCTCCGCTTTTGTACAGACCTGAATTGAATAACTGGCCAAGTAACTTGCCGAGCACAGCACCATCTTCTACCGCCATTGCTGCGCCCTGTGCTTGGTACGGTAGGGTGGGATGGCATGCGTCCCCGAGTAATGCTATTGGCCCCTGTTTCGGGTCAGTAGTGATCCAGATTCACTTCGCAATTGAAGTGGAGTTTTACCCTCCGCCAAGCTCTCAATTCTTCATGATGGCATAGCTTCCATTTCAAAACGGACGGAACGCACGATAGCATTTTTGTCAGCCTGCGAAAGTCTGATTAGTGTTGCAGCTGACATCTAGGGGGCTGTGGATTGGATGTACCTTTCATCCCACCCGGCGAACAAAGCCCTCATCTCTTCCACATCCCCAGGCGCCTGCCTGACATCTTTGGAGAGATCATCTGGGCACAGAATCACGAGGTTGAACATTTGTCCGCCGTCTATGGGGTAAAGAACGCAATGCTTGTTCGGACCCATCCAGCATTTGACAGTTTTATGCTTGATCATGTCGTCTATTCGAGGATCTCCAAAGTCTTTCATTTGCTGCAAACTTACTGTAGCTCGATAGGCTAGATCCCCCGTTTCGGAGGGAGGCGAGTGGCGCCCAAGGATTTGATCTCTTGATCTCGACCAGAGACCTACATGACACTCGATTAGTGTTGCACTGGCATGAGGGGATACCAGAAGCAGGTGAGATTAGAGAGTAAGAGGGGATGTGAGCATAACTGACCGTCGGCGCCGATAACGACGTCGCCACTGACAACCTCACCAGTCGCGAGGCGCACACTTGGGTCCTCGAAATCGATCTCAACTGCCTCCGAGCCCAGTCTCAACTCCACGCCAGCTTCTTTGGCCGCGTTCCACAGTACATCATGGTAATGTGGTCGAGCAATGACCCTGATTGAATTGTCAGCCCAGTTTTCGTAGGTCTGCAATCGGGCGTAATGCGCCGCAGGCTGCACCGGCAACTAACATCCAAATATCACCGTACGCCTTCTTGATTTTGTCACCAGCTTCTATCTGGAAGAGAACCTTGCCATCTTTGTATCGGAGGTAATCAATTGTGTCGACCAAGATGGCCTTTTCTAATAGTTGAGGCAGGAGACCAAGTTTGCGAACGATACGGGCAGCGTTGGGAGGAATTTGTATACCGGCGCCGACCTATTCTGTGTTATTAACGGAGCGCCATGGAAAAACTGACTGCCAAGGAAAGTAGGGCGATTATCTTTAACAAAGACTGATACTCACTGGTTTCAAACCGGGAGCTTGTTCGAGGACCACGACGTCGAGTCCTTCGCGACGGCAGGAGATAGCGCAAACCAATCCGCCGATCCCGGCTCCAATCACTACTACCTTCATCCTAAAATTGGCAAAGTGGGATTTAGAGAGGCAGATTTCGCATTGAGTTAAATCGACAAAATGGCAGTTTTAACTGGATTCTCTCCGACTCGATTCTTATATAGGGCTGGTTGAGGAGAACCAATGCATCAGTATCCTGACGCGCCGAGATCAGATGGAATTGGGTTGCCGAAGAAGGGAACCCTGATCGATGCCACCAAAAATCCGGAACGGTGAGTTTGCCGTCGTTGACCGGGCTTTTCCGATGCGTTATTGAACCTGACCCCATGGCCAGATCGCGCCTTTGTGCAAAGTCATGGTCAAGGAAGCCCGGGCCGTTGATTTCATCTTCGAAATTGTCCAAATTGTTTCTTTACTCGCGAGTTGCGGGGTGAACAGCCTTTCTTGTCATGAACGGTCTGATTTCAAACAAATCATCGTATTTTGTTGCACGTCTTCACCGTCTGAATTCTAAGCGCTTCATGCATTTTCACTATCAAAGATCTATATGACCAGGGTGGGTGCATGAACTAGGAAAGTTGAGAGAGAATTGATATTAGGGTTTATTTTCGCCCAAAACCACAGACGCATCTTGAAGCCAGCAAACCAGATACACAATCGACTTAATCTACATACGTGTCTTGGATCGAAGCATCTGATGAGCCATACCGCCTGCTACCGCAAGATGAGCTCACTGCATGCGCATCGTGCCAGAGTTCAAGCTACAGGTGGCAAGATCGGCTTCCCGGCATCCTCAATTCTACCTGTCACAAATCCAAGAGGAACGTTCGGGCCCCAAATGTGGAGTGAGTCTGGTGCTTCCGGAGATCGTGTAGCTGGAGTATTTTCGTTGACCAGGTCGCCGTCGCAATAATGTTCAAGAATGTTTCCAGAGCTATCAAACCTACATGTATGAAGCACATCAACGGTTAACAGAATGATCTTCCAGTATTGTACCAGAAGAGAGAGAGGGATTGTTAGTTAGTTGTGCTTACCAGTAGTCAAAGAGCTGGCTGCCTAGGACGTGTCGTCCTATTCCCCAACAGTTGGTGTACCCCTTTTTCAGCAGCCACTCATGGCCGAGGGCTTCTGTGTCCATGTCATTCACCTCAAAACTGGCATGATGAACAAAAGGTGTCTGGCCAAATGGGTGGACGCTGAGGAAGAAGCTCTTGTATCTACCATCAACGAATGTAACAATCCTTGCACGACAGTGCCACTTACGTGATGGTCTGTGAAAGTGCTCCGGGAGCCTTTTCGACAGCGTAGACATATGGGTCGACACCAAACCCAGCGAAGTAGATGCGGTCGTCCTGCCGAGCAACCTCTTGAAGACCAAAGTCTTCCAAAAATTAAGCTGCTTTGTCGACGTCAACATGCTGGTACACAACTGAGCTCAAGCGAACGACATTGACTTTTTGAGGCGATGGGGCCATTGCGAGTAAGATTCGTGATGTGCGTCTCAAATTGAAAGGGTTTACCGAAAGCAGATTGGGTGAGAGGTGAGCCCTTTGACTCAATGGATCAATTATTCGTATGATTTAGCCTAATATTCCAGATATGGCGATGACACTTTGCGGATTTATTTACTACTGTCCGTCAGCCGGCATTGGACGGTTCTGCCGCGAAGACCGCCCTTTTACCTTTATCTCTCGGAGGAGGCAGATGAAAGTTCCCAAAGAACCAGTTCTAGTGGAAGGCAATTTATCGGCAGTTTATGAACTCCGTGAATAAAGCTCGTTATCAATCGTGATCCGGCTCACCCGAATTCAATTTGAGTGCTAGACGCAATCGGACTGCTCCAGACAGGAAACCCCACTTGCAGCCCTTCTGGATGGAATCTGTATAACGAAGCACCTTTCATAATGCCTTTCAATCAACTCGTCCGATTTGAGGAAGATGGTGGGACTAGGTATGGTGATCTGGTCGATTCTGGGGATGAGAAAGGCTACACAATCTTGGAGCTCAGTGGCAGCCCATGGCACCAGTTGAAGTCCACCGGACGCGAGATCAAAGTTTCCAAAGTATTTCATCCACCCTTTCAAGCTTTCTCCTTACTTACGATAATTGAGTAGCTTTTATGCCCACTTGAGAGCTGTCCGATCATCATCTGCGTCGGGCTCAACTACAGGCAACACGCAGAAGAAGCACAGGTCTATTCCATACCCATGTTCTGCCCTGACAATGGCGTATGTTACCAAGGAAAAGTTTACTGACGTATCAACCAAACCTCTAGTTGAAGGTACCAACCTATCCAGTAATCTTCACTAAGCCCAGCGATTCTATGGCAGGCCCGTTTGACGATGTCAAGGCTCACCCTGACGCGCAAGTCCAACTCGATTACGAAGGGGAACTCGTCGTCATCATCGGACGAGATGCCAAAAATGTCCCAGAAGAACAGGCTCTAGACTACGTGCTGGGATACACGGCTGGAAACGACGTGTCCGCGAGGAATTTCCAACTGCCAGAGGCTTCTGGTGGACAGTTCTGTTATGCAAAATCTTTCGACAGGTTCGCACCTGTTGGTCCAGCCATTTGGTCAGCCGAGCGGGTGCCAGATCCCCAAAAGCTGCACCTCAAGACGATGGTCAACGGGGAGGTCGTGCAGGAAACCGACACAAGTGATATGATTTGGTCAGTTGCCCAGATTATCGCGCATCTTTCGCGAGGAACAACATTACGGAAGGGAACGGTAATTATGACGGGCACACCCTCTGGGGTCGGATACTTTCGAGACGCGTTTCTCAAGGACGGTGACGTGGTAGAAGTAGAGATCACAGGACTGGGGAAAATTGCGAACCGGATGGTCTTTTGACACTCGACGAAAATAGCGGGAAGCGAAAGTTTCTAGAATGACGCATGGTGTTATAACAACAAAGAGTGAAGCCTTACTTCGGACCGTACGTGAACGTAGAATGTGTCGGCGATGCGTGCATCTTCAAGTCGTCAGCAATGTTGACACGCGGCACCACCACGATTAAGCAAGCCACTGGTAATTTGAGGACCACTTTGTTTCGGATGCCCAGAAGACTGCAAGCAATATCGGTGCAATCCACGGAATAGAGCCTTGATAATCAGGTTCCAGGATTGCACGACGAGTCTTCCTAACTACTAAAGGTGTGCGTGGTAGCAGATCACACCTTCATGTAGCAACTAAGACAATGTGGCCGGCTCGATATGGACACTTTTTAAATTCAAGTTGCCCCAGAAGTTGATTTCCAACGTGGTTACATCACCTCAAAATCCTGTGCGCCCGCAGGTGACGAGAATCTACTCGAAGCAGCCGAACCCCCGGCTATCGCCGCAGAGATAGTCCATCTGTGTTGGAGAGCACCAGTTGTACACTCCTTCCAATGTGTCTGTTGGCAGCTGTACTGCGTCACTCGCAACCTCATCAAGTCCAAATTGAATGTTGAATAGTTCTCCAGGAGATTGGCAAGCCTCTTGCGGCTGAACAATCTCTTCGCGGGCAGAGCTCATGTTTGAATGGCGCATCTCTACCTGAGCTGGATTTCGGCCTCCTGGTGATTCATGTTGAATGGACAAGTGGGAGAAGTATATCTTGCAGTATTTCGTCATCGAGCATTGGGTTTTGCGAAACTGTTCGTCGTAGCTTGACTTGGAAGTCACTAGGCCTACGAAGATTTGCATCATTACGCTTAGTCGAAGGTGCCTGTCTGGAAAGCGATGGACTCACCTAGTAGCAAGGAACCTAACTTCCAGAAGGTCGCAAAGTGGGAAAGAATGAGAGCCGCCAGTTCCTGGTTACATGAGACACTGAGAGGCCGTGTTGAAGACAGGGAGGGGTACGTTCGGGCATAGAGAAGTGTCCCAGCAAAGAATGGATGACTGAGAGCGATGTATTCAGGGTGCCAGCGGTTGAGAATTCTTGAGAAGTCATCTCCAAAGGTCTCTATTCCTGCCACGGGGCCAACCGTGAGAACTGAGAGACATGCTCTAGTGCATGCCAGCATCAGGTGCATGCCGATGATCCAGTTATCCCTTGCAAAAGTCCCAGCAACGAAAGCGGGAGGGTTGGTTTCCAGACCATATCGCTGCGATACTGCAAGGGAAAAGTATGTAATCGAACTCGTGAGCTCGCTGTGGTCTCGCTGAGACTTGTGACGGCCTGACGCTGCCTCGTATGCCAAGGCCATGAGATGGTTGGCCAGGAGGAACCACGCTCGTTCGTCATTGTTTGGAGAGTCGAGCAGGACTTTCCAAGCCTGAGCTGGATCGGGAGGAATCGCTGGAGACTCGCACGGATGATTGGAGAACCAAGCTTGGTCGCTGGCCGGAAGACGTACGACGATCCGTTGGCTGTTGAGTCCTCGCGGGCGCATTGACAAGATGGAAGCAAATGTATCGAGTTCCCACACGAGCCAAAACGCCCTCCTCCGCTCTTCTGCCGCCGACCATTCCGCGGCGGTTTCGTTGACGTCTTCATCTTCGTCCATGCAGCACAGGTCTAGGTCGTAAGCTAGGCGGACGCATACCCCAGTCAGGATCCATGCTTGGTGACTTGGGCCGCTCGTATAGAGGTAAAAAGCCAGTAGAATGCAGCCCTGTAAATATTCCAAGTTCGTTTCAAAATCAGCAGACCGTAATTCGGCGTAGTATTTTATCGCTTGCTCCGCAAACCTTTCGCCGCGATTCGGCGACGCCATATCTTTAAAATATTCATGCTTGGAGTGTCGGGCGGCGAGGGCAAAGATACCGAAAAACAGCAAGGCCTCTTGTAACGAGACCTTTTGTAGCCTATCACTGTGGAAGCTGCCGTCGGCCAAGTATTGGGCAAAGAAGTTTGGCCGATGGAGGAGTGGCAGCCACGCTTGGATCTTGTCAAAATATAGATTGACAAGCTCTGTCACCACATCATCGGGTATTCCAGTCCAGGTTGATGCCGTGCTTGGCTGCTGGTTGCTGTCCACGGTCTCGGCCTCAACATATTCGTGAGTCCGAGAAGCGAGGCCAGGGCCTGTTGGCATGGCGGCAGTGCTATTTGGAATCCCGGAGATTTGCTGCCCCGAGGCATCTTCTCGACACGTTCCGGTTGATTCGGAAAAACTTGGGCTCGTGGCGCTCGATTGAACACTCCCTGTATCCCTTCCTGGTGATTCACATGTTGAGCTTTGGCTCTTCGGGGTCTCTTCGAGCCTGGATTCGAGCAGACCAACAAGATATTCTAGTTGAGAGCTTAGTATCAACCACGAGTCACGAAAGGGCGGTCGGTCGAACCAATCCTCTGCGGGTCTATCATATTCGCGTCCCTCGCCTTCGTAGGCCGCTTCCGAAATTCCGGGGCTTTCCTCCTTGTCGGAAATGTACAGCATCCTCCCGTTCTCCGACAAAGACCACAGATGGGCTGTCGCATGTCGCCTGCAGCTTCGTAGTCAGCGGATTCTACATGTATAAAGGATTCGGACAGGCCATCTTTGTTTCCATACATCGTGTCTTCTTGCTGCAATGGGAGACGGAAAAACAACATTAGCTACGGTGACGAGACGAGGGAGTAGCTTTGGGTCGAATGGCGACGTACCGCCGGCACTCAATACAGGCACGAAATCCCCTCTCTAGAGAGAGAGTTACGATCGGTTGGTCCTCGTTCGAACTGCGATTTTGCTGCGTCTTTTCAGCCTCAGTCGTGTCGACCTCCATCGCGGATACGTCTTTTCAGATCGGTCTCAGGGGTAAACAATCGGAAGTCACATGCGCTAGAAGTACGAGTAATCTTGTGAATCGTATTCACTCGTGACGATGGCCGCGCAGATGCAGAAGGCAACCTGAAACTGCGCCCCGCTAGCTACCCCAGATTTCAAGTGACCGGCACTGCCGGATTCACGGTGTAAGGCGATTAAAAGATGCGGGGTTCGGCGGGTTTAAAGCACAGGACGCTTCGGAGGTAACTTGATCGGCAACATAGTTCGTCTGGGGTAAGTAAAGTCCACTTTGGGGAAGCACGTGTGGATTTAGTCCTCCCTTGAATCCATTTCCCCGCGCGAGTTGATCAGGCTTGGCAACCAAGAAAGGCCCAATCTGTTTCCATCATTGGTTTCTAATCCATTGATTACAGATTGACGTTACCAAGTTCTCCATGATGGCGTATTAAAAATGTAAGGAGCTTCAGTCTAGCACCGTTAGTATCTGTGCATATAGTCTTTGCCAAACTTTAAACATGCTAAGTCGGCTGTTTTAGGTATTTGCCCAGGTGGGGCCGGCCAACCGCGGCATTCCGGAATGCCGTCCCAGGCTTGTTAGGCACGCGTAGAGACGGAACCGAAAGGAAGATGCCCGGTCGAAGAGCTTCGCCGTGGAAGCCGGTATTGTGAGTACTGGGAGCCTGATGGATGGCATTTCCAGCCTGTAGAGGTATTGGTGGGCAAAAAGCTTTGAATAAAACTAACATGAAGATACCAAAGCAGCTGGCGAACACATTGTTCTCGGCTTGCGAAATGTGACTTGAACAGAACCTTTACTCACCAAAATTTACATAATCAAAGTCTTCGAACAAAAAAGAGATGGCTTCAGATCTGGTACGTAAGACATTCCATTGCCCAATTCGATGCGCTGATGAGTACTAAGTATTTTATGCGCAGGTCATCGAGCATCATGTGCCAGTTCTGATCGTTGGCGCCGGTCCTGCTGGCCTGCTTCAAGCAGTCCAGCTGGCAAAGAATGGCGTGAAGAGCATGATGGTGGAGCGAAACCTAGATTCAACCAAATGGCCCAAGATGGATATAACCAATTGTCGAAGCATGGAGCTATTCAGGAAACTTGGGATTGCAGATGACTTCCGGGCTCAAGGTGTCCCGCAACACTACTCATTCGATGTGCTCTTCAGCACGGGTCTGTCAAAAGACGGGGAGCTTATCAACAAATGGGTACGACCTCGCAAGAGTCACAACGTTTTACAGTCCCAATCTTGCGTTCTCTGACGAGATTTTACAGTCTTTCTTCGCCAGACGAGTGGCGACAGCGCATTCGCGATTGTAACGATGGGTCGATGCCGAGGGAGCCCTATCAGCGCTGTAGCCAGGCAATCTTTGAAGCTTGGCTGAAGCGTCGCATAGAGACTGAGGATCTTATCGAGGACTACTATGGCCTCAAATTCGAAAGTTTCGCGGAAACTCCCGACGGTTTGGAATCGAATCTTGTCGATGTCGTCACTGGAGAACGGCATCTGGTCGTCAGCCAGTACTTGGTCGGTTGTGACGGCGCTGGAAGTAGCGTCCGTCGACAACTAGATATCAAGATGATTGGTGGTCCTGTGTAAGTTCTGATAATTCGCCGTCAAACAGGCCCCATTCTGATAATGCGTCTTCCAGGCCCTCCGCAATGTATCTTGTTCATTTCAAATCGCGAGATCTGACAGCGCTTCACAAGCAGGGTCAGTTCTGGCACATATTTTTCACCAGCGGCGGCGTCATAATATCCCAAGACGAAATCGACACTTGGACCATTCATCTCCCCATCTCTCTCGACACAGATTGGAAATCTTTGGATCCAAAAGAGTCTATCTATCAAGTGCTAGGCGGTTCTTTGGCCCCGTATCCTATCAAGGTAGATGACATCCTTGTTTGCAGCTCGTGGCGCCCAAATATCGCCGTCGCAGAGCGATTTGCCTCAGAAACTCTCCGAATCTTCTTAGCCGGTGACGCTGCCCATCAAAATATCCCCACTGGTGGATACGGCATGAATACGGCTGTCGGCGATTCCTTCGACATAGGTTGGAAGCTGTCAGCTGTTCTGAATGGTTGGGGAGGCCAAGAACTGCTTCACTCTTACGAAATCGAACGGAAACCGGTTGCCATTCGCAACATTGAGCGATCTGGGCAACACTTTCAGGTCCATCAGACGTATGTCAAGTGGGTTACCGATGGAGGACCAGATACCCTTTCCAACAGTGGAGAACGCAGAGCGTTGCTTGATCGCATAAGAGCTCACACTGAGGCTCACCAAGGCGAGAACAAGGATCATGGAATCGAGATGGGATACCGATACAACGGATCACCTGTCATTCTGCAGGAGGATATTGGAGAAGAAAGACAGGAGCCTTCCTGGGATGCTCGTACTTTTGTACCATCCTCTTGGCCCGGTGGGCGGGCTCCCCACGTCTATCTCAAAGATGGAACAACGAGTATCTTCGACCTTTTTGGACCTGGATTCACAATTGTTGACTTCACTGAAGCTGGGAATTGGAGTCTAGAATTTGGGGCCGCAGCAACTCTGCTCAAGGTTCCGCTCAAAAAGGTGCACTTACCGGAAGAGGCCCGTGCGAGGCAAATCTGGGGTAGAGACGCTATTCTTGTTCGCCCTGATGATCATATTGCCTGGAGGTCACCACTTTACGGGAAGAAAGTCGATATCAAAGCAGCCTTGGAGGTTGTGATAGGACAACGCTCACAGTCGCGGACGTCTGAAAACGCCTCTTCTGCTGCCTTGGAAGGCGTCAAACAGCGTGGGTTTACATCGACAATGGGGAATGTTGAAGATGACAGAGTTGGTCTGCTCGCCCCGTTCCAACGATAAAGCATCTCTAGACTTCTATAGTGCCATGACGACTCACTTTATTACTGCTTCTAAGTAATATTTATCATGGAAGTCCTGCGGGCTGTCTCAAATTATGTGGTAGGTCTTTCATAAACCCAGGGAGCCCATGACTCCAGAAATTGTCGTGACAATCCACAAGGAAACAGTACCGCAGTGCGGCATTTATTCGCTCTTTCCCCTTATTTCGTCCAGTATCCCGTCACTTCTGTTCAATCTCAAAACCATCCAACGCTATTTTTATTTGTACACAATGCGCTGTATGAAAGCCAAAGGAGGGTATTTTGCTATGCTCAGCCAGAATTAATGCCAGCAATTCCTTGTGAAGTGAAGGGACAGAGTGATCTAAATATCGCATGAACATCGACCATTCATGAAGTCATCTACTGTCTGTAAACCGGCAGTGCCCTTGTTGCGCAAAGCGTCTTTGGCTTTGCTAAGAACTCACTTGCATCCCGACGACCTGAAAGACACAGTAACTTCAGCACTATCCTCTAATTGACTGATTTTACTAGTCAGATCATTAACTTGCTTCGTCGTGGTAGCCAACTTCTGCACAGTATCCGCAATGGTTTGCTAATGGAGATTGAGACGGTGGCAAGAGTTGGCCAGATTGGTGCCCATCGAAGTGCTCTTCTATAGATTCTTGTAGTGCGCTTCCATTCCTCGGAAAGCGTGGCTCTCACATGTGCAGAAAGCAGAAAGTCTAGCTTGCGGTGAATCTCGGCCAAGGAGGCGTTGATGCCTTCAATCCACTTCCAAAACCCCTGTACTTCAGGATCGATCGTCGGAGAGATAGGCGGCTTGGAGATGTTGGCTGCCTGTCGAACGTCGGACCATTTGATGATGTTCGTTTGTACCTGAAGAAATTTACTGTTAGAGTGCCGCCGCTCAGAATTCTATTGCTTGATTAATAACAGAGGAGGAATGAAACAAACTCCTGGAAACTGACCCGGCATCTTGGGCCACTCTCCGACTGTGGTCTCCCGCTGCCGCTTGTCGTTGGGGACTTGTCGATCCATCTCTATGAATATTATCGCAAATTATCTCGGGCCTGCCGATCAATGATGCGTGTCATGTGTGATATTGCCAGGTGTACAAGATTCATGCAAAGTCAGATACGATAGCGCCTTGCGTTGTCAAATGTCGGGTAGTATGAGCTTTCCGCTTCTCTTGTTGGAGAAAGTCGGAAGATTCTCGACGTTGTCTATGTGAATGTTTTAGAAGAGAATCAACTACAGAAGGTGGAAGATCTTCTCTGGCAAGAGACTTGGGTGGTTCTCTGGATCACATATATGTTTCTGGTCCGACCTCACCTTACCTCTCGCCAGCCGTGAGATTTTACGGTGGGGAAAGTAGCACGTGAGTAATATTTAATTCCACTACCTTCCATGGTAAGTCTGAATGCTTCTCTTCTGTTCCTCTCACCTTCATTTCTGGTCTTTGCCTTGTGATCAATGATCCCACCAAACTTGCGCGAAGGTGAAGTTGTAGGTGAAGCGAGCCCTCACGAAGTCCCACAGTTTCCCCTTTCGGACATAGACGGCGAAACTAGGTAACTTGAGATGAACGGACGGCAACACGGCAACACGGCAGCACGGCAAAACGGCAGCGTCCTTTGCTGCTTGCGGAGACAGGAGCCTTAAACGCAGACACAATTTTCAGCTTAGCCGCTGAATCTTCATTTTACTTTGGCCATCTCCACGAAGTTTGATTCGAGACTTCCAGCTTTAACACGATGAGGTCTGGTGTCTGTATCACAACCCGCCTTCCGAGTTTGACCTCATGTTGCAAAAGGTAGAAGGGCCCACGAAGCCATTCAGCAGTGAACTTATACACTTTCGCCAGCTTCAGCGCCTGTAAAAGCTATTCTGCAACTGTGGGTGGCATAGAATATCAAAATGAGGGTGTCACCACTGACGACCATCGAAACCATTAAGGGGAAATTTTGTGGACATGGCATCAGACCAGAAACGCAAAGACGCCAGACGCGACATATATCTAACGTGGCCAAGTCTTCTTGTTCGAACCGGAGGTACTTGTTGTTGTATCCATCAAAATGTAAGCGAGCAAGGCATACCCGAGTCAAGCTAAACTCTCCCAACCTGGCTGGGCCCGACTTACGCTTGTCAAAGTCGTCTGAATTGAGATGTCTGCTTATGCACATACAAACTTGACTTTACCAGCAAAAGCTTACGAGCCCAACGGTCAATGCCGTAGACATGTTCCCACTTTCCTCGATTCATCACAAGCTTGAACTCTCAAGAAGCCCAGCTCGTGAGCTGATTGGGAGTATGCATCCCGCCTCACCAGCTTTATTTTTTCGGAAGGCTATTTCCGAGAATCCAAATCGTGATGGTTATAGCCTTAACCCCTAATCTTAAAAACCCAAAAGATGAGGTCGAATCTTCTGCCGAATCTTCTTTTGAGCTTGATTCTAATCCTACAGATGCACCCCTCAACGATAATTGCTTATTCGATTTCGACTGCCGCAAAGGATGAGTTGCATTTCGTTTACCCGCTTGCCTAGCGTATTGATCGCAAAATGTCAAATGACTCGGCAGTCGCCATCCCATAAGCTTTCCACAAGGTCTACGAACATCCCTGTGTAGATAAATTTGTTACTGAGCTTTCCTAGTAGGGCTGCGAAGACAGTAACCGAAGGGGTGGATACAACACCCGTCTTGAAGTGCCTTCGGTCTCAACAAAGGTTTGTTCATCCTGGTCCCCCAGGACCACCACCCGCACCATCTGTTGATCTTCTGTGCCTCTTCATATCGATGCCAAGGCTGTCTATCCGCCTTGGCTATACTCTTGACATGTGGTATGAGATGCTGATATCTCACAACCGCAGAGGAGCCTCACCGCACAAAGAATTTGCGAACGGGGGCTTGTCCGAGCGCTTGGCTCTTGGCTCTCCATAAATAGTCCTCCAAGCGCGAGTTCGCAGCGGATTTGCAAACAAGTCTACACAGCCCCCAAGATAGCTGCGACAACAGGCCCAATGACTAATCTGTCTTGTGTGACAGACCCGAGTCCTCAAGCATTACTCAACTTGCGGGTACGGGCACAACTGGCATCACTTTGCGTTTTGGTGGTCGCCGGGAGCCGAGATCACAAAGTTGCCCCTGACGCTTGGACCGACTTAGCCTTTAGGCGCCGGCTAACCTTTTTTCTTGCCTTGAATTGAGCTGGCTGCCACCCTTGAGGCTCACGGATCCAGCCGAGAGCGATTGCGAAGGCAGGAGGGACAACATCAGACACAGCTGTCTTCCCCTTCCTCCCTCCCACCCGGCACCTTACTCTCAACTGAAAATTGGCCCAACGGCAGCGCTTGCCCTGAGTCGGGGAGGGAAAATGTGGTTCACAGCACAAACCCAAAGTTGTGCCGTGCACAGCCCGCGCGCTGGCGCCGGTTGGTGTTGGCCGACCTAGACTAGGGCGCAGCAAGGATCCGTGTGGAGGGGGAAGCTAGTAAATATTGTTCAGACATCAAAGCAAAATCCAACATAATGTAGCCACAGAGCTTGGACTTGCCGGGGAGTGACATGTTCACAGTCGGAAACAAACTAGGTTGCCCTTGGTGAGAGCGACGGTGCCTTTTCAGGTGGGAGGGGATAGTGGTGAGTTATGGCAAAGGGGGCTGTTTTTCTGCTCTGCGAAAGCGAGAAAGGCATAACCATAAATCCAACAGCATCTTCGGATAAGGAGGGCGGAATCTTTGGATGACGCGCAGCTTCAGGGCTGCCCAACGTTCAGCTCTCACCCATGGATTGTCTCGAGAATCAAGTTTGCGCCGCTTTGTAACTCCCATGAGGCTCTCATGAGGGAAGTCAACCAACCAACAAATAAGCCAGTGGATACCGATAGGTATAATGGACCGGATAATATGTGAAAACAACGTCGTTTTACATGCTTCTTGATGACTCTTCATACCTACCGGTGGACCTCGGAAGCGAGGCGACGGCCGAAAGCTTAAACGGCGTAGTGCCGGCAGCGGGTCGGCGGGTGTGCCAGCGGTCGACTGGGTCAGTCAACAACTAAGCCGCAACCAGAACGACTTGCGTCGTTCAACCGCTAAGCTGGGAAAGGCCAGTGTGGTCGCAGTTGTCGGGGACATTTTGGTCCCAAAGGTAAGAAGAGAAGAGGAAGGGAGGGAACCAAGGTTTGTTTCACCCCCGGACAGAGTTCGCCGCTCGCGGCCAATCCCCGCCGACGGCCATCCCCCATCAACGACTCTCCTAAACTTCTGGACGACAGCTTTTCAACCGGACTCAACGCAATGCGCGTCTCAGGAGGGCCGCTGTAGATTCGGCGTGCTCTGGAGTGCAAGGCAAGTCCAGCCTGTCGTGGACGAACGCGGGGACGTACGTCGTCTGAAATATTTGCGCCCCGTGCATGCCGAGGGCGACATCGAGATCAGTGTCTTCCAGTCCTTTTGTCTGCGGTTGCTGGCAAGTTTGGAACTCGGCATCCCCTTGCATTCGAGGCGTACGAAGGGCAGGAGCTTTGGGTGTCTCTCCATATGTCGTCTCTTCCCCCCCCAATACGCACGCACTGAAACGACGTGGGATAACCATCAATGCTCAGACTGCCAGAGGGGTTGGGCCCTGCAAGGCACGGCCGAAGCTAGAAGATGGTGAGGGATCATGACAGTCCGGGAGAAGCAGTGCGGGAGAAGGAAGAACGAGGCGTAAATAAGAGTCATCGTGCTCCCGCTCCTCTACCCTGAATAGTCTTCCGAGCGTGACTCTTTTACTCAAGGGCGTGCCACGCAATCATGGGATAAGGGAACTTGATCACGATCACTTTACCAAACTATCAACATGAACACCTTCAACCCTCGTCGGGTCTCGTACCTCAGGCCGCCTACCACGGTCATTGAGGTGCGCGAGTCCTGGGCATCGCCGTACCCTACGCCCAACTCCGTCGGATATCCCCCATCGGAAAGATCGGCCGACGAGAAATTCGCTTCTGCTGTCTGGAAACGCACCTTCAACCACGTCGATTATGCCGCATACAAGGCAGCTTGCGATGCCGAGAGGGAGGCCATGCCTGAACAGGACCCGGATGTCTCTTTCCCTGCCTCCAATTCAGCGCGGATGGGTTTGTCAAGATTGGGCGGTATGCTCACTATTTACCCCTACCGCGATATGGGATGGCTCGTCACCATGGTCTTCACTGGAGCCGGAATTTGCCTCTCTCTGAACGGCATCTTCAGTCTTATCCACCTCCTGGATCCTAAGCTGGACTTCCCCGGACGCGAGGCTGGCGCCCAGGTCACTGTCACTCTCGGAAGCGCTCTTCTAGCTCTGAGTGCCCTCATGGGCTTGCTGGCCGCATTCAACGTCGACCGCGGCATGCTCGATCCCAAGAAGGACGCTCCCGACGCATACAAGCCAGCGCTCCTCGGCAGCGAAGATTGGGTCTGGTGGCCCAGCTGGTACGAGTTCAAAACCATCTACTGGCCAAGCTCGGCCTTCCGCGCCGGCATCCTCCAGTTCCTCGCCGGCTCCTTCTTCACCATCGCGGCAATAGCCATCCTGCCAGGCGTCCTCGACCTCACACACCCGGACGCCTCCGCCATTTTCGTCTCTTTACCTCAACTCTCCGGCGGCAGCCTCTTTGTCCTCGCCGGCCTTCTCATGATTTTCTTGTCCCAGGACAAGTGGTACATCCCAAAGGTTCTCGACGCCAGTTGGCAAAACGGATTTTGGAATTTGGTTGGCGCAAGTGGGTTTTTGGCCATCGGCGTTGTGACCTTGCTCGCAAAGACTGCGACTGTGGCGATTGCTTCACTTTTTCTTATGAGCGGACTCGGATTCTTGATTGCCAGCCTGATCCAGTGGTACATCATTATGGAGTACTACCCGGTCGATCCTTACGTCAAGGACCCCATGCAGGCGGCAGAGATTCCTTCCCAATCGATCTATTAACGACACTTTTATGAACTGGGATACGGGTTAACGGGGTTAACAAGGCTTGGGCTTATACCAGAAGTAAACAGAATTTAGAGATAACGACTCAGATTTTAATTTATGATTTTACGACTCAACCTTACTTCTTCCTCACTCCGCCCCGTGTCAAGAACACAAATTCTTGATCTCTGGTGTGACTGCCCGACACGTTCCGTAGATATTCTTCGGATGAGTCTCGATGTACCCATACTCGTCTTTCAGCAGGGAGTGGAAAGATGATACCTTGACGAAATGGACACCACAAAAATGTATCATTTGCACAATTTATGAGATGGTGCTTGAAAGTCCGATCTTGGGATCAGCGTACGACTAATCTTTCTACCCAGAGCATGGTCATGGTCTCATCCGACCTCTTAACCAGGCTTTCATTTCATCGCGCCCTGACCATTCACGCACCTACATGAGCTCCTGCTACCCACAATTCAACTTGCCCTATGCTTTGGGGAAACAGCCTTCCCACTAGAGCATCAGAAATAGACCGAAAAAGCTTCTCTACTTTTTGGATCTGCGGTCCGCAATAGTGTAGAAAAGGCTGCCGTCGTAGATGCCACGAATGTCCTCCTTCGTCATCCGTCCATCCGCGGGCCAAAGCATGAGATACGTAGCGAACCCTGCTCAACGGTTAGCACTGGGAAGGCCTATACAACGTGCCAGCGTAAGTACTCACACTCGAAGAATGCACCGCCCCAACCAATCGGATCAGCCACAAGCCTCTGACCCTTCAACATCGCGAGTACGTCCCAGATGGTCATGTAGTCTCTTGCCTCGGCGTACTTGGAAAACATGTCCTCAAACTTTTGCGGGTTGAATCGACCCTCGGTGTCATACGTGTTCGTATCACTGCCGTGCTTATCCTTGTGAATTCTGTCAAGGAAGATGCGGAAGAGGGGGTCCGGCAGGTATCCGCTCACTGTCGGATAAGAAAAGTTGCTGTGGATGATGAAGACGGAAACTAGTGAGAGAATAACCCCGAATCCAAGGGCGTAGAATCCCCAGAATGTGTCAGTGGGATAGATTACACCATCTTTGTCCTGCAGTGCCCCCTCATCAACTTTTGAATCCACTCAAGGAGAGGGCAGCAAACGTACGGTATCGAAAAACTCGCAGTGTTGTTGCAAGACGGTTTGATGACGGTGCCTTTGTGACCAGCCATGTTCCGTCGTGCCGTTGGGCTTTTCATGAGTTGCCGCGATATTCGCCCGAGGAGTGCCTGCCATTGATTAGTTCCTGGCTCTCACGGAATCCGATGGTATCGTCATCCTACCAGTGTGGGCGAGCTTTTGGTCCTTCTCTGGCTGCAAGAAGGGTTTTCGCTGTTGCGTGACCGGCACTTCTGGAATCGACCAGACGACCGGTTCTGCTAGCTTATCAGCCGTCTTCCTGGACGGCTTTTGCGCCGGCTTCTGCATCTTTGTGTAATTATGATCTTCGAGGGTGGCCATGGTTACAACGCTTTGGTGTGTGTTTGCTGGGAGAGAAGCATGAGCCAGTCATAACAATCAGATTGGAAAATACCTGGTTCGCGGTGGCATATATCATGCTATTGTGAGCTACGCGAGCTAAGACATTTCCGAACATGCGCTGTTCATTGTGACGTCACTGAGCCCGTTCAAAGACCTCAGACCATCGCGGTTTTCAGGCCATAATCCGTCTCGATTCCGCCATTTCAATTTTGCATGTGATTATTGGGATTGTTGCATTCCTGTCCTTGCTTACTGCTGTAGACGGATACGAGCGGTGCTAGCCCCAAGCAGCTACATTGGTATTTCTGATGGGTTGCTTCGAGCCGCATCCTGCATAGATGAACACCTTGGCACCAACCGCGACCACTATAGTCTCGGTAGAGAATCGAGACAAGTCAATACTTATTGCCATGGTGATGAAAAGATACCCATCGGTCGCAGTGTTGAAGTCTTCGTGCTTTTAATTCGTGATGTGCCTGAACCTGCGCTATCCAACTCAGCCAACGGCACATTTTCACGATCTTGAACAATCCACATGAATCACATTATGACTTGATTTACCCGAGTTGACAGCAGCCGAAGAGATTGAAGATTTAAGGCATGCAAGGCATGTTGGAATTCACTTGAGGGGCAAGTGAAGCAATGATAGGCTATAGCCACGATAGCGATGACTGAGCGAGGGATGTACGGAGACATGTTAACACTGAGGAGAAGCATGGAAGGCAGCCACTTAACATTACCCTTTGAGCAGCTAGTTATGCATTGGTATGTGGATGGAGGAAACAATGTGTTATGAGGAGAGTGATGTGTGGACATATGCATCACGGTCCGGAAGAGCCCCGGTAGACGATCTAGGACTCTGGTAACTCCATAGACATTAAAGGGCTATATTGCAATGGCGAGTGTGACAAAATTTCAAACCAGCTTACATGCAGTCCTTCTTGTCAGATGACAAAGCTGGAAGTAGTGGTACAGACGAAGCGTTCCTACAAATCCCAAAGCCGCCAAATTTCAGTCACTCTGCCAAGAGGATCTGTCATTAGCTTTCGGAACTGAGTAGTAAAAGGTTGCTAGATTCTTACTTATTACTGTGGGACTTCTTCAGGAATGCATTAATTTGCGGACGAATGAGCTGGCCAACTGTTTCCCGCGGGCTGGTGAATTCCATCGATCATTCGTCAGTGACGTTTGGTTTCTTTAATGAAAACCACATCAAATGATCACGCGGAAAGAGGGAATTAATGTTCACGGCAGCCATCGAAGTCTGGGCCAACAGTTACTAAGCTACGCGAGTGTGTAGAAAAGCGCAGAAAAAGCGCGGCTTTTATAGCAATCCGCTTCAACCTTGGCAAGGTTGATTGAAAATTGATGGTCTTTGCACTAGGGACTGAGAAGCAGACAGGGCTGTTGTATGGAGCGATGGTGAAAGTGTCATGTCACATTTGGTTCGGGACCTCTATCACTTCACAACTCAATTTTGCCATGCAATTGTGCAACCACGTTCCAACGACTTGGCGATGTGGACAACATCCGCGTTGATGCTGTGGCGCGGTCACGAACCAGCATATTAGGCTCTTCGGTGACCGAAAAGTCGCACGAGGGCAAATCGCGATTTGCGATTCAATGTCTAACTTTGAGCAGCCTCGCCTCTTGCCTCTCCGCGCAGGCCACAAACATGTTCGTGCCAATGCCAGAGCAGACCCCATGATGATCTTTGCGAGACGAACGGGTCGCGAGGAGGGTTGGCCGCCCTTTATTTACGAAACCCGCCAGCATGAACCATCATGCTCAGGCGCCACGATGGACAAAAACGGACATTACCCAGGCCGTGTTCATGGAACGATCAGACCATCATCGCCCGCATCCCTTTTTTCCCCCCAAAAGCTGGCCGCCCGTGTGGTCCCCGAAACTACCAGCATTTTGTGCCAGGCCTACTTTGGGATCCTGATCGCAGACCTCCGCCAGTTCGTGAACGCTTGGACAGTGCTCGGGCTCGCACCACTTGGCGGCAACGGCTCACCCGTCAATGACAAGAACCTCTGTTTGTCTTTTTGAAACAGAAATCGCGCAGACAGACCTCCCCGAGCTGAAAGAGGAACGGCGTCCTGCCGACCGTCTGTCTATCTGTCTGCCTCTCTGTCTGCGCCCTGCCGACCAACTGAAGAAACACGTTCGTCTCTTGGCGGCATGGCACAAACCTCACAGCTGCATGGACCAATTGATTGTGACAGAGTCATCACTCAGCCAGTGCGGCCCAATGACACTGAGGCGCTCGGCATGCACGACCGTTGAAGCCTTGATTCCACATTTGAGTTGATCGGCTTTCATCGGGCGCAATGTCTGGCCGTGTTGAGCACGAGGCGGCCTAGGTATTTGTCGAGGCTTCACTGGTTGTCAGTTCATCTCAACTCCAATCACTTGGGAGCTTGCGAGGGTGTTTGGAGCTAACTTTCTCACGTCAGGAGTCACATTCCGGAGGAACCGGCATACGATTTCACAATAAGAATACGGCAGTGGCTCGGAGCATGCATGTCCGGGTGAACCCGTTCCAGGCTGTTGAAATTTGAGAGGACAGGCTGTGGTAATGATGTTGATAAGACGCCGAATACGTGGGCACCTTATTTGATGTACGTTCCATCGTGATCTAGAAGATCCAACGGCTCTCGATTCACAACGTGGAAAGAGGCATCAAAAACGGCCAGGGATCAGATGACAATCTTGCATCTCGCATGGACGGAGCGCATTCGGAGAATTTCGGCGATTAAATTGTTGAGTACGAAGTACGCGTCAGACGATTCCCAAGACCCAGATCACATCCTGCGGCGATTTCGTGGACAACTCACGCGCCGAAGATGATTAAGTGACCCGCTGACTGCACTGAAGGTCAAGACACGGCGATACATTTCGGATGAGGCCATAAAGGAAGCCGGTTACTAACAAGGTAAATAAGAGACAAACTCATTCCCCGGAACCGACCATACTGATTGACGTCTTCTTATTAAAAAGAAATCTTCAAAAGCAGGCATCGCAGGGTGAAGGAGCAAAAGCATATGATCAGTGGGAGGCTTGAACTCCCGGCCTTGGCATTACTCAAAATTTCAGATGAAATATTAGTACCACGCTCTAACCAACTGAGCTAACCGACCATTTGGTTGTTGGTGATGTGGTTGTGGAATTTTCGTGTTATGGAGCTGGGGGGTGGAGTCGTGGGTGAGTCAGTCAGAAGAGTTTTTTCTCGTCGACTGGATGCTCGGTTTTTTGTGCAGAGTCCAATGACAGTCCGGGAACAACTCGGTTGTAATAGCGTGCGCATCAATGCGAGCTACAGGTGGATTGGTGGAAAGAATAAGCTCGGCGAACTCAAGATACGTCACGGTTGTCTCTTTTGATGTCTACCTTGGATCTTGTTATCCCGCAGCAGATTGATTGATTGATCACTCTCCATGCCCAGTATCCGTAGCATCTAGGAAATAATTCTCGCAATCCTACGTCGATGAACACCCCTTTGTCGGCGCTTTGCTTTTCGGCTTTGCTGGCGTCAGCCATGGCCTCAGTCAAAGAGGGAGAGTTCAGTCAGAGTTCACTGTACAGGTATTTACTAGCAACTCATACGCGTAAAGCCAGACCGCCAAACCACCATGACGTCGCTAAAGCCCCATGGTGCCATAGTGCCGTACCCCCTAAAGTAAGGCACCCTGGGCCTTCGGATCCGCACCCGACACTCCGCGACGGCTCCCAGCTCCGATAGGCGCGCCATGTGGCCCTCCCCCAGGCCTTGCAGGGCTAGAGTCGCACCAGGAACCAGGCACAAGTCCCCCGCTCCTATCAAGGGGGGAAGCTTCCCAAAGTTTCCCCCCAACGGCAGCCCGAAAGAGGCAAAGCTGGGTGTCACGCAATGACATTGACCGCCGGCCGAGGAAGAAGGCGTCTGTCTCTGCCTCTGCCTCTGCCTCGTCTCCTCCTTCCGGTGTCGGTGCCCTTTTTCTACACTCCATTTCCTAAAACATCCATTCCATCCGGAAACCTTCCATCACGACCTTTTTTCTGCTCTCGAACACGCCTTGTTCAACACATGCCCCGATCCCATACGGACGGCCACGGCGAGTCGACCTTCCAAGGCATAGAACGTTTGTGCCAGACCATTCTACCCCGGATTCTTGAAACCTGAACCCGGTCACATCCATCAACCAACGCCCGGATGCTCTGCTCTCGCCCTGCCATGTGTTAAAGCATCGCTCAACATCGACAAGGCTGTGCACTCTCTCGCTGAAGTGACGAACGACAATGGACAGAATCGATCCCGCCATCATGGACTCGGGGGGCCGGGAGCCAACGTGCATCAATGCTCCGCGTCCCCGAGCTGCCGACGACGAGAACATCTCTGTCCTTTTGAATGGCCAGCCCTGCAGCTTCTCGAATGAAAAGATCATGCCCGAAGAGCCCCAATTTCCTCACGCCACCAAGAAATCCAAGGAATACGACAGTCACCACAACCACACTACCCAAGGACCAACCAGACTTGCCACCCTTTTCCCCCTCCAAAGATGTACGAGACCATGGATTACAGGCGCGTTCGCGTTGTACCTCACGGGCCTCATCCTAATCTCGGCCTACTCTGCCAGCAAGCTATTCGACGTCGGCAGCTGGCTAGCCCCTCGACCAGCACAGCCAGCAGCTGCTTCTCCAGCGTCTCGGGTCTCACCGGCCTCACCAGTCCGGAACTGGGATGCGGCCGCCTCCAAGGCGACGGCCTTTGTGGCGCAACTCAACCTCACCGAAAAGACGCTGATGGTGACTGGCCAGCTCGGTCTTGAGGCCGGCGGTTGCATCGGCAACATTGTGCCGATCGAGCGCGTCGGCTTTCCCGGCCTCTGTCTGCTCGACGGCCCCACGGCGCTGGACCGCGCCGATCTCGTCAGCGTCTTCCCCGCCGGTCTCACCACGGCCGCGAGCTGGGACAAGGAGCTCATCTTCCAGCGCGGCAAGGCCCTCGGCGAGGAGTTTCACGACAAAGGTGTCCATGTTGGACTCGGGTGAGTTCTAGACTTTTTTTTCTCCCCCCCCCCCATACCACACTGGCTCACCACAATACTAATGAGCCATGCAAAGCCCGGTCGCCGGACCACTTGGACGCCAACCCCTAGGAGGCCGCAACTGGGAGGGATTCTCCGTTGACCCCTACCTCACGGGCATCGCGATGCAACTCACCATCCAAGGCATGCAATCGGCAGGCGTGCAAGCCTGCGCCAAGCACTTTATCGGAAATGAACAGGAAACCCAGCGGACCAATTCGTGGCTCGCAAACGGCACAGAAATCGCAGCCATCTCGTCCAACATCGACGATCGCACCCTGCACGAGCTGTACCTGTGGCCCTTTGCCGACTCCGTCCGGGCCGGGGTCGCCAGCGTCATGTGCAGCTACAATCGACTCAACCAGACCTACGCGTGCGAGAATTCGGGCTTACTAAATGATATCCTCAAGACGGAGCTGGCTTTCGAGGGATACGTCATGTCCGACTGGTTCGCGACGCATTCTGGGGCCGAGTCTATAAACAACGGGTTGGATATGAACATGCCTGGGCCGATTGGCCATGCCCAAGCTGTCACTGGCGAAACATATTGGGGTCCAAACATTACCGACATGGTCAAGAACGGTTCGGTCACGGAAGACCGCCTTGGTGAAATGATTCGGCTCATCATGACACAATACTATCTTTTCGATCAGGACAGCTCCGACTATCCCACAGTCGACCCATCCATCATCTTCACAATAGCAGCACAGTCCAACTTGCTGCATTTGGTCCCCTTTGAACCACCACCAAGCCGCAACGTCCAACGAGACCACGGCAAGTTGATTCGCAAGCTCGGCGCCGAAGCAACAGTCCTCCTCAAGAACCTCAACGGAACTCTCCCCCTCCAAACCCCAACCAACATTGGCGTCTTTGGCAACGACGCCGCCGATCCAGCCGACGGGCTCGTCTTTGGCGCCGGTTTCGAAATCGGCACGCTCTCCGTCGGCGGCGGCTCCGGAACAGGACGGCACACCTACCTCGTCTCCCCGCTCGAAGCAATCAAAGGCCAGGCGCGCACGACGGGCGCGCGCGTGCAGTACATTCTCGACAACAAGGTCCTCGCCGCGGGGGATTTCAGCAGCTTGTACCCGATCCCCGAGGTCTGTCTCGTCTTCCTCAATACCTTTGCGTCAGAGGCCTATGATAGGACGAGCCACGAGGCCGACTGGAACTCGACGCTGGTTGTCGAGAACGTGGCGCGCAGGTGTCCCAATACGGTCGTCGTGACGCACTCGGCCGGTATCAATACCTTGCCCTGGGCTGACAACCCCAACGTCACTGCGATCTTGGCTGCGCATTTGCCTGGACAGGAGTCTGGGAATTCGATCGTCGATGTGTTGTGGGGTAATGTCAATCCGTCTGGCAAATTGCCTTACTCCATTGCCGTCGACGCCAAAGACACCGATATCCCCATCGTCAACCTTACCGGAGCAGAAATTACGTCGCACACAGCATGGCAAGCTGATTTCACAGAGGGTCTCTTCATCGACTACCGTCAACTCGATGCCCAGAATGTTCGCCCTCGCTATGAATTCGGCTACGGCCTTAGCTACACCACATTCGACGTGGAGCCGTCGCTCAAGATCAAACAGCTAGCGAAAAAAGTCGCCGCCATCCCGGACCCCAGCACACCCAACGCCCCCGGCGGGAACCCGGAACTCTGGGAGCCTCTCCTCCGCGTCACCGCCCGCGTCACAAACACCGGCGCCGTCGCCGGTGCCACCGTCCCCCAGCTCTACGTGGCACTGCCCCAGGACTCTGTTCCCGAGGGCACCCCCATTCAAGTTTTGCGTGGTTTTGAAAAGGTATTTTTGGAGTCAAAGGCGTCTACCACCGTTGCATTCGAGTTATTGCGTCGTGATTTGAGTTATTGGGATGTGGCGTCGCAGACGTGGGTAATCCCTAATGGGCCGATTGAGTTCCGTGTTGGCTTCAGTTCTCGTGATATCAAGGCTACGGCAACACAGGTTGTGTTGTCCTCCTAGCGCATGGTTCTAGCTGGAGTTGAAAAAAAAAAGGACTGGTTTCTTGGCATGCTTCAAAGCCTGATCTGAAATAGATGCGGCATTAGATAGCCATGGTACATTGTCTTTACACAATATCAAGACCCGGTTTCTGCAAACGTCAGATCCTCCTCCATCGCCTCTCCGTCCATCAGCTCGTAGGTATCATAGTGGACATGTTGCCAGGTCGTGGACCAATGAGGAAACAACCCGTGGGTGCGTCGAGCAAAATTGTCTCTCGGAAAACCAGGCTGTTCTAAGATAATTGGGAGATTGTTCAATCTCGCGGAGCAACTCACTTTGATCCCAATGGTGCGAAGTGATAATTAACCCGAAGTGGCACTCAATTATTTTGGTTTACTTTCGAACAACTAGTCTTTGAATTTCAACCACGCTTGAAAAATCGTCCCTGGGGAGAAGTAAGCAGAACCAAGGAAAGTCAAATTGTAACGGAATTCGGTCAATAATGCGCCGCAGGAACACATTCGGCAAAATGCATCTCAGTGAGTCATTTTCGTTGAACACCAATCACGATAGCGAAAACTGACCTCCGAAAACGAGGGGGTGCTACTTACTCTTCCGCCGCTAGATCTTTTCAGCGCGGGCCGAATCTTACCTCATAATCTTATTTAAACATCAACCACCACTAAAAGCGCCTATACACATGTCCGCAAATTCAACGCTAATTCTTCTATCACCTCGGGGACTTATTCAAGCAAAAAACTCAGTCAGGATGGCCATCCCGCAGCGACTCGCCCCCTCCTCCAAGAACCTGAAGGAGTTTTACGTTGGCAAGGATGTTAGTGACGTTCCGAGGCCGGCGGTGGTTTTGGATGTGGCCAAGGTCCGGAGACACTGCCACTCAATGTTGGAAGCTGTCGACGACTTGGGCGTGGGGTTTCGATTCCATGTTAAAACTCACAAGGTCAGTAAATATGACTCCAAAAGCGACGTCATTGAGTGGCATCATCTCGGTACAATCGACTTTTGCCGCCAACTTGGACGCGTACATCTGGCAAAGCGGTGTTGACCATCGCCGCAGACCAAGGAAGTCACACAGCTACAAGCGGGCGAAAGGTCAAAAAAGATCAACTGCATCGTGTCAACCGTAGCAGAGATGGAGCACCTTCTCCCTACGTTCAAAGAGTACAGCCACGCCGGCCGCCACGTCAACGTTCTCTACGGCGTCCCGCTCCTCGGGTCCCAGGTCGAGCGCCTCGCCCCATTGAGCAAAGAACTCGGCAGAGACGGACTCACAGTCCTTGTTGACCACCCTTTGCAACTTGACTCGGTCCGTCGCTTGCACGATCTGAGCGGCCTCCCGGTAGGCGTTTATCTCAAGGTAGACACAGGTTACCACAGGGCGGGTCTACCAGCCGCGGCTCTCAACAAGGGCGGCCTGCTGGAACAGCTCACCCAGCTCGATGCGGAGGGAAAAGCAGTCTTGGTGGGACTGTACTCCCACAGCAGTCTCAGCTACAAGGACACCACGGCCGACCAGGCGATGCACAACCTAGCCGGGGAAATCGAGGGCTGTCTCGAGGCCCTCCACGCCAACGAGGGCCTCCTCGCCGGCAACGGCGCGAGAGAAATCACCATTAGCGTCGGCGCGTCTCCTCAGGTCACCGCCATCGAGAACCTGACGGGTCCCACGGCGGCCAGCGGATCCGGCGAAGCGCGTCTCCGGACAGCCATCGGCAAAGTCCGAGAGGGGTCGCGGCGCGGGGTCAGGTCGACGCTCGAGCTCCACGCCGGTGTGTATGCCGTCCTCGACATGCAGCAGATGGCAACCCGCTCGCGGACGGCGCTGGGAAGCTACGAAGACGAGGTCGCCATCTCCGTCGTCGCGGAGGTGTGCAGCGTCTACAACGACGGCGAGCGCCAGCGGCCCGAGGCGCTCGTCGCTGTCGGCGTGCTGGGTCTCGGGAGGGAGCCCTGCCCTTCGTACCCGGGTTGGGGCGTCGTTGGGCGCGGGCCGGGTTCCGAGTTTGCGGGAGAATGGAGGCTTATCGTGGAGAGGATCAGTCAGGAACATTCAAGTCTCTCCTGGGACGTTGGGTCTGGAGAGGATGCCGATTTGCCGGCGATCCCGCTCGAGGTCGGACAGACTGTCAGGATTTACCCGAACCATGCGTGTGTGACTGGTGCTCTGTACGGTTGGTATCTTGTTGTCGACTCAAGTAGGTCGAACAAGACGGAAATTGTGGATGTTTGGATTCGGGGGTCGGGTTGGTGAGAGGAACCATATCAAAGGAGTGATGCGGCAGACAACGTGACGTAGGGCTTCTCATAAGTAGGACCCCAGCCGAAGATGGAATTAGATGTCAAACCCCTCTACCAGCTCCTCGAGGGCTTTTAAATTGTTCTTCTCCCAAGATGTGACTTTTCCCTGCCACTTCTCCCCACCACCGCCACCCTTCACTCCCGTTACAACATCTTTGATCTTTAGAACCAGCGCTTCAACAGCCGCCTTTCCACCGAGGACAACAATCTGCCCACTCCCACCATCATCGCCCGTAGCCACCACAACAACTCCACCACAAGCCATCACAGCGTCCTTGACGTTGACAGTGACCCATTTCACAAAGTCCGCGTTCCCATCTGCTCGGTGGACCCAGACACTCTTTGTAGAGTGCAGCTTGACCTTGGCGGCGTCTGCTTCAAACTCGGCAATGTCGGCGAGTAGCTTCTTCTCCCTCTTTTTGAGGTCTGCCGCGGAGCTCTGCACAGTCTTCACAGTCTGGACTACTTCGTCGGACGTGTTTTTGCAGGACAAGAGCTTGGAGAGGGTGCCCATGGCGCCAATGGATGCTGTCGCGAGGTGGATGGCTCGATCGCCGACGGAGAAGTAGAGGCGGTAGTTCTTTCCGTGGACTGGCTCGCCATGGTGGACGAGGATGAGCGAAATGTGGGATGTCTGCGAGAGGTGAGTGCCGCAACATCTGCCCCGGCTAGGTGTTAGCTGTCAAAACGTCCCAAGGGCTAGATAGAGCCTAGGTACTATGGGTCTTTCGTACGTGTTGCGATCAATGTCTCCGATGCGGATTACACGGACGACTCCTTTGCTCTGATCATAGTCCTCGGGCATCTTGTGGACCTTGGCATCGTCCGGGGTCTCGACGGTGACTGGCAGGCTAGAGCGGATGATTTCATTACATCTGTCCTGGATAGATTGTAATTCTGCATCAGAAGGTTTCCGCGGGATATCGACATAGTTCATTGCGCCGCTCTTTCCCATACCCCAGCCGAGAGTAGTGAGGTTTTCATGGGTGTTCATGACGGCGGACAGGAGATGTTGGCCGGTGTGCTGTTGCATGTGGTCCCATCGCCGCTGGAAGTCGACTTCCTGACGGACTGTTTCCCCGGGAGCCAGGGGCTCGGGAGAGTGGTACACGCATCGTAGCCCGACACGTTCGACAAACTGTATCGGTATGGCGGCTGCGCTTGCGCTGGAGAGAGGCGTGATTGATCCATGGTCGGACGGTTGTCCGCCGCCTGAAAGACAACCAGCCCCGTGTTAGTTTCCGGGGATCTCATGGGCTGTTGGAGCCGTACCGTACCTTCGGGGAAGAGAACAGAGTCGGCGAATTCGATCAACCACACGTCAGCGCTGCTCTCGGCGACAGAGCCCGCAGATTTGTCCTTGCCATTCTTCTTTGCTGGCGGGGGTGGTCTTTTTTCACAGGAGATAACCTCGGCTTCCAGCGTGCGAAGATATGAGTTCTTTTGACAGGCCAATGCCCCGACTACCTGGGCTCGAGTTGACTCTGTCACTGCCATTTTATGATGCGTTTGTGGTTTTTGTACCAACTGTCTCAAATGAAACGTAGAATCACAGTGAGTCAGTTGAGATAGCGGCCATCATCAATGAGATGAGGTAAGCAGATAAGAAAAATGGGGACCTGGGTAAAGTGGTCAATGTGATCGAGCCTCTTTTTAGTGCCAGATGGAGGCTAAAATCACGTGAGTATGGCTCCGAGATTCCGTCGTTTTGGCCATCCCGTTGTTGGCAGGGAAGCTTCAACCGTTCTCGGTGACGATGCGAGTCAGATTGCCCAGGACCATGACAGCGAGTGGCGTTGGTGGCCGTTGGAAATGGCTCTATACTCACTTGAGATGGGGAACAGCTTCTTTCTCCAGCTGAACGCCAATCGTCTCCCTCCAAGTTTGCCGTTCCGACGCCGCCCCGTTTGACGTGGTGTCAGATATGGTCGCGATGATGATCTCAAGTTCAAGCACTGGATGGTCAAAAGATCGGCTGATCACATTTAACATATTATATTCATTACATATGGCATCATCTACCGCAAACCGAGCTGGCGCTCTACACGCTCACCGCGCGGCGTTGGAAGCGCACGTCCACGGCTTGGTTCCCTTCTCGTTCGCAATCGACTCAATGGACGCCCACAGACCAAGCACGCAGATAAGGAAGCCCGTCAGGAACAGAACAACGTTGGCCACAAATTTGCACGTCTGCTTTCCGTCCTTGAACCAGTTGCCGTAGTGCATCCACAGCCAAAAGATGCCGGGCAGGCCGTACGAGAACCACGAGGCGAACAGAGCGCAGATGAGGCCGAGGAGCGAGTTGAAGACGGGGATGGACTCGGCGATGACCATGGAGATGGCCCAGATGCCCACGACGATGACGATCCACGCGATGCCCGAGAGCTTTGTGCGGCGAATCATGTGCTTCGTGTTGCGGAAGAGGCGCGAAAAGATGTACTTTGCGGCGACGTGGCCGTAGATGACGCCGGCGATGACAATGGTCGGGATGGCGATGCCCCAGATGGCCTTGCGCATCGTCTTGGAGGCGGCGGCGGAGAGGGCGGGGGAGGGCACGTCCGCGCCGACAAAGACGTAGATGACGATGGCGGCGAGGAGGTAGAGGGTCGTGTCGGCGATTTGGAGGAGCGCCAGGGCCTTGGGCCAGTCCTCGGGCTTCTTGAACTCGCCAATGACGCTGAAGAAGCACGAGTGACTCGAGAAGGCAATGGCAATGTTGGTCACGGCGAGGAATGCGCCCGTGAAGCCGAGCTGGCGGGCGACCTCGATGCTGCCGGTGCCGATGGGGCGGGAGACGGCGACGTCACCGAGGGTCATGAGGACAGCCAGGGTGATGGACAAGCAGGCTGTGATTCGCGGTCAGTCAAAGACTCCATGAATAATCCAGCAAACCTGATGGGGGTTTTGACTCACAAGCCATGGACATGTAGCTGGTGTACTTGAGCGTTCTCGGGAAGTTGAGCACGGCGAAAACAGCCAAGCCAACGACAGCCCACACAATGGTGCAGGTGGACGAGTTGGAGAGGGTGTTGAGGCAGATGGTCCAGGTCAACAGATGGCTGCCCATGACGAAGACCTGGAAGATGACCTGCGCCCAGCCAAAGACCTCCTGAAAGACGGCGCCCATGCCAATGGACTTGCCAATGACCTCGACGGCGTCGCCAAAGTTTTGCACAAAGGGGTACTCGTTGCGGAACTCGGCGAGGACGAGGCCCGAGTATGTCGATAGGAGGCTCATGACGATAATGAGGACGATGCCCGGGACGAGGCCGACGGTCGCCAGCACGGACGGCAGCGAGAGGATTCCCAGGGACACGGTCTCGGCGATCAGGACGATGCCACCCTGCCTGCAGTCGGCAAGGTTAGCATAATCAGGGCGTAAAGTAATTTGGTGGAAGCGAAGAAGGAGGGTTAGACGTACCACCAGGTGAGGGTCTTGTAGTCGATCAGTTCACCGTCCTCTCCCGTCAGGACGCTGTTGTCCTCTGCCGTCGCAGACGCGTAGGCCGGCGCGGGCTCGCGGTCGCCGGCATCCTTTTCGGACTGGTTGTGCGCCTCCGTCATTTCGGGGCTGTTGGTCGCGTCTGTGGCGTTGCCCATGTTTTCTGTAGGTGTACCACGTGGAGGCTCTACCACTCACTGCTTGGTGTATATGGCGCGTTGAGGCGTGTCAGTCAGTCCGTCGCCCTGCGTGACTCTTTACGTCTAGTCACAGATCCGGGGAGAGAAGCAGGATGAGTTGAGGAAGCGGTTCAAAGAAAATAGAGAAACCACGACGGACGTCAGGTGAGGAAATACGGAAACCGGTAGAAAACTATCTCTCCTTCCAAAGACTCATCATACCTGGATGGGGCGACCAGATGTCTTGATATAATCCACCCAGGGACGCCGTGATCGGCCTCGTCAACCTCACAGGAACCCGCGTAAGGCGAATTGGTCATACGAGACATTCACCAAGGCGATCTCGGCGCGTGTCCGCAATGGCAAACGCGCAGGGCCATACCTACGGCCCACGGGGGTGTGTGGTCGGTGGACTTGCAACGGCCCTTTCCCGGATCCCAGCAGAATGACTCGGCGGGGCCCGCTCCTCCGACCCTCTCGGGATTGTGGCGATTTGGGGTCCTGGGACGTTTGGTGGTTGGAGCCCCCTGTCGGTTCTGGAGCCTCATCCACTGCAAACACGGTGGAAACCTTTTGGCTGCCGATGACTCTTCGCCGCTGGTGTCCCGTCCCTTTGGTGATGTTCAAGCTGGTGCCATGTTAGCATGAATGAGACTCAATCTTTACCTTTTTACTTGTAGTCTCATATTGGTGGCAGCAAGTCGAGTTCTGTTACGCTAGCTTGAAATTCGTCCATCATTCGACACCAAGCCTTTATCCCACCCCCAAATCCCCCAAGACCAAGAAAAGTCAATGGGCTGATGGATTCCACAAACCCACCCCCCTCCCCCCAAAAAGCCCAAAGACTCATAGCACAATGCCACAAAGGAAAGGAAAGTCTGCCCGGGGCACGCCTCGTTAAAACTCTTCAGGCGCGCATTACCCGTCAAAAGTCCCACATGTTGGCTAATATTTACGTGATTATATCCACTTGGCCCAAGTTTTACTAATGTTGACGTCCCAGTTGGTTTGTGGAGAGAGAGAGAGAGTGTGTGGACAGTGTGTATGGCCTTTGTACATAGTATTATTCAGAAACCCACAAACGCAGGTCCCCCAACCTGCCCACTGCCCATTGCCCTTTTGCCCTTTTGCCCTTTGGCAGAGGAAATCAAAGTTGAGAAGGAAAAAAAAAACAGTCTGGAATGATCTTCGGCCCTATTTCCCCGCGTAGTTCACCAATGGCCCACGCAGATGCAGCCGATGCCGCAGCCCGCATGCCCGCATTGTGGTTGCGGCGCCTCAATCTTTTTACGCAAATTTGTTCGCCAACGGCTTCACGGTTTCGTCCCCCTAGGTTTCCGTAGTACCTACACTACCTAGTCCGCTCCGGCCCTGCATGGAATAGCTCATTTCGCCGTAGTCCGCTTCATTCTAGAAGCACCGCATGCGGCCGTCCTCCATTTCTCATGCATTTGTCCCGCCTTCGGGACGTTACCGTGGCTTCCTAGGTTTGCCGTTCAGCTGGATGAGGCGGACGCTTGGACTCCAAGACTGCAGGCAGGTTAGGGGGTTCAACTTGTGGTGAAGAAGGGGACTTTTGAAGGACCAGGACCAGCTTGACTGGACTATCGATATGTTGGCGTATTGGCGTGTGCTTCCCATGATGCGAATAAAAAGGCAACGTTCCATTTCCCCGTATTACGCACATAGTACATACGCATACACGTGGATCTGGAGAAGGCCAGGAGTCCGTCCCTCGTAGATCCCGTAGAGCTCACGACGGCTCACGACGGCCCCTTTTCCCCCTGAAGTGCCTGCCTACCTCTCTGTTGGTCCCCCATTTTTACCCTTTTGGGACGAGAGACTGCGTCCCTAAGGTCCCTTCTCCTGCGCCGCGGGCCGCAGGTAGCCGAGATCCTCCCTTTTTTTCCCCGGATCTCTCTCACGTCTCAAGCCATGTTCCCGATCACCCTATTCCCCCGCAATCTGCAATGTGAGATGGAGGGTATTAAGCGTTTTTCTAGATGCTGAGGGAGGGGGGCGTTGCCCTATGAAGTCAATGGCGTGCTTGTCTTTCGTGGGAAAAACTGGACCCTTGTGAGGTTCTGCTGCTGGTATCCCGAGAGGTGGGAAGGAGTGTATGAAGCCTGCAGTATTTAATGATGGACGACGGATCTAGCTAGATACTAGCACCGTAATGATGAGTTTCCATTTTGCTTCGTCTCTCCTATGTCGTGGACCTGGACCAAACGTTAGAACATTCGCTCTGCGAATGGATGACGGGCTACAGCACCCTACGCATCACAATGAATTTTTACCTGCTTACTCTCATCCTAGCACAGGCTCATCATTGCTTGTGCTATCACCAGGTGCAGCATCGATTAGGTCAACCTTGTGGCAAACAAGATTCGCACCAGTCGACGCCAGGCTACTGTTAGATAGCAACTCGTAGCCACAAGTTTTCACAGCTACGTTCAAGAGCCATCAATATGTCACGGGAAAGCAAATCATCTTGTTAACATCTCATCCATTTGGGGGACATATGTCCCAGGTATCTGTCTAGTTCCGCCACTTGATTCCTTCCGAATTGCGTCGTCTTCTTCACGCCATATACATTATAATTACAGTGACTCGTATGTACTAGGCTACGGGAATACCCCTTCAGGAAGCGTAATGTTTACTTCATCGGAGTGATGATGACCACTACCCACTCAACCTTCTCTTCCGCGTTCTTCAAGGGGGTCCACTGGCTGGTGAGTTTCTCCATCTTGCCCGCCTCGCTCACCAGACTGGCAAAACCCGACCTACTGACCGGCCGACCATGTTTCCTCGAGCTGCCGTCCGACTCGTCCTTTGAAGATCGTCCGCCAAGGCCAATGAGACTACCCTTTCGCGCAAGATAGCCGCCACCCAGCATAATGTCCAGCGTGGCCGTCTTCCCATTCCGGAGAACCCGTTCGCGTACCGTATTTTTGAAGCTCTTGGTAATCGACGGTGAGTCTGCCAGGTCGGAGAAGACGGTGAAAATGTCTCGGTGCGTAATACTGTCGGCAAAAAGACCGAGGCCAAGAGCCTCCAGCGCTGCGGCCGAACAAAAGGCGACGCTCAGCTGAGCAGCCTTCCTTTTGTTTGGGTCGACGGGCAAAGACGACGACCTTGGCGGAAACGCTGAAGGTCCGTCGGTGTTCTGCAAAACAATAAAACGGCTATAGCCAGAGTAAACAGAGTTCACCTGAGTGGGGACCGAAAACTGCTCCTCTGAGCTCGAAGCCGTTAGCAACTGCTCCAAGCCAAGCCCAACGCCTTGCGACGGTAACGTGTTCTCCTGATTGTTGCTGTTGTGCGTTGCATGCTTTCGGAATGGCTGGAAGAGGCTTTTCTTGGGCCCTTTGTTGTGTAGACTATCCCGATTGCGGAGACTTGTCCGCCGCTCCTGTTTCCTGTCTCGGCTGCTCGTACGGCTCATTCGGCGACTGGCTCGGGACTCCCGACCCGAGGTCTCTTCCTTCACCTCCTCTAGTGCCGGCCCAAAGTTGAGAATCCGGAGAAGGTCTTTGCATCCGCCAACGTTTTCCGAAACGTTGATTTGCCCGCCGAGGTAGTATCGTAGCTTTCCGGAGGAGTCCACAAGGGGGCAGGTAAATAAGAGGTTCCAATATGGTATACCGTCTCGGCGGTAGTTCAGGACGAGCTCCAAAGACTCCTCTTCTCGTGCGACGGTATCCCGGATGCGTTTGACGGTGTCCTGGTCTGTGAGCGACCCTTGTAAAAACCGGCAGTTGCTTGATAGAGCCTCGGTTCTTGGGTACCCTGTGACAGAAACAAACGCATCCGATGCAGCAATAATAGGGTAATCTGGACTAAGTGCATCAGTGAGGCAAAACGCCTCGGCAAGACCAGGATACTTGAAGCCGCGAGTGCCAGACAAAGCTGCCGAGGTGGAGATGGCAAGCTGATGCTTCACGAACGCCGGGTAGATAGACCGCGCAGCTCGTTGCTCGACGTATCGTGTTGATTCTGCAAACATCGATTCAAGGCCTGGAAGAACAGAATTTGTCAACTGTTTCATGTCGGCATTAAGAGACTTGGAAATTGTCGAGGGTAGGTTTGCTGGTGTCGGCATTGACGAGGCTTGTTTCCCAAATAACGCTAATGATTTCGAGTATTCCTGGGTTCTCAAAAGAAATTCAATATCCGAGCCGCAGCCATGATTTTGAGCGAAGTGAAAGAAACGTTGAGAGACGGAAGCATTCGTAAGAACCATCTGAAAAACCTCTCGCCCAAGGAAGTCCGGTATAGATAAAGTCTCTGGTTCGATTTCCACAACGGGTGGCCCAAAACTGCGACGTAGGCTTGTCGACACGCCATCGAGGCTGGACCAGATACCTGGCCCAAAAGTCGGGGATCTCGGTGACCCATCGGGGTTATAATCGGTGTATCGACGGAAGGCGTCTTCGTTGGTATGTAATGACAGCCCGGAATTGCTCCTCAAGCGCAAAGACATCTGATTTGGGCGTGAGCTTCGAGGCGTCGCGGGCGGAGAGAATGTCATGGTAGGAACTGGTAGGCAGGCCGACGTTGAACTGTTTCTCATGCCAGGCCCTCGCAAGCCCTTAGGACTTTGATTGTAGTCATCATCGTAGGGCGGCGTCACGGGTGACCTTCGAGACATGGAGGAAGTCATGTTTGTGGTTCGGTAAAAATGAGCGACAAGAAAGGAACGCGGTATGTGACAGCCCTCGGGCAGGCTCGGCCAGAGGTAGGAGTATGACAGGGAGCGTCGTTTACAAGGAACGGATTCGTCCGTAATAAAAGGGATACCTGAATTTCGGAGACGACTACGACCGCGTGTTATGTGATGCAAAAATACAATGTGACTGGCACCGATAACACATGCTACCACGCTTTGAAGCTTTGGAGGGGTTCCTCTGGAGATGGAAAAGACGGCCAACCTCCGGTGCTTATAGCAAACGCGCCGGCGGACGGGCCCTGACTCGCACTGGTACAGTCTCTTTGGTGCTGTGCCAGGCTTGTCAAACGCCGTGGGCATTAGGATGTCTTAGGTCGACGCCACGAACTTGTGGGGGAAAGTCATCCTTGCTAGGGGCTGGGGCTTCGGGAGCAAACACTCAACGAGCAGCGTCTGCCGAGCGTTGCCTTTGGTCATTGCCCTATAGCGCATAGCAACGTTGAGGCCCGATAAGCGACTTTGCTCGCGTTTGCAGGTGCGCAGTGTCGATCACCGTCATCAATGCCGGCCGGCGATTTCCTGAATGAGTTGCCCATCTGGGCCTTTGGGCCTCTTCGATTACGAGTGGACTAGTTGTCGGCCTGTCGTTCCAGGCTTGACCATCAGGGGTCACCCAGGAGCAAACTGCATGTGGTATTGAAAAAGGAATGAGACCGTGCGCCGAAGTAGGTTGGCGAGTTGATGGTGGCGGCGTCGAGAAGCTCCTTTACACGGCAATTCTCCCTCGACTAGCATCGCCGTGTTGAGGCTAATTTGAACGGAGGTTCGGCGAGGATGCCACCATGCCATCCGAAGTCTGGCGTCGACGATGAGGAGAGCGACGAAGGCGTAATAGGGAACAACCAGGGTTGACCAGGGAATGTTGGCTGAATCATGGTCCACATGGTAGACGATCTCCCGCCATTGCGTGACGATGGAGTGGCACAGGCCTAGGTGGTTTGGGCCCCTCCCAGACCGCCTGGTTGGGACGCCTGTCCCTGTCGGGGGTTCAATGAAGGGGTCCGACGCCGTTGCGACGCTTTGGCCGGTGGCGGCGGTTGGATGTCGCATGCTGCTTTCGGTAGGCAGGCAAATGAAGGCAAGAAACGTCGCCGTGCAGGAAGCGGCGGTCAGCACAAGGCGAAAGAGAAAGAATTGGGCGAGGACGGAAGTCGGTTCTGCGGTTGCCATTAGGGGTTCTGTTGACAACCTCCGTGGCCGCAAGTCGACGCGGCAATCTGGGTACAGAAAGGCGAGAGGGACTTCCGTGTTGGCGTTTCAGTATGAATGAATGTTTCGGATACCATCGACATAAATGTCGCAGATCAAATGGAACATGTCGTTCCTTAGAGTCCCACGACTGGTTCGGCAGGTGAACCGTCGTTGGTGTACACTGTGGCTTTCTCGGCCGGGGGTCCAGCGCTATCCGCGATCTCGTCGCCACACCTCCTGATGCTTCTGGTGTTTGCTGGTGTGGCCCGGTGACCATCGCAACTAAATGAGCAGCGGGGATTCTGAAAAGGAGGGGCGGAAGCAGAACTGCGGGCAGTAAAAACCGGCTGTGCGTCTAGCTCATGACTAGTTGTATCAGGTCTCCGTCCTTGCGGGAGGCTCTAAATGGTCAACGTCGAGCCGTTTTCAGGTGAAGATTGATCGACGACTGGACAAGACGTCGCCATGCATACGCACGAGAGTGCGAGAGAGACGTTCGAGAGGCATAAAGGGGCCCATGCTTGGTCTGAGTTTGACGGCATTCTCTCGTCTCGTCCGGGCGGAAGGTTGATCAGACGGTCTTTGCACGGATAGCGGGCTGCAAGAGGGCGGGAACGAGTTCGGACGAAAGAGGTTGTGGTCTGTGTGACCAAACCAAACTGACTGATTGTGGTCCTAAGCTGCGTGTGGCTGCGTGTGTTCAGTCGTTATTGTATGATGTGTGGGCTGGAGAAAAGGTGCAGAGGCACAGAGGGAAAGCAACTGAGGAGGAAATACACAGTATCCGAGTTTCGGCTTAACTGCAGTTGCGCACTGTATCAAGAGTACGTACCGCCAACGCTGGTCGTTTGCGCCTCACACATCCGTCAAGCCTCAACGGCCGCTCCAGATGCGCCCCCGCGCAACGCTCCTCATTAACCGGCTAACCTGCCGCTCAGCCGTCGACCTCAGGGGACTCTTCTGCCATCAGGATCAGTCATGACACGCCCGAGCTTCGTCTGGCGAGCTCGATTTGCAGCTATTACCCCAGACTTAGCAGTCAAAGGGAAGTGATGGAAGAGCACTTCGCCGTCCATCGCCATCGGTCCGCACGAAAGCCGGTGACACTGTGGGGAAATTATGCGCGAATGAGTAGACTTCCATGCGTAGCACCATGGTGGCTGACATCTGTGTGGGAGAAGAAAGCATGGTCAAACCAGGGCTTAGTAGCTCACAAACTAGACGCTCGAGAAGCAGAGCTCACCTTAGTCGAGCCTATGACTGTTGCCCAAGAGTGGAGGTCTCTGGGAGGCTACTCAAAGTGGTGTTGTCTCGGACCCATCCTCTCATTGCATAAGCTCAGCATGAAGGGGTTGAGATATATGATTTTATCGTCACAAACCGTAAATCTGACCCTACCTGTTTTTCAGCTTCAGCTCGACAAACTCCGGATTCTTGCTAGCCCAATGGAACATACCACCAAGGTTTGATCGTTTAGTCACCGGTACCCTACCCACTGACAACGGCCAAGTCTTAGCCTCAAAGACGGAATTGCAGAAAGCCGGCGCAAATTTAAGACTGCAGGATACGGATAAAAGCACCCAGATATTGGTCAGATGTTTAGACTTTTAGCTTCCGTCAATCCTAATCAAACCTAAAGATGGCCCATCAACAAGGAATAACAATAACAGCCGGAAGTCGCAAAAAAGCGAGGCAATTGTAAAGCAGCTGCCAAGGGACACCAAAACGGGAGCTCATCATATTGGTCTCACAAATACTGACTTTAGAGGCAAAATTATTGATTGCTAACAGAGGTACCAAGTGCAGCCTTTGCTCGCGCATGTCTACATAGAGTAGATACGAGGCATAAGAGCAATATAGTGCCGTTACCTATGAGACAACCTCATTAAATGATCCGAGGCCCTACGACATGATACTGATCACGACGTGTCTGATAGCCTTGTTCTAGGGGCTTTCAACTCCGAGATGTCCTTCTCGTGCTTAGCTCTTATCGAGCGGGCTGCAATATTGTATTGAAATGAGGACCCAATGGAAAAGAGTGAAATACAGCAGGGTTCTCGATAGTTGTAAGGATTGGGATGAGCCAGGTGGCGGTAGAGAATACAGCAACAGTTGAGCAACTGTAGTGAAGTTCAAGTGTGGAGTAAATCTGAACTATAGGTATACGCAGAGCGTCTCCGCTACCAATCTGATGCAACTGCTCTTGGCGCCATATGTGCATTTGCAGGTACTGGTATTCTTGCTGCGGCTTCCAGATATCTGAAGTAAATTCCTTTGAACACGTTGGCCGCACCTGTTCGCAGTGGCGCCTACTTTCTATCCATGTTCGAATGATGCCGTTCAGAAGCTCTTCCTAATGTGGCAGCAAGTCGTCTTGGCAAATGAAAGCTAACGACATTATCAAGTTTCACATTTCATAGTGAAAAGACACATATACTTCATATGAGCTGGAAAGGAGACGGGTGAGTGGCGAGGGGGTTCCAGGTTACCTTATGTCAGCAACGCGAATACGGACCGTACTGGACCTGATAAAGAAGTGGAGTCGGGAAAGAGGTGTGGCCCGGGGCGGTACCTAAGCGAGGCAAAGGCCGCTATAAAGGCTCCCTTGCGGGCGCTAAACCGCTAAAACGGACTTCGACAGCGCTGGGAGGGACCGACCAGGCAAAGCTTGGGACACTCCTTGACACCTCACCGTTGACATCGGCCGAGATTCGATATTCTCCACCTACAACTACAACTCAACCGCTATCCTCCTCATCTTGCCTCATGAACCTGCTTTACTCATCTCACGCACCGAGGCACGGCCAAAACAAGCTGTCGCACGTGCAGATTGTACGATAACACCGGTCACAATGCCCCTCAGCCACCGGCTCGTGCAAGCTCTCGCAGAGGCTCGATCCAAAGCGCGATCAGTGTACCACCTCCTGCGTGACCGCGGTGTCAATGACGACGCACGTGTAGCTGTCAGAATACTCCTCGGTACTCTCCACAGCCTTTGGCTACTGTTCGAAGACTTTGCAGAACAAGGCACTTCTCCTGCATGTCCAGACCACACCCTTTTTGACGACTTGGCCGACCTTTTTGATGACTCCAGCCTTGAGTGGTCGACAGGCTCGACAACACCAAAAGGCGGGCCCCCTCCTCTTTCAGGATTCGTCTCGAGCATCTACAAGATTCAGCTCCAGCTAGAATCTCTCGTCCGCTGCAACTCTTGGGCCGACTTGCTCGTTCGCCTGTCAACCACCGGCCACCGCAGAGATATTTACAGCCAAGACCTTGGTCAAACAATTGACTCCACACCAAAAGGCCTAGAGATAGATGGTGACACGTGTATGGCCTTACTTCTGAGCGCCGAATTCGACAAAAAGTTGGACGATTGCCACACGCACCGACAGTATGTGGCCGAGAGAGAGATCAAGCACCCCGAGTTTGCTGCTGCTGCAAAGCTTCTCCCGGACCTGGCCCGCCAAAGATACACTGATTACAAGACATCCCTTCACATGCTTTTCCATTCGAGGAAATCTTCGCACTTCCTTCAGTGGCTTATGGAATACGCAAGGCAAGAATGGCCGCAGCATTTCAACTTCGGCTCCGGTGCCCTTTCGATGACACCGCTGCATCTTCTGATGTCGAGACTGTCGGATGATTCGGTCACCCCTTTTCATGTTGCTGCTTCGCTGGGGCTTCCCCGGCTCTGCGAGCAACTCATACAATGGGGAGTGGACTTGAATAAGCCGAGCTCTTTGGGAACCCCTCTCTACTGTGCTTTGCTTGGTCCAACGGCACTCTTGGGACGCTCTGACGACCCTGCACAGCTGGTATCTGACTGCATACCCACCGACTCCCAGGAGGAGACTCTCAGGGTTCTCTTGGATGCAGGTGCTTCGTGTACCACGGAAACGGCTGGTCCCTGCCAAGACGAAAACTTCTCCCTGGCAACACTAGGATTCCTCATTTGCCAGGAAATTCGTGCCCCGAAGATTCTACTTCGCGTCCTCAAGTCGGGTGTCAGTATCGATTCGAGGTTTGTACAGCTCTTCCATGGGAAGAACTCTCTTTTAGAATACTGGCCATCACCATTGAAGCCACCAACCCGTTCGTTCCTTGAAGGTATGCTTCCCGCGATTCTCGATAGAGCTATCCCCGAATATGACAGCTATAACGATATATCACTATTGGCCACAGGTATTTATGAGATTCTGGACCATTTTGATCTGGCTCGTCCCTCCACCATTTCTGGATCTCGGCCTCTTGACGTCTCAGACACCTTGTATGCGGAACTGGTTCGAGAAGCAGTACAGGATTGTGAGACAGCAGTTGTCAGAAGACTCATCTTGGACCCTCGCTGGAATCCAAATGCATCCATGGCGCCTCAGAGAGCGCAGTCAATCGCATCATCCGATGATGGGGTCTCTTTTCACGAAGCTCACAAAGCAACGACAATCCTCCACTATGCGGTCGAGGCCGATGAAATAGCTCTTGTAGCTGCCATATTGACATCGAGAGAAGATGTCGATGTGCAGGTTCGTAACCACAAGGATCAAACACCCCTGATGTTATCAGAGTCGCCCGAGGTCTTTAAACTTCTTATGGACCATGGAGCAAGAACTACAGATACCGACGAGAGTGGGCGTAACGTCTGGCATTTTGCAGCCGCAAATTCCGACACCGCTCTACTTGACTGCCTTCAGGAGTACGATAAGCACTGGGACCAGAATCTGAGGGGAGTTATGACTGATGGTCAGACCCCCATCGCCCAAGCTGTCATATATCCCTTCAGTCAGATGAAGAGGCGGCGCAAAATGACGTCCGAAGCTCCAGTCGGGGCGATCCACATGCTCAAGACCTGCAAGTCAGATGCCGCCTATCTCAAGAGCCCAACCCCTCTCGTTTTTCTGGCTGTAGAATGGGGCTCAGCAGATCTACTCCGCAGCTTGATCGACTTTGGTGCAGATCCGTTGGAGATTGACAGGAAGTGTCGGAATGCCCTGCACTTCCTCAACGTGTCGGCTAGAGAACCTCTGATTTCTATTCTCTTGAGCTTGGACTTTGAGAACATTCTCAATGACCAGGACTCATCTCCAGCGGAAACCGTCTTTCAAATCTTTAACGACACTGCTTTGTTCGGCCCCACACCAGACAAAATCTTCAACCACCCAGCCAGTTTCGGAACACTCGATGCTGGCGTATACAGCCGTCTCCTTGGCTACAAAGATATCCTCAATAGCCGGGATGATGCGGATATGGGGCTATGGGAACGGTTTTCACTCACTGTTCTGGCAACAGATGCCCCGCGTTGGCCTGCAGGACTGACGGCTCAGCCATCCCTACAAACGGCTGTGGAGTGCTTGATTAAGAAGGGGGCTTTGGCCAAGTACGAAGAAGAAAGTGGCCAGTGTGGTCTGATCCCGGTTCTATCGGGGTGGCCAAAGGTTTCCGCTAGTCACGACCGGTTTTCTAAGTGGCTAGAAGATATACTGTACACAATCCTAAAAGCCTCGACGAAACTAGACGGCTTCAACGAAGCACCAGCCGCAGTTCAATGCCTTAGGCTGGCCATCAAGCAAGAACATGTTGGCCTTGTCAAACAACTGTTGGATTTGGGGGTTTCCGTCCACGCACGCTTCGATAATGTCTCTGCGCTCGAGTACGCGTGCTCACCACGTTCAAGCTGCGACCTAGTAATGTTTGAGAAGCTGCTCGAGCACGCCGACCCCGAGAAGCTGAATGATGTCGACCGGTTCAAAATCGGCTTGATCTTCAGACTACTCGACTACAGAGTTTCGCATCGCATGCCAAAACTCTCTGCCCTTATGAGCAGCGGTTGTAATCCCAACGCAACGACTCCCTCAGGAATGCCCGTCGTTGTTTCTTACATCATGGAGAGGCAAACTGAGCCCGCTATGCTTTTACTCAATGCTGGCGCTGACCCGTCTGCGAGCTCTAACATGGGCCTCGATGCGGGACTTGCTGCGGCTTTACGAGGAAATCTGGTCATTCTTCACAAGCTCAAGTCAATCGGGGAAGAATTCAACTGGGCAAAGCTTTGCACTCACGCTTTCTCGCCTGGTGAGCTGACCGGCTTGACCAGCAGTAAAATTATGCACAAGTGCAACGCGCTTCATTTAGCAGCGTCAAGTGGGCACGCCGATACTCTCACATTCTACCTCGAGTCATTGAAAGTTGAGTCGCTGAGTATCGAAGCTCCTACGGCTGATGGCTGGAGGCCTATCCATTTCGCCGCTGCCTACGACTCTGACGATGGGTCATGCGTTCGAGTCTTGTTGGAACACGGAGCAGATCCTACAAAAAGCCTGCCGGACGGATATTGGAACCCATTGATGCTCGCAGTACACGCCGGCAATATTTCAATCGCCCAGCCACTTCTCGAATTGGAACCAGACATCGTCAGTCGAATGAACCTACCTCGAGCCTTCACAATAGCCCTCAAACGCAAGTCCGAAAGGATGATTGACTTATTCCGGCCGTTTCTCGACAACGTGATCATTCCTTCTCCAGATCTTGTCAAAGACCGCGACGGCCGATGCAAAGCCCTCGGGGCTGTGATGGAGCTTTTGTTGGATGATGGGAACCTGAGAAGACTCAGCAGTGTTCTTCAGATGGTCGACCGGGAGACCTTGAACTCTGTCCGGCTTAGCTGTGGAAAATGTTCACCTTTGATTCTTGCCACAGTTCAAGGCCAATTTCACCTCGCTGATCTTCTCTTGGGCTGCGGAATGACTACATGGAATTTCGTGGATCGTTGCTCTCGCCACCTGGGGGCGCCACCCGAAAGCATGTATCCATCCTGCACAACACTCCACATGGCTCTTATGCAGCCAGAGCAACGTTCGCATCATACCATTGACGCTTTTGTTCAGAAGCTCATCGAGCAGATTGACTGGACTCGTCATGAGCTGAGCCCTGTCCATTGTGCTGTCATTAGCGGCCAGGCATCTAGGGTTCGCCTCATCGCCAACCACGTCAAAAAGCACGCCCATAGATATGTCGACATTCTACAGGAAAGCTCAAACTTTCCAACAGAAGACAAGTTGGCAAAAGTTGAAGCGACGGACAAAACAGCATCGGATGTATCGAAGCCTATGCTTGACGCTATTTTGAAACACATTTTCAATAGACGTGTCCTCGCTGCCGATTTGGAACCAAAGTTTAAATACGGATGGACACCGCTGCTCATGGCTGTCGACGAGACCAACCTACAAATGATGGAAATCCTTATAGAGTATGGCGCAGACATCAACCTGCCAGACGAAGATGACTTTGGCACTCCACTCCACAAGGCGGTGGACGAGAACTTTGAGCAAGGCGTCAGACTACTGCTGGAGAATGGTGCGAACCCAAATCGTCGAAACTCGGTGTATCAAACGCCCTTGTTCCTGGCGGTCGAGCTGGGACAGCTTGGTATGGCCAAGCTCCTCGTTGAGTTCGGAGCGGATGTCCATGCTTGCGATACCGATGGGATGAGCCTTCTCAATACCTGTGGCGAAAAGTCGAAGAATCCCAAAATGTTTATCTGGCTCATGGAACTCGGCCTGGATCCGTACAGACTCGATAAGGCCGGTTACACGCCCGTTCACGACATCATCCTCGGCGACGCATTTTCCAGTCTGACGTTCAACTACGGATTCGACTTTTACAGGATTTTGGATATTCGCAAGGGTTTTCTTCCGCTCCTCATCGAATTCAACCCTCTCAAAGCGAATTTCATCATTGTCAGACTCTTGAAGCGTCTCCCCATGGAGACTGCGGAAGTCCTGGTCAATGCGAACCCGCATGCATTTGTAAGCCCGCTTTGCAATGCTGTGCTCAAAGACCAGCTGGATTGCATCCCCACGCTGCTTCGCCATGGCGCAGACATTGACGCGGAGGGTTGTGACGAGGGCTCTGCTCTAATGGCAGCTTGTGTAAAGGGAAGCCTCGATGCGGTAAAGATACTCGTGTACAGCGGCGCCGGCATTTCGTATGTCGCCATGATTAACGATGTTGCTGTCTTGAGAAATGCGCTCGTATATGCCGGCCCGTTCCCGCAGATTGTGCGATGGATACTCGTGGACAGATACGTCCGCCAAAGGAGAATCGAAGAGGTTCTGGATGTGCCCCGTGAAGAGGAAGTGAAGCCCTGGAGCGGTGGCCAAGTCGCGGGTTACGAGCTCTCGGGCATTGGATGTCGTACGGGACGGCGTTTTGGAGAGTCTGGACTGGAATATTTGAGGCGTCTGGATCAAATTAGATGGGAATTGCGAGGCCAGATGGTGAGGCCAGTCGCCCTTCAAGTGGAAAAAGAGGGTTGAGGCAAAGTCCAGATTGGCGACCCAGAGGATTTAGATGAGTTCAGAATACAATGTCGGAGTGTAAGCAAGCGGCTGTTGCCGTATGTCAATCTCGCCCTGGTTCTCCGCCAATGATATCCTGCTGACTGTCAACAGCAATTAGTCGGCATAATGCAGGTAGGCGATTGAGAATCTACATGTCTTAATCAAGCCGATGGGAGCCTGATCTCTCTACATGGCTACCCGACGTGACGTGCCTCGAGGTCCGGAGGTCCGGATATCACACGAGAACACAAACTTTACCCCATATCATCATGCCAGTATTCAACAAATATCAATACGAGCCTCTCTGCGACGAAAATTGTATTCGCCTACTTTGTCTTGATCCAGCAAGAAACGTTGACGCTCCATTGGCTTGTTCAATCATCCATTCTTCGCGCTCGGCAGTACGTCCCTTCTACTCTGCCATCTCCTACACATGGGGAAAGCGGGATCTTCATCGGACCTTGGAAGTCCACTGTGACGGCGATACTTCGTACTTGCGGATTACACTCACCGTCGATGCTCTACTGCGACAATTTCGGAAACCCACCGAACCGTTTACGACTTGGATTGACGCCATTTGCCTCAACCAAGATGACGAAGCCGAGAAGGCCCAGCAAGTGCCTTTGATGGGGTTGATATCTAGAAAGGCTGAGATGGTTCAAATCTGGCTCGGTCCAGAAGATAGCAAGACTGCAAACCTGTTCAGTTTCTTCGAAAAATCAGTCGGCTCCCTCGGGCTAAGCAATGGGAGACTGCCAAGCACATTACCTTTTTGATGGGAAAGCACCTTGGCCTGGGTCAGCGATACGATGGCGTTGGGATTCAATCTATGCTCGATTTCTTTGAACGGCCCTGGTTCTCACGCCGTTGGGTCATCCAGGAGGCATCCTTGGCAAGTCAGGCCTTCATGTACTGCGGGAGGTATTCAATTCCCCTCGAGACTGTTTCAACGGCCGCCAGGCAGTTCCAAAATATGAATATGTCTTGTTATCCCATCAACATGGCAGCAAAACTAAGTAAATGTGCTACAAATCTCAGTGTGCTAGAGATTTTGTGGTATTTTCACGAAGCTAGCTGCCTGGAGCCAAGAGACCGCATCGCCGCCCTCATAGGCCTCGAACCAGATCGCGATCGCGCTAGCCTGGACTACACTGCCCACTGGAAAGAGATTTACAGAAGCTTCACCTTCTCCGTGTTATCTCGTGGGGACCAAGACACCATACTTCATGTCCTACTTCACTTGTTTGAATTTGGCGCAGTCGCATTGCCAGTGCCGGGAGCCCCCTCGTATCCGTCCTGGATTCCCGACTGGTCAAGACCTCGGATATGGAAGCTACCGTATCATTCTGAAATCAGAAATGTCGATACGTACGAGCTCATTCCAACTTCTCCTGGAAGGCCGGCAAGGTCAGCTTTGAGCTTTCGACAGGGCGAGTTGCAAATTCATTGGTGCTGCTCGACCGGAGGGCCACGAGGCCGCCGAGTTACTCTTGCGAAGAAGTTTCATTCCTTCATTCAGGATGAAGAGAAATGCTCCGACCGGGTCGTGAAAGTCCTATGCGATCTTTTCTCCTCCCCTTCTGAGGCAACCCACCAGATCCTTGCGCTTTCCTCGCTCTTGGGAATGATTGTGAAATTCCGCCACTCGAGTCGAGATCGAAAAAACACGAACGCATCATTCCAAGAGTACATGGGAAGACTCACACAGGGGCGTGTCGATTCTCCAGTCTCGGAATTTCTCCACCATCTTCTGACTTTGGACTCAATTTTGCAGGAGTTCTGCCTGTTTCCACTGGAGCCGCTCGAGCTCGAATCAGGTTTGACCAGTCGGGGGTACGGAATCGGGCCCAAGGAGACCGAGGTTGGTGACGCCCTGGTTCCACTTTGGCACCTGGAACGGAAGCTTCACAGACTTGAACCGATTTCGGAAGCATTGGAGAAGGGTTTATGGATGATGACGTGGCTTGTTGTGAGGATTACCATGGATGATGAGCCTGAGCTGGCGTCTGCCTCTTTTGAGGGGAAAAGGACTCCTGCAGGTAGAGTCATTGGTCCTGCAGTCTGTGTCATGCTGGTCGAGTCGGCTGACGGCGATCTCATCTGGCCAGGCCCAACGGGATGGGGACCGCAGAATTCCAGGCATAATATACACTCGATGCGCTTGATCTAAGGCACAATGTCGAGCCATTTGGGAAGGTGAGAGGCAGTAATCAATAGGGTATTGGAGGTTTTGTGTTGATTATATTTTGGTTATGGTTGAATCTGTCATTGCGGGGGAGATGCGAAGAATGAGATTTTCCTCTAGTGTTTCTTCATGGCTTTTTACAACTCGTGTAATGACAGGAGGTTTGAAATTGTGATTGATGGTGGAGCATGAGGCTCTTCTTGAGAATGAAAAGTATCACGGAAATTGTAAACCCAAGTCGTCAGTCTGGCTGGAGGAGGATTGCTTCAGAAAGCGACCAATTGAAGTGCAATACAGGAAAATGATCAAACCCCCATTATAACATGAGCAAGGTCAGAGGTCTAGCCCAAGTCGAAGAGATAGCCCGAACTGAACACATAGCCGGAAATACGATTCCGAGCATGAGCACCTAAGTAGGAGACCTAACCCAAGTTGGATGGCCTATTCGATTCCCCAAGGCTCTCAAGCCATCCTTTGATGCTGCCCGTTTGAACAAGAATGAGACACTGAGCTGTTCAGTGAAGGGGTTGTCAAGTTTCTTCGCAAGCAGAGACACCGGCAGCTTTCCCTGCTTAGATCCTCCACCAAAAAAAAAAAAAAAAAAAAGCCGGGCAGTGGGTGAGAAGTATTCAGTAAGGGTGGTCGTGGTTACGTCACGAATGCGCTCGGCATCGTCGATGTAGACCAGAGTCGGCTTAAACGATCTCACTGCAGTTCTGGACGCCGCGAAGGGAGAAGCGCACACAAGGAGTCTGTTCAGCTAGCGAAGGACGTCTTTGTGCTGCTTCTGATGAGCTATAAGGTGAGTGACTCCGAGCTGGCTGAGGGTGAAGACGTATTCAATGTCGCTTTCGGGGTGAGACTGATTCTTGGTATTGCCTTTACGTTTCTGCATGGTCCAGTATCGGTATTGTCTGACAAAGTTGGCGATCAGGCTCAGCGGCTTATCCCAGAACTCCTTTGTGCCCACGATTCGACGGCCTACTTGAACGGGGACATCCTCTGCAACATCCTGAGAGCTGAGCTTGACATGGTAGGGCCCGATGTAGAGGATGCAAATTGGATGCTCTGGATGCTGGAGACGGAAGCCGGCGAACCAGGCGTTCAAATTTCTGGCGATTTTCAAGACGTCAAATTCTTCAGTTACAACATACAGCGTGGGGCACGATGCATTCTTGACACCCATGAAAGAGAAAGAGAGGATGCAGCGCAGGAGCCTAGTCTTACCGCAGCCATCAGAGCCAGCCAGGAAGGAGACGTTGGCCTTCAAGTGGTTGAGTGGCTTGATATAGTACATCATGTCTGGGATAAGCTTGTCGAGAATGCAGCATAATCGGTCAGACCATTCACCCCCAGCCTGTGGATCGGCAACAGCGTCGACGAGGGGCCGGAGGTTGTCAAAAAGGTCGACAGTGATGTAATCGCCGGCCGGGGAAAAGTTGGTCAAGTACCAGAAGAGGTCCATAGATTCATCGGTGAGAAATAGGCGAGAGTTATGGTCGTATACGTAATCTCTGATAGCGAAAGACTCCGTGGTGAACTTATCGCTGGCCAAGTTGCGCTTGATCATCGCTTTGAGATTGGCCTGCCGCGGATGAGGGCCTGCGTCGTAGCGGATCTTGCCGAGGCTCTTCTCCATAGAGGCGAACGGAACTCCGAGGGGCTCTTGATCACTGTAGAACTCGGGCGGGATGGCGACGGAGAAGATGACTGCGTCGGGAGGCAGCTCTGACATTCCCTTTTGCATATCGAAACATTTGGCGGACTTGAGCTTGGAGGTTTTGTGGGTAGTCTTCTGAAGCATCTCAAGCTCCTTGACAGCCTTAGGGTATTTCTTTCCGAGCTCAATGGGCTTCAAATGGCTCATGATATCGGCACTCTTTTGGGCTCCACCACCGACGACGTCGCTGGTGCCCTGGAGTATACCATTATCGAGAAGGTGACCGGCAAAGACCTCGGCTGAGGAACGCGAGACACCATCCAAGGCATAGCACGCGGTGGATGTAGATATATGAAGAAACAGGAGTCATTTTCGCGCATAGGAGCGATACCCCGATAAAAATAGATTAATATACTTACTCTTACTTTTCCTAACGTCCTTTATTAAATTTCGTATGTATTCTTGTATTACTATAGTAATTTCTGCGTGTGTATATTTCCCCCTTACGTCCAACCCTGACATAGAGTAAGGCTCTAAATACATGGTTTCTACAGCAACATAAATTATCGTGCTTATGGAGTTTCGCCGTCGAAATCAATTTTTGGTGTAGCGGCAATTATTACGATCTATACCTAGATTTCCTATCCTTCTCGTCCGATTACCTATGGAAGAGAGGGCCAGGAAACCCCTAAGATTTCCCCAAGATTTCTTTGGAGGAAAGCGCCTAGTAAAGCCTAAGATTTCCTCAAGGTTTCCTCCAGAATTTCGATAATTCTCGTGGAGGATGTCCGCACAGACTGACATCCTAGACTACTGGGACCACGCCATTCCGCAGGTTGCCATAGAACTCACCACGATCGTCGGGCTCGTCATCTTCCTATTCATCATCACCGTGGGCGGTGGGCCAAGCGGGGACGCCATCGGCTTCCGGTACTGGAACGACCCCGGGCCGATGAACGAGTACCTCCGGCCCGGCGCCCTCAGCCGTTCCCTCGCCTTCTGGAAAGTCTTCATCCAAGCCACCTTCTCTTGCGACGGGAGCGAAATGGTCGTCGTCGCGTCCGGCGAGACGAAGAACCCGCTTCGCAATATCCCCAAAGCCCTTGTCTCTTGAAGTGGGAGCGATTCGGCCTACTCTACGCCTGCGTCGCCGCCACGACGGCGGTGGGGTGCCTGGTCTACCTCAACGTGAACAACCGCGCCGCCGAGGTGTTTTTTTCTGGATCAGCAGCTGGAGCGCGGTGAGCACACTCGTCGCCTGGGCCAGCGTGTGCTACATCTACCGGTGCCTGCGGTACCAACGGATCGACCGCAACACGCTGCCGTACAAGGCGCCGATGCAGCCTTTTCTCGTGTACTTTGCCGTTGTCTTATGCTTCGTCGCGTTTCTCAACGGCTTTGACGCGTTTTGCCTGGGAGGTTTCAGTGCCAAGACGATTTTGCCGCCGTGCATTGACATTCCTGTTTTCCTGTCACTGCTCCGTGGGTACAATTTTGTCAAGAAGAGCAAGTTTGTGAGCATTTTTGAGACGGACATTTGGTCGGAGAAAGGCGGTGATTGACCGGCTCGAGCCGACGTGGGTGGTCGTGAAGCCGCGTAACTGGCTGGAGCGGATTTAGTTTTGGATCGCATGAGGCGCGGCGTACTGTTTGGTACATGTAGCAAACATTTGTCAGTTGACCTTTGTCGTTCGCTGGTAGTACCTTACGTGCTACAGCGACAACTTATCGTGAGAATTCGCTGGAAAATGGTGAGATTGAGGTCAGATCTAGACCAGACACTTGCGGCGACGGATGGGTCAGCCCTGATGTCCGAACGGTTTTGGATGTTCTCACGCAGGTTCCAGACCGGTGGGAACCTGAGCTCTCATGAACCCAGACCCAGCGGTGAGCAACTAGTTCTTCACGAGTGAAAATCTTTGATCAATAGCCAGATTCCTGGTACACCCGACACACTGGTCGATATCCACCGATCGGTATGTGGCCGGGAAGCTCGGACGCCGCCTGGGATCCCCAGCTCCGATGCTCCGATGCTCCGATACTACTGCAGGATTCCACCGACCCTTTTGCCATCCATGTGTCTGTCGAGGAGAGAAGATTGGATCTTTGCCGTAGGCAGGAAAAGGTACTTGACAACAACGTATTTTGCAGAGATCATGATGCAGACGGCACTCCTGTTAGCGCTGCAGACTAGTATCGGTAGACTAGTGGAAAGACGGCAGTCAGACGCATCATTTGTGGCGTTTTTGCAGCAGTGCTGGTAGCATGCGCGGTCATGATTACTTCAGCTAAACCACCGGCCGACGAGCTCGCAGGCGTCTTGTGGGGGGATTTTGGAGTAACAATGAGATCTGTTGGCCTGAAGGCAAAGAGGTTCTAGACTAACTAGACTTTAGAGGATTCGGGGATGGATCTCCACAGAAGAAGGATCAAGTGAAGCGATGACAGAGGATCGTACGGTGAATTGTTCTCGAACGGCAAATATGACCAAGAGAAATCGCTTGGCAAAGAGTCGGCGCGACCAAGAGACCTCGAACCCTCGACGCGAACATGAGCCCATTTCTTTGCAGCGGAGAAAAACCAACCCTCTCTAGTGGCCGAGGCCGGTGCCGTCCTTTCTTTTGGAGGGGATCCTTTTCGGTGATGCTGACAGGCGCAAAGGCGGCCTCGCGCGGGTGCAATCCATTTGTCAAAACCGACCGGGTTGACCGATGTTCTGATTACTTGGCCACACCGTTCCTGAGCCAGTCGGGAGCATGCGGAGATTGGTCGTAGAGTGGGGGGCCGGATTGAGAGACGCAGGACTCGTGGGAGACTTTGTGGGCGACTTTGGGGTGAACTGGGTCAGATTTGTGGTCCTTTACGAGGTGGCACCGTGGCAGACTGGGGATGAGATCCCAACACTCGTCGCAGTGCTCCACGGATACACAAAACACACGCAGAACGACGCGGCAACGTTGTAGCCATCAAATCGGCCGGGATGTTTCTTTGTAGTAGAGGCGCGCCGAGGTCGTTGGTTGTGACTGCGGGTAGCTTGATCGAGTCAAGCAGATGTTCTGCCGACGTCCTTCTTTGGCTGTGAGTGGTACTTCACCACAAGTAAAGAGGAGCAGATGAGGAGCAGATGAGGAGCAGATGAGAGACAAGGGAGAGAGACCGGCTTGTGTGTTGGCCAGTTGAGTGCCGAGGGATGGGTGGTGGGATCATGAATGCGCCACGACGGCTTGGGAGACGTAACCGTTTGCGGTATCGATCGCAGCGGTTCGAGGTTCCTAACGGCGCACGCTAAATCAGATAAGATGGATCTGATAAAAAAAAAATCTCTGATGGCTTGGAATTTACATGGTCCTTGATCCCTACACTACACCAACTTTGACACGCCAAAGGACTTCAACTCCGAAGTCTGGAGACCCTGGACCAGGGATCAAGGCCGCGCTAGTCTGTTAACTAACAAGATGCGAAAAAAATCATCACGGCTAGCGCAAACTGCGTCGGCTGGATGATGGATCGACTGGTTCGCCCCTCCCCATAGGTTCCCAGTCTCTCTGCCTGGTCCCCCCCCCCCCCCCCCCCCACCCCCCCCGCCCGCCCCCGCCGCGCCGGGCCACCGTCACTCGTCGCGCCGCCCCCACCCCGCGCCCCCAACCCCCCCACTAACGAACTCCCCCCCCCCCCCCCCCCCCCCCCCCCGAAATGGCTCCGATGGGCGAAGATGGGTGGTGCGACCATGATTGGGCGGCGCGCAGCCTGCCTACGAGCCTGAGAGACAATTGATAAAGCTCTAATCGCCATGTCAGAAAAGCAAAAAAATGGCCTTGGATGTAACCTCACCTCTTGCTCCCTGTTGTCCCTGCAGGCGGATTCTCTGAATTTTCTTCTCCCTCTTTTCTTCATCCCGTACCCGGCCAGGCTATCCTCTTGATTGTGCCTTGTTCTTCTTGTTCGAGAATAAAATCCGTTGCGCAAGGCGTTCATTCCATCTGTGTCATTGAGCGGACGCGAACCTCTAGGAACGCTTCCTTCACCTGCGTCCCGACTCACTCACCGCATCAGTCAACGCTCACCGGGACGCATTGACCCTCGGTGTGTCACAGTTCCTGCCGCAGACCGCAAGACCGTCACCGGAGCTCCCCCCCGACACCTTCCCGAGTGAGTGCCGCCGTCCGTCAAAGGTTCCTCAAGGTTGCCGAGTGGCACGGAAGAAGGAAGTGGAGTTCTGCCGACTTTGTTCCGTGGACCTTGCGAGATCCCACTGCCTGTCGCCCTGAGCTGCAATTCGTGGTTTGCGAGCTCTTCCAGGTCTAGCACTGACCCTCGACCCAGGCTCTCTCTCGCACCATTCGCCTCATCTGAGTATTCAAAATGGGTCTTTTCGGTCGCAAGAAGGAGGCCGAGTCTCCTTCAGACATCGTCTCGCCTACCGCCGAGGCCGCCTCACCAGAGAAGAATGCTCCTCTCTCCCACAGCAGCCCTCCGCCGCCGCCGCCGGCGTACGAGTCCAACGACATCATTGGCGAAAAGTCGCCCGGTGTCGCGAGAATCGAGGCTCTGTCCGCCGCCATCACCACCACTGACCGCTACTTCATCTTCTTCGGCGTCTTCTTAGTCGCCTACGCTTATGGCCTCGACGGAACTCTGCGTTATGCCTACCAGCCCACCGCCACGAGCAGCTACGCCACGCACTCTCTCCTGGCCACCGTCAACGTCCTCCGCTCCGTCATCGCCGCCGCCGCCCAGCCCACGTCCGCCAAGATCGCCGACGTCTTTGGCCGTGTCGAGCTCATCTGCGTCTCCGTCATCTTCTATGTCGTCGGCACCATTGTTGAGGCCTGTGCCACCGAGGTCAAGGCCTTTGCCGCCGGCGCAGTCATTTACCAGGTCGGCTACACCATGATCATGCTGCTCGTCGAGGTCATCGTGGCCGACATCACCTCCACCCGCGCCCGTCTGCTGTTTAGTTACATCCCCGCGTTGCCCTTCATCATCAACACGTGGGTCAGCGGTAACATCTCTGCCCTGGTTCTCGGCCAAAGCACCTGGCAATGGGGTATCGGCATGTGGTGTATCATCTACCCCTTCTGTGCCCTCCCCCTCATCGTCAGCTTGTCCATCGTCGGCCGCCGCGCCAGAAAGCAGGGCCTGCTTGACGCCTACGCGTCCCCTTTCCGCATGCTTGGACCCAAGAAGTTCCTCGTTGAGCTGTTCTGGCAGCTCGACATTATCGGCATTATCCTGGTCATCGCCGTCTTCGCCCTGATCCTGGTTCCTCTCACCATTGCCGGTGGCTTCTCAACGACATGGCGCGAGGCTCACGTTATTGCGCCCCTCGTCATCGGCATTCTTTGCATCCCAGTCTTCGTTGTGTGGGAGATGAAGGCCAAGCACCCTCTCGTTCCCTTCTTTTTGATGCGCGACCGTGGTATCCTGGCACCTCTTGGTATTGCGCTGGGCCTCAACTGGGCCTGGTACATGCAGGGAGATTACCTCTACACCGTCTGCATTGTTGCCTTTGACTTCAGCATTGCGTCCGCCACCCGCATCACGTCGCTGTACTCATTCTGCAGTGTCATCGCCGGTTTTATCCTAGGCTTCATCGTCTTCAAGGTCCGCCGCCTCAAATACTTCATCATCGCCGGCACCATGCTCTTCATGGTTGCTTTTGGTCTCCTGATCCACTACCGTGGCTCGCCCACGTCCTCCGGACAGAGCGGTGTCATTGGCGCCCAGGTCCTCCTCGGTATCGCAGGTGGTATGTTCCCCTACCCTGCGCAGGCCTCGCTCCAAACCACCCTGAAGCACGAGCACCTCGCCATCATGACCGGTCTGTACCTTGCCACCTACAACATCGGATCCGCCTTCGGCAACACCGTCTCCGGAGCCATTTGGACCCAGGTTTTGCCTTCCGTCCTCGAGAAGAACCTTGCGCCCTTTGGCAATGATACTCTGGCTACCGTCACCTATGCCCAGCCTTTCGTAGCCATTGCTGAATACCCCGTCGGAACTCCAGAGCGCGCCGCCATCATTGACTCGTACCAGCACGTCCAGCGTCTGCTTACCATCACCGGTATCTGCTTGACTGTACCTCTCATCGCTTTCGCCTTCCTTCTGAGGAACCCCAAATTGAACGACGAGCAGACTCTCGCTGTCGAGGACAACCCTATGGGCGGCGCGGAGAACACCGACAACCTCGCCAACAAGATTTGAGGATCAGATCTGGATGTGCCAAGACTGGCGATTTGATGATTTCACGTATTTGATTTTTGGATATCCGGAACCTTTGTATATTTACCCTTTAATTAGAGAACCCCAACTAAACTGCGTCAAGTTGACCTCTTCTCTCCAGGTGTAAAAAGATTCCTCCTTAAGCATACATGTAACCACCTGCCTATCATTACCAAAGGACCCTAAACCACGTTTGAGTTGCCTCGGACCGTGATCCATCTCTGTTGACATTGTGTTTGATCGCTAGGGTTTGAGAAGAACGCCTAAGTTCATCAGCGTCCAGGACCCCTCAAGAGTAAGTAGTAGTTTGGGGCTGGCAAACGCAGGCTCACAGTGTGGAATTGTCCGTGACAAATATTGCCGACTCAGGCCCAGTACAGGGACAATCTCGTAATCTTGGGGATATCCAGGGTTGTCTTGCATTCATCACCCGAATTAATCCAGTAGCAGTAACTGTCATGTTCATCCCCAACGCAAACAATGCGACGTAAATCCGAGATGTTGTATATTTCGAGGGTCCCTTTAGCGCCCACGCCTTGAGGGCGATAGTACTTGAAGTCATTGTTGTAATGATCGAACTTTCCGACTTCGTCGTAGAGAGACTCCAAGTTATTTGGCGACTTTTCCTTTACAGCTGGAGCACATGCTTTTGTGATTGTTGATGTTGTTTCGGCAGAGCCCGTGGATGCGGCCGCCAAAAGGATACTGATAAGGGAGATCTTCATCTTCATGGTCGTGCGCGACGGTGGGCCTGTTGGTTGTTTCAAAGACTGATGGATTGGGGTGGTTTTTAATAAATGTAAATGCGTGGATAGCAGTTGGTCGTTCTTGAGCGAGCTGGGCTGAAGCTGTCTTTTATAATCGCTCGTTACGGCATCAAAACAAACGAGCGGGAACAAAACCACGCTCAAGTTCATCATCACAATAAAATGGTTCAATATCTTAAGGTTTAGGTGCCTCTTTTTCCCATCCAGTCTGGATATGAAGGTCTCGCGGTAAAGCCGGTAGTCAGTGCAATGGAGCGACCTATGTCAACCCTTGCAGTCCAAGTGGACGACTTGGGCTGAAACGAGATTAGCAGATCCTGAGAAAAAGCTGGTGTGTCCCGTACGCCAAGGAAATTGCAGGGGAAGAGCCTATCTGACTCGCGTGCTGCCTCGATGTAGTTCATATCCGTATCCGTACTCTCCGCGTATTAATGAGCATTAATATGGATGTTGGCCTGTATGTTCATGCCCCTACACTGTGAACCTATCGGAGCAGCCTAATGTCTTTCCTTCAATCAAATAGATTTTAGTTCCTCTACTACTCTCTTTCACTCTTACCTATTCATAGCCTTTGTTGACTTCAATAAGTGTTATTTTAAATTTAGGCTTTACTTTACATACTATTTTTAAGGAATGTAAAGTACTCAATATAATAGTCTCTTTCAAATGTTATGGAAATCTAGTCTTATTATTACCACTAAATTTTAGATACTTCAACATGAAACGGACGGCGCGCGTGACGTCAGAATATTCTTGTGGTTTCACTGAGGTCTCTGCCTCCGGCGCCTCTTGGTATATGATGCGGTGTTCGAGGTTGTAAAGATCTCCATTCGCAAGTGGAGAGGCAGCCAACGTCCAGCCAGATGAACGAGGTCTGAATGCTCCTCGCGTGTCCAAGATTGGACTCCCAGACTCCTCGGCGGGTGTGGACACTGATAGTAGACCTTGTGGGCGAGAGCTGACTGGCGCATTGCTCATGGTTCACAATGTTTCCAAATGTGCCACACAAAGAGAGAGAAAACCCTCCGCCGGCCTCGCCGGTCGAGCATCGGTCGAGGAAACACGATGCCAAGGCCTATAAAAGGCCCAATAAGAGGCCTAATTTGTTAAACTCTTTATCAAGCTTGGCATTCTATGGGCAAACCTTGCTCCTCCTTTTCAAACTAGGCGGTAATCTTGCCCTCGTCAGAGCGTATCGTAACTCTTTCGGCAATTCCAAGCACGAAAATCCAGTTTCTGTGTAGCGGCAACCAAGTCCTAAGCTCATTGATTTTGAGAGGGTCACCAAGACTCGGATCAACGCCATGCGGTTTTTGACCAATACACAAGACTGAATCCAGCCTGCCGATTCTGGTGACACGGTTTGGGCTTTGTTATCCCAACCGAGCTGCTGGCCTGCGAGTTGAGGCTCCAATCTGAGTTCAGGGACGCGTACGCGTCGAAAGAGGCGGATGGCTGGGGAGGCGCGGAGGCCTTGCGGGACGAAAACCCCAGTTTCAGCTTCTCCTTTCTCCAATTTGTCGAGTGCTTGATGCCTTTCCGTCTGGCTTGCTCTCTATATGAAGAACGGTCCGAAAAAGACCCCTCAGAGCGAGAGGAGCGAGGAATACAGCGACCCACGTACCTGCCGTGGACGCAGTGTCCAACCAGACCATGGTAATGGACCAAATCGGAAGAGACGCTGAGTCGTTTGATGAGCGCTTGAGGTGGCACCCGGCTCCTGGGATTTGGATGTTGTTAAATTTCTCGATGGGAGGAACGGAAGAACTAAACTCATGTCATAGATGTGACTGCTGCGGGGAAGTGGGATCGTCGTCGCTTTTATCAATGAGGAGGGTTTATCCAGAATTCTTGCGGGCAGCAGGCAACAATCCAAGCATTCGTCATTGTGCACAAAGCCTACTTGCGACACAATACGCAGAACTGATTGAAGTGGTGCGCTTTTTCAATTAAATTTGACAGCGAACCAGATATCCGTTGTAGTCGAGGCTGACAGACGCATCTATATCACACACTTCTCACCGTTTATCGGCCATACTCACCATGCGTCATGCACGAATCCATAGTTTCGACGCCTACAGTGAGCGTTCCCAAAGACTTCTCGTTGTCGGTCACTCTTGAAAACGTAACGACTTACGATCCTGTCTTGGAGACACTGCTAGACACTCACCTTAGGCTGAGGCTTGCCGTCTGGTCCGTACACGGTGCCTTGGATCGGGTTGTCCTAATTTCGATTACGGCGCCGAGGCATGTATCAGGAGAAAATTGACAAGAGCCTTTGTAGAGAGTCCATCTGGGTTTCCTGATACCGTTGCAAATTGTACATTGCAGAGATGGTCAGGAAAAAAAAGTCTTGCTTTCACCGTCCCTGAACGCCATTGAGCCACCTGCAAAGACAATCAAGGCTTTTGTCGATCAATTGACCGATGTTTGTGCTTTGTGAACACTTTCGAAGGACGATCATTACATCCTACATGAATTGAGAACAAGCTGTCTTCTTTCCGACGTAAGAGACGCGTGCGCATCGCGTCCCAATGTGCTGCTGTCATTCCACCGATGCTTCTTCAGCTCTGGTGCTCTGGCTTTACTCCGGCTTTTGTGCGTAAACCACATATCTAGAATCCTGCTGTTAGATAAGCTCAACGGTGACAAGGGAATTCAAAAAAAAAGGTCCCTCACACTGGCCACCATCCGTGTATCGACCTGTCTTTCATATCTTTCCTGGCGCCCACCAAGAAGACCTCGAGCTGCTCAGCCGACCAACCCAGCGCCCTAGTGAAGAGGGCTAGGCTGAGTCCCGACAAGCCGTTTCCTAGGTTCTCGTACGTCCACATGCCTTTCAAGAAAACTCAAATTTTAGCATTGAAACTATGAGAAGCACACACACAGAAAAGCGACCTTACCTAGTTCCTTGTACTTTGGGTCCTTTGGCCACGGGTTCGACGGCCATTTGTAAATCTTCTCCTCAATGTTGGAAAATCCCGCCTCCGCCAGCTGCTCCTTGTAAAACTTGCAGCTGTCGAGCGGTCGTTTCCATATCGCTGCTGCCTCGAGCATGTGGGCTGCCCACTGTTGCGTTGCGCATTCCGGGGTGACTGTGCCGTCGTCGCTTTGGAGGTCCAGGAGGATGTCGGATAACTCGATCCAGCCTCCTGGTTCGAGGTGGCTGTTGCAACCATGTGAGTTACCGCAAGGTACTGGGAGGTAAGGAGAGAGTTCTTCAAGGCCAGGCGCTGGAAATCACTCGACTTACTCGAAGCTTTGGCGGATGAACCTTGGCCAGTCTGCGATTGAGCCTGTGAGCATTCGGCCAAAGACGAAGTCGAATTTGTAAGAGTAGGTCCAGTCGTCTTCCAAGTCGTCAATGTAGAATGTGACGTTTGGAGGGACGCTGGCGTGCGATTGATTAGCTTGTCAAAGCATCTTGGTCGGGGTTGCAGAATCGCCATTCTGATTGTGCTTACAACGGCGGTTGTATTGGACTGAGATCGACGCCAATGATCTACCAGTCTTTTAGTCACGAGCGTTCAGTGATTCTCTTGACGAGCTTACCAATGTCTCTTGGTGATCGTCGGCTGTTGTTGATGAGGGCATGCTGTTCAGTCATGCAGTCTTCAAATAGTAGACTGGAAGCGCTGCCTTACCAAAGTCCATTGCCCAAATTCCCGTTCCGGTTCCCGCATCCAATACTCGTTTTAATGGCTTGTCTCGGCCAGCTGGTGATACAAACAGCTTTCCATCAAAGGTAAGCGTGTATAAATGGTGTTGAAGATCTAGGTGCACGGATCAGTATCCTTATGAGGACAGAAAACAGACTGCCCAGTGCTAACCTAGTCTCTCATTCTCGACCTGAATATCCAGACGCGATCACGTTAGTCCTTGAATGAGTTCGGACGAGCTCTTGAGCTGCTAAAGAAAACCTACCGCGTCATTTGGCAGTACATATCCTGGGAAAAGATATCAGCCGTGGAGATTTCATAAAGACGGAAAATTGCAAACTCACTTCCTTCTCGATAGGCGTGATATGTTCTTCCATTTTCTTCGCGATAACGCATGATGCTGCTGGTCATGGACGCAGATGACCCAGGCACAGACTGCGACACGGGTTAGTTTACGCGTCCCATTTCCACCTGCGGACCGAGGCACAATAGCAACTCACCACTCCCATCGCCGAGTCGCTGTCATCATTGCTGTCAATCCCGTCTCCATTCTACCAAAGCAGTCAGTATTGGGACAACTCATTTGCGTGTCGAGAGACCAAAGACGGCTAAAACTGACATCCGGCTCAAGCGGACCAGTATTCGCCGGCTCTGGATCCGCCATAGTTATACCAGTCGGGGGCCGAGGCGGCTGAACAGATACGAACGATGGACCCCGGTGGCTTCAATGCTTTTTATGGGGTGTCAATTCGGCTGGTCAAGAGATCGATCGATCGCAACATTGTGCGATGGAAGAGAACATAAAGGTGAAACATGGAAAAATGTGAGAAAGGCTGAGGAAGTTCCAGAAGGAAAAAATAAAAAGAGACCCAAGCTCTTAACCGCCGGATCGAAGATTAGGCGGAGTCTAATTGGACGGCTGAGCTGTGCCTCTTCGTAATAAACCAACGGGCAATCAACAAGTTGCAGATCAGGAGATTCAAGTTGGTTCACCGCTTACCCCCTCTGCCCTTCTCCTCCATCTAGCGAGAGCACCCTTGGGCAAAGCCCCGATGAGGGTTGCATCATATTCCCCGGTAGACGCGTCCGCTGACAATAGCCATTACCGATGGCGATACATAGTGTACCTACGAATAATACTGGAGGGGGTGAACGGAGGGACCGGGCAAGGGGAGGGACGAAAACACGGCAACGATCTCATTGGATCGCAACCCCGTCATGCCGGCCCCTGCTCCGTGCGGGAAGGTTGCATTCCCGAGTCTGCCGTGCCAATTGCCCAAGCCGCATAAGGACTAAGGTAGCTAAGAGGGTCTAGAACCACTGCAAGTGCCGATGCTATTGGGCAGAGACCCCTGAACGGACGACGGTATCGTCATGGGTCGCTCACTCTGAAGTCTTCAAGAGGTTTTGGTCACATTTCGGTGTCATTGTCGCTTCTATTGCCGTACCGTTGAAGGATTTGACCGTCGTATCGATGCCGTCTCTCGGTCAAAATATTCCCCAGCTCCCCCCCCTCCCCTCTCTCCCCATCCCATCCACACCGTACCGTGGCATCCTTGACCGAGGGGAGTTCGTCTCAGGATACCTCAGACTTTCTTATTTTTCCCACTCCTATGCATGGCCCGAGACACCTGTTTCTCCTCTTACCCACCCCCAATTCCCTTGATCCAACCCTTTTTTTAATGCACGAATCGGTTCCTCGTGGGCTCGAGTGTGACCATGAGTCGGGAATTCCTCACATACGCCAGCATCGCAGTCTCGGCGTTCATCGCGTACAATGTCGTATCCATTACTCGCCAGTACCTGCGGCTGCGGCACATCAAGGGGCCACCGAGCGCCGGGTTCTCGAAATGGTGGCTCGTTCGCGCCGTTGGCGGCGGTAGGACGCACCTCGACTTTTATGAGGCGTGCGAGAAATATGGTGCGTTTTATACTTCAAAACCCCCTTCCTTGGGCTTGCGCTGAAGCGCTTGTGAAAATAACCGTTTTCCCACTCTTCTGCCGTGCAGGGTCAATAGTTCGTGTCGGGCCGAATGATCTCATCACGAGCGATCCGGATCTCATGAAGCGCATGCTTAATGTGCGGACGACGTACAAGCGATCTAATTGGTATGATGGGATGCGACTGAAGCCTGGCCAAGACAATGTCTTGTCTACGCGAGATGATGAGCTGCATAACAAGCTCCGGTCAAAGATGGCCGCAGGTGTAAGCAACTGTATAAAACATGTATAAGACCCAAGACTCGATAAGCTAAGATGAGACAATAGTACTCTGGCAAAGAAGTGGAAGACCTCGAGGCCAAAATTGACCAGAATGTCCTGCGTCTCGTGGGCTTGCTTGAAAAATATGCTTCCCACGATGAAGCTTTTGACTTTGGAGCCAAGGCGCAATACTTCACCCTCGATGTCATCTCAGACCTGGCTTTCGGTGAGCCATTCGGAGACTTGGCAACCGATTCGGATGTCCACGAGTACATCAAGACCATGGAGCAAAACATGCCCACGATCCTCGTGACGAGCGTCCTGCCATGGCTTCTCGCGCTTCTCTCTTCGCCTCTTTTCAGGAGTATGATGCCGTCCGAAAAGGATGCCATTGGTGTGGGGAAGACGATGGGGTAAGCCAGAATTCCGGTCAAATTTGCCGCCCATGCAGTTACCTTTGACCGTCACCTTTGCTCACATTCGGCCTTCTCCGCCGGATCTAGTATCGCCAAGAAAGTTGCATCAGAGCGTTTCGGACCAAACAAGAAGGTGCAAAAGGACATGCTCGGATCGTTTGTCGCGCGAGGACTCACACAAGCTGAGGCCGAGTCGGAGATTCTCATGCAATTGTAAGACTCTTTATGCCCCATCCAGCCAGGCCGGCGGCCTCCCCACCACCGCGAGAATCTTTGTAACATTGAGAGAAGATTGGCCGGCTCCGATACTACCGCGACTGCCATTCGGGCAACCATTCTTCACATCATCACAAATCCTCAAGTCACCGCTTCCCTGCGCGCCGAAATCGACGCCGCTAAGCTCTCGTGGCCCGTCGTCTCCGATGCAGAGGCCCGTGAGATGCCATATCTGCAGGCCGTCATCAAGGAAGGTCTTCGCATCTTCCCCCCCGTCACTGGGCAGATGTCAAAGGAGGTCTCCAACGGGGGCGCCGGCGATGACTTCAAGGGCGTCCATCTCCCCGAAGGTACCCGAATCGGGTACTGTGCGTGGGGGATCTTCCGCAGGCAGGACATCTGGGGCCAAGACTCCCACGTCTTTCGGCCAGAACGCTGGCTCGATGCCGACACGGAGCAGCTGCGTTTGATGGAGGGTACGCTGGAAATCGTATTTGGGTACGGCCGCTGGCAGTGCTTGGGGCGGAATGTGGCCTTGATGGAGCTGAACAAGGTTTTTGTTGAGGTAAGTTCTTCAGGGCTGAAAAGTACGCGGTCCTTGTGAAGTCGAAGGCTGACAAAATTTCCCATTAGCTCCTGAGAAGGTTTGATCTTATTCTAGTCGATCCCACAAATCCATGGCACTCCGTCTGTAGCGGTGTCTTCTTACAATCCCAATATTGGATACGCGGATATACAAGACAATCACCGAGTAAGAATCTCGCATCCTGATTAGCTACTTGGGATCTTCAATAGCCACTTATATAATGAGTCTCTCGATAGTCTAGAAGACCGGTACCTAGACACGGTTTTACTGCTGACTAGCTCGTGTAATTCACTTTTTTACTACCCTCGACCAGATTAGAGCTGTCTATCAATGTATCCCACGGACTCGTCGAAACTCAGCACTTTGTAATTTATATTGCTGTCTGGCTACTGTTTTAGAAACAGAAATCAAACTTTCCGTTGCGAAGCTTTTGTTTTGAATTTTCATGGATGGAAGTTTATTGACTCAACGTTGCCAGATTCTGAGGTAATGAGTCGGGCAATGGCGAGACGGGTACTCGAGAACTGGAGGGATATCCAGCTTCGAGCCTTCGGCTTACCTCTGACACTTTGAGAAACCTTTCTAGAACAAACTGATTCGTTCGGCCATGTTGAAGCTCAGAGAAAGTGCACCATGTTCGTTTACTATACTAGATGCACTTTGCGCGAACCTCATAGTTGTCACCGGTAATAATTTGCTTTGCAACTTTCATGTCGCATCCTCTACACACAGCTTCGTATTGTCAAGGATACAACACCCATATACCTTGCACGCCCTTTAGGACCCAATTTTCAAATACTACCAAGTAAAAGCCGGAATCAGTGGGGGTTTTCCCATTGTTGTTGGAATATATATTCAACCCTCTGTCGATGAGCAAGTTCACAATTTCTTGTGTGCGTCGCTTGGGCTCGCGGCCCTCAGCAGTGAAAGCGTACCAATTGTAGTTGAGGTCGGCAGCCACGTAATGATGAGAGGTTTTGCCTTCTGACTGCTGAGTATTCGAATCGACTGCTACTTCTTTACGAAGAAAACGATGTATTTTAACGTCTCGATTGGCATAGGCTTGATGGAGCGCATGAGCTTGGTCTCTCTCGCGAGTTATCAGGGATGACCCGGCTTTGATCAAAGCCTTAACAACCTCGAGAAGCGAGCCGGTTGAATCTTCAGCCAAAAAATGAAGCAATTCAGATTGAAAATTTCGCAAGACCTTCACTTCCCATTGGCTCGGTTTTCTGGGTCAGATAGACCGGTGATCTCTCCACAAATTTCTGCGTTCCTTGGTGGAACATTCATAACGACAAGATTTCTGTCTCGCTCAGCAGTTTCAGAGTGCTAGAAAAAGCCACCGACTACTTTATGAGATCCTCGAGAAGGAATGCTGACTGCTACAAATATGGTCATTGTAGGTATGTGGCTATCAGTACAGATAAGCGGCATTGAAAAACATGCACGCAATCATAAGCAAAATGCATTGTTGAATTGGAAATGCGTTACCTCAGGAAGTTGGGTGTCTTTGGGGGAACAAGAAACTTCCAGAAACGACTAGGTCAAGCAGTTTCCTCTACAGGCTTTTGAGCAACCACGCTATGGCTAGCTCCTTGTTAGTTACAACACCCTCAGTCTACAATTTCCAAAAGGACTTACATGTCAAACTGAGCATGGAACTTATGAACCGTCTTCAATTCTTTCCGCACCTCAGCAAGCAGAACCTCGGCCTCAACTTTCGTCCACCCCAGCAAACCACAAATTACCCTCATGGAAAACCCATCGAGTCCTTCCAAGATTTGGGCCAGGTTTCCCAACCCTAATTCCCGGTAGTGCGGATCCTTCGGCCAGGGACCGATCGGAAGGATGAACTTCTTGTGAGTCACGTTCTCAAAGTTGGCGGCTTCCCGGACCCATCCCTCGAGCTGAGGACCTGGGCGGCAATCACGGCCCGTGGAGGCGAGGGTGTCCATGAGCATCGAGTTCCACTTGAAGGTGGCGTGTTCCTCTTTCAAAGTGCCATCAGCAGAGTAGTATTTGCCGCTCATATCCGTGAACTCGGCCCAGCCTCCGGGGTTGAGGTTGTCGTAAACGTTCTTGATCAGCTTGGGGTAGTCGGCGATCGAACCGATCATGTAACGGCAGAATATGAAATCATACTTTCGGTCGCCGATCCATTCGCTTTCAACGTCGTCGATCTCGAACTTGACATTGGGGGGAACCCTGTGGGCATGGCTTTTAGCTGTGGCCTTGCACGTCGAGTTCATGTTAAATCGGGAGAACCCACCATTCTGGCTGAATAGGACTCAAGTCGTTGCCGTAAACCTTCACAAGCCTGCGTTAGTTTGGGCATGATGCTCGAAACTGCATATGCTGATTCTAAGGTGGTGGAAAAGAGATGAGAGTTTTGCGTACTTCTGCATTGGGAAAGAGGTCACCCATTTCCATGGCCCCTCAACCGTTGATATCGTAGTCAGTACCGTTTTCATCGTCTGGCGTCTCAAGACATGGCCGATTCCGTGCCGATAACTCACAAATTCCGGTCCCGGTTCCAATGTCCAAGATTTTGTGGACGTTTTCCTTCTCAAGGGGTGCCAGGTAAAGTCTATGTCCCAGCATCTCGAGTGTAAGGTTGTGTGACATGTCAAGGCGGGCCATCTCTTTCTGTATCGGTCAGATTTCACTAGGGCTGTCATCAGGAAAGACGGTCTCTTACGTCGTCGTTTGGCAAGAAGTAAGCTGTAGAGTCATCATAATCAGATCAACCGTACGTTTATGACTTTCAAGTGAAGTGAAAAGTGTCCTTGATTACCTCCGGGGCGAAAAGCATGGTAGCGTCGACCAAACTCGGTGGGATAGTCAACAGCACTCGATGCCAGTGAAGCCGTGTACGAGGAGCTACTCAGAGTCAGACTGTCTTCCCATACACTGCGCAGTCTAGGGCTAAGGTGCGATACATCTGGTCATCGATGGAAGCGCCGTCATCAGTTTCCTGCGAAGTCTAGTCAGCTAATGCCGTCTCTCGGAAAATAACCCGGTCACAGACAGTAGCTGGGTCCTCCGCCTCCAATGCATCCGATGTTTCAACCGAGGCGGAGGCCGGAGGGTTGACCGGTAAGCTGCCCTGTGGACCATTGGGTAAGGCCGCTGTTGAGGTTTCAGCAGCTGCTGCCGGAGGTGAGGTTGCAACAGAAGGCGAGCCCGGTTGGGCCTCTGACGTGTTGGCCATCTTTGATTACGGAAAGTTGAAGGAAAGCAAAGCTAGTGCTGCTAGGTTTTTGAGGATGGAGAAGAAAGAGAAAAGAAAGAAGGAGAGAAGAGGGGAAACAAGTCTTACGACCAACGGAGGGGGTTGCAGACAAATATGGATGAAGGAACCGCTGTTGGTGCAAGCTGTTGGAGCAGGCTCTACTGCTTGACCCAATCACAGGTAACCGATTGACGAGGGTGCCGTTGCCGAGAACAACATTGTGATTCTTTTACTCGAGCCTAGTGATTCGGCGTGGGAAAGTCTATCACGAGCGAGATATCATCGAAGTCAAGGCAGACAAATCTTACTCACCCGGGTACGTCATACGGGTTTTGCCTCTTGTTTGAACTCGACACAATATCACCGATACCTGACTGGGTATGAAAGACGATTCTCATCTTTAGAATGTCACTCTCATTTGAGCGAAGCAAGATGTCTATGTTACAAATATTTATTTGTTTGGTGGGAGATACCCCTGGCATCCAAACCCGGAGCCAGGGACTCTAACATCCCATCTGCCTTATTGATACAGTTGTCTAGTTATGAAACATCGTACACATGCCCAAAAATAACCTTCTTGGGGGGTTGTCTGCTTCTCTTTCTTTTTTTTTAACGCCGCCCTGGGACCATCAAAGAAACGCCCCTTCTTGTACAATCATCAACGCCGTCGCGGTGCAACCAATCAGAATTTGCAAATAATCTCTCCCAAAAGGTTCTTCCCCATGCGTGACCGGTATTCTTGCATCGATGTTCACATCAAAATCCGGAAACGCAGTCTACGAGAAGAAGTACTCGCTCTGCTTGAGTCTTTGAACGTCAAAGTCGCCCTTCTCGGGGATTGGGGGGAACGTCAGTGGAAGCCACACCGCGATGGTACCGGGCTTTGTGACCTTCCTCCGTCCTCCCGAAATTACCTGTTGCTTGAAGTGAGACTCCTTCATGTTGTTCAACATTCGTGAGGCGAATTGAGAACCGGGTGTCTCGCCCTCGAGGGCTTCTCCCTCAACGGCATCGGCGGAAACCTCGGCATCGATGCCTTCCTCGTCGGCACCAAGCTCCATCTTAACGTCGACTTCATCCGCGTTCTCGGGAATCTCGCCGAGGCCGAGGGCCTCCATGTCCTCGGGCTCTGCCAGAGCCTCGGCAGCTGCCATCTCCTCAAAGATGCTGGCGGGAGTGACCATATTCTTGGCCTCTGCAATCTGCTCGGGGTCGGCGGAGCGGAGGAGCGTCTGTCTCCTGTACTCTAGCAGAAGCTCATCTTTGGACGACATCTTCGACTTCTTTCGTAGGGCGGAGATCTTCTTCTCGACTTCGGTTCCATGGTTGATCTTTGCCAAGTAGATGGAGCCGCGGTAACGAGCCTCAAACTCGGCGGCGAGACGACCGACGACATCCTCCTCGTGGATTCTGACGAAAGCGTCACGGAGGACACGGTTCATTGTGTTGACGTCAGAGGCATGCGTCCAGAATGAGTCGTGAACAGCAGCAAAATCCAGTCCGAGTTCAGAGCATTCCAGCGCTGACAGCAGCATGTGTGTTGCATCGAGGGAGTGAATGAAGTTAGGAGGGAACGCCTGAAGCTGTTTCTTACGGTGGACTGGGTCGGAGCGTTCGGGGATGGTCAGAGAAAGGTCCTGAAGGGCTGTCTTGATAACTCGGGTCCCGCTCTTGCGGTACGGCTGGGCGATTGGCATGCGAAGCGGTGTGGTCCAGACGATAGTGGCGCGGAATTGTCCCAAGAGTTCGTCAGTCGAAGTCTTCTTCTCGGTAGCCTTCGCTGTCGTCTTTGATAGCGCGGGCATGATTCCATCGTTCGCGATGCGCTCCAGTTGTTCAGCTGACAGAGCCCTGCAAACCCGACCACCAATCTCGCCGAGCCAGTACTGAATATCGTGAGCACCGCGGAACATGGATGACAGAGCCTTGAAGACAAGGGTGGCGACATAAGATGCGGTGACGATGTTGTCGAAGCCACACTCCTTCGGCAAGTTGGGGTACAGAGAATCGAGTTGCTTGCAGACCTGTTTCTTGGCACCGGCGAACGTGACACCGTAGACGTTTGTCATAACGGTTTGCTTGACCACCTTTCTCGTGATCTTTCCGTCCATAGCCAGCGCAAAAGGGTTGCCCGCCTCCACGTCCTTGGCAATGTGATCTTTGACAATGTCGGCCACAGCAGAGTAGACGTCGGCAGGCTTGTCACCAGGCTCAAGGTTGACCTGACGAGCACCCCAAATGTCACCACCGAGGGCAGCGTAATGTTGAAGACCGTTACAGGTACCGTCCTGGTGTACCGGAAGACTAGAGACGTATTTTTCTGGCTCCGGAGATTCAAGAGCTGCCTTTAGCTCGAAACAGGCTGCGAGACACTGCCATGGGTCCTCGGCCTTCAGCCACCAGCGGTTGCCATCAAGCGGGTTGGTGGCTGAGTCGATAATGTTGACTAAGTTGTCCATAGCGAAAGATTCTCTGTCCTTGAGACTGGCCTTATCGAAACCAAAGACGTTGGACAAGTGAACCTTGAGCCATTTGAGACCCTCCTCGCCGAGCTCTTTGCCCTCGGCAAAGCGAAGAATGCCACGAACGTGATCAGCACCCATGTGGTTGAGGTAGGTCGGAAGTGGGTAGGCACGTCCTCGGAAGTCAATGTTGTGAGGGAAGTAGAATGTTTGGTTCCTGAAAGCACGGGCAATCTCCAACTGAAAGTTCATGAAGCAGCGTACGGAGTGCAAGCCACCCCTCTCGTTCTCAGCTGTCTTGACAGCTCTTATCCAGGCTCTGCGGGCAGAAGGGTCGTCGAAGGACTCAGGCTCGGACGGCGTAGGAATGTCGGGGTTCAACGCCGGGATATTCGCGACCTCCTCGCCAGTGTTCCAGACCTCGAGCATAACGTTGAGAACTGGGGTGTTAATCCGCCAAGCGGTTTTGCCCAGGACATCCAACCCCTTGAAGACTTGGTCCATGTCACCGCGGGCGATGGCTGCTTCACTATACAGCCTCTGGTCCTTGTCGCCCTGCTTTACACGAACTAGACTCGCTTTGCTTTCTAGAAAGCCACCCTTGTCGAAAGTCTGCCACGGCTCCGGCTCGACAACCATGGGCAGGTGCTTAGCCAGGAAGTCGCCTTGGGGTTCTCGCTTCATGATGCTGACGAGCTCCTTGTTGAGCAAGATCATACCAATCTTCTTGCCCTTCCTGAGCTGGACAGCGTGGGAAAACGCGGGTTGGAACTGACTGATGAGGGTCTTCGTTTCGGGGTGTTCCTTCACAACTTTGATCCTGGCGGTGTCAAGGAGAGCAGAGAGGAGTGCCGCGCCGACCTTGGCCTTCACTGCAGGGGGCCAGGGTGCATCAGCAAGCGCGGTGTCCCTAGCTTGCTCGTCACTGAACAATGTATTGCTGGTTGCCTTGTTCGATGATGTTTCGTCTGCACCCTGAGCAGATTTTGTCATCACCACCTTTCTGCTCTTGGCGGTCTTCTTCACCTTCTGGCTCGCGAGTTGAGTTCGAATATCCTCTTCGGTGAGTTTTGCGAGGCCACTGATTGCGGCAGCGAGAGGCATGCCGCGGTCGACACCAGTAATAGCAGTAGAGCTCAAGGTGCTGAGGATGGTTACCGCGGCAAGGCGGCTAGGCGTAGATAGTCTGAGGAATGGCCCATACACACATCGATCGTAGTCTTCAGGCGTTTTCTTAGCCACGGCCTCGGCTGCCTCGATTTTGACCATTTCGTCCTTCAGTCGCGCCTCCAATGCAAGTTGCCAGTCGTACAGGCGGGAGTTGAGTGATGCGTGGGAGACGGAGGTATTGAGACCCATCTTTTGCAGAGATTCGTTCTCCTCGCGCCATCGCTCGACGGCTGCATCGACACAGTCGCGCTCGAGGCGGGCTTGGATTTCTCTTCGTTCGCGAATCGGAAGTGTGGAGATGTCGCATTCCTGAGGAATTTCGTCAAAGAGACTCAAGGTCTGCTTCAAACTCTTCAGTCCAAAGCCTTTCTGAGGCGTGGCCATGACTTTCGGCATAAGCTTTCCAAGAGTGGAACTCGGGGTTTCGCTTGATTCTTGAGCGTTGATATCCGGCTCATCCTTGGTTTCGGTGATTGAATCCGTTTCTTCTTCTGGCGCAAGGTTGTATATCGGGCAAATTTCCGTAATCACTGCGAGATCTTGGTCGCTGAGGATCTCTGCCATGGACAAAACTTGCAAGCCCGCCTCGCCGGGCGCCATCCTCATGTAGCGAGAGACCAATCGATGACGTCTATCATACTCTCGTTCTGAAAGAAGTGAGGCCTTGAGCATGCAAGCGATGGTCTCAGCAGTCTGAGGAAGGCCCTTGCTATTGATGTACAACTCATACCATTTATGGAGACTCTCGGCCTGATTCCGATTGGGATGGAGACGCAGCTGGTCAAGGGAGGCTCGGATGAAGCGGTTGTGAAGGAAAATCAGGTCTTCGCTGGGGAAGCCTTGGCAAGCACTCAAGCGCTTAAGGACCATTTCTGCACGATCAACTTTGCCAACGCGGATGCAAGCATCGAATATCGGCAGTAATTCCTCGACATCTCCAGAAACGCCGCTAGTGTTTGTTTTTGACCGGGCAAAATATGCTGTGTTGGACTCTTGGAGGACAAGTGGCGAGGAGGGATCGAAGGCGCGCAACTCGTGATATCTCGGGCGGCTCGAGGCATTCTGATATGCTGGGAGCACAGAGCTATTCAGCCTGTCGTAATTGGAGCTTTCGATGGGTTGGTAGTCGTCAACGGCGGTGGCAAGATTCCGTCCACCGCTCAGGCTGTTTCTCCTCGGCGTGGGCCTTCCATCATGCTGTGTGCCAAAAAGTCGTCTGCTTTTTTCGGTTGCTTTTATCGTCGTCAATGGGTATCTTGGTGTCGGTCGGGAGGGTCGGAAAACGGTTGCGTGATGGAGAGAAAGACTTCTCCGGCTGTTCCTGAGGAGCATCTTGGAAGCTCACGCGACGTAGGACAGACCGAGGGGAGGCGTCGTTTCAACAGAACGAGATCTGTTGAAGGTCTAGGAGAGGTAGCGGTGCATTAAGTAAAAGGAGTATAAAAGAACGTGGCTATATTACAAAATACAGAGAATGGACCTAATGCGTTGCGATGCTGCGGCGCATAGAGAGACAACAAATTTTGGGTCGAGGGAGAGATTTTGGGGGGCGGACGGGAGCTTGTCGATAGGAGGCGCGAGCTATCAGAATTTTGCCGTCTTTTTTCTCTGGCCTTGACTCGGGGTCGTCTCACTCCACTCGCCGGGATGGAATGACCAACGGCGGTCGTAGGAATTTTTTGTCCACTCAAAATTAAGATGGTGGGGCCTTTGACCAATCAAGGGTGGTTTTGATTCCTGATCTCTCATTCGTTAGACATGTACCCCTTAACACGTGCAGGTACGTGCCTTCCGACCTTCCTCAAGATGTACAAGACGCGTCTCGAAAATCGGGCCTGATCATGGTCACAATCAGCCCATTCTTCGCTGTTTTGATTTTTTGTTTTCGAAGTGCAATGCGTCATGTGGGTTTGAACGATCAAAGCGGGGTTTAGTCAATGCATTCGGCCATGGCACTGGCAACTCCGCGCCGTTGAAAGTGTCAAGAACAAGTTCGCGGCTCTTGTGGCGCCGGGCCGGAATAGTGGGACCTCTTCGGCCGAGTTGATTATGTAACAACTTGGGAAACGCACGGCCATCGCGCTTCCACTTCCCGGTCCAAGCTTTGGAAGGACGAGAATTTCGGTCGCGCCAGCACAGATTTTGGCGTCAGAGAGCTCAAATCCAACCGCAGCTTGTGAGGTGTGCGGCAACCTGACGTTACGATGGCTTCCCGACCAGCATTTGCAGCTTTGGGCTGTCTTCAATGTCGGAATACCGTCCTACGAGCCGTCACATCCAAATCAGCTCCCTTTCTTCGAGCTCCCGCCATCACAACCACGGCAAGTCTGCGACCTCGAAATCTGCAAAGAGCTTTCTCGAGCGTACCCGAAGCACCCAAGCCCTCGGATGAACCGACCGCCCAAGCGCCCGAAGCCGATTCGAAGGCTGAGGAGCACCTTGAAGACCTGATTGCTAGCGAAAAAGAAGAAGCGCCATGGTTCCTTGAGGTCGAGGCCCCTACACACCCGCCGAGGCAAGAAGTGTCACCCCTGCCCGAACTGCCGAGCTCTCCCCCTCCTCTCCTGGAGCCTCTGTTGAAGTATGTCTACGAAGAAATGGGACTCGATGACCTGTCACTCCTCGACTTGCGCGCTCTTGACCCGCCCCCTGCTCTGGGACCGAACCTTCTCATGCTCTTCGCGACGGCGCGCAGCGAGCGTCATCTGCACGTCTCGGCTTCCCGACTGGTGAAGTGGCTCCGTTTCCACTACAGGATCGAGGCTAACGCGGATGGCCTGATCGGTCCCGGCGAACTAAAGACGAAGCTACGAAGAATGAGGAGGAAGGCAAAGCTGCTTGGCTCAAGTGCCATGGTTGCAAAGGGTGGCGACGATGGAATCTCGACTGGATGGATCTGCGTCAACCTCGGAACCAGTGGATCGACATACAGCGAAAGCGAACGCTTCGACTCGCAAGGCAAGATGTCAGGATTCGGCGGGCCTGTTACCGGATCTACCATCGTCGTCCAGGTGATGACCAAGTCTCGGCGCAACGAACTGGACCTCGAGCGGCTATGGAGCCAGCAGCTCGTCCGAAGCGAAGCTCAAGAACGTAAGCTAGCCGACGAAGACTCTTCGTACCACAACAGATACGGTGATCTGCCGACGACTACCATCAGAGCTCGGAAACCCAACTACACAAACACATTGCAGAGAAGAAACTTCTCCACGAGTCTCTCTCGGCCTTCAACGGACACACAGCAGGCCCCTGTGGAGGCCAAAGACGCAGGTAGTACTCCTTCAGCAAACTCAAGCTCTGTCACAGACCCGCTGAACAAGTACCGCCAGCGAATTGAAAAGATACGGTTTGAGGGGGAGCTAGTGAGCGTCGAGGACTGCCTTGACCTCTTGAGGGCCATTTTCCGGGCGCCTCCAGCGGAGGAGGATCACAGCCAGGATCAAGCGGATCTCGCCACAAAAGTCATCGAGACGATGCACGAACGAAAGATGCCGGTCATGGACCACGAGATGCTTACGACCATCATTGAGGCGATAGCAACATCACCTGCGCGAGGAGGTCCGGAGCAAGGAAAGCTGCGTGATATTCAAAGCAATCTGGAATTTGTGATGCTGAAAGGCATGCAATCTTCTCCCACCGAGGCGCAACTTGTACGTCTTCTCAGAGCGTATGCCATTCAACGCAATTTGGAACAGTTTTGGGAGATTTGGAGTCTTCCCGCACGGTACGGGGAGCGCAGAGGGCCGGCATTATACCGGGAAGTGTTTTCAATCTTTGCGCGAATCAACAGGAGGTCTCTGAGCATCGACGCTCTCAGGAAGTGTGTCCCCGAGATGGTGCTCGAGCAGCCACCCGTTCTGCCAGACGACACGATATGGTCTGACCTCAAGGCCTGCATTCACCTCGCCGACCCCAATGCGGAACACATCAGCGCTCACATGGTGTCTGGCGGCAAAGTGTCCAACGATGGCAAGAGGGTTGGCGATTCGGAATTTGTCAGAATGTTCAAGGAGCTTGAAGCCCTGCGAAAGAACACTTGAAACCCATCAGGCGGGGCGGAGACTCACCTCCAAGGCTGCAGACGCAGACAGGACGGGTGACGGCAAGAATAGGCCTTTGGCGAGGCCGCGAGATAGCGCCAACAAAGAAAGACGTCTTGGATCCGATGGCGGGATTCGGCGCTCACCGACGTTCATCTATTGTGATGTCTCAACAATGAAGCCGCGGGAGACGCGGCAGAGATGGAGGGTTTCCCCCCGACATGTACAACATTCAACAAAACATCAACTAAAATGTACCATACTGTAATAACAACACCAATTAGATGGTCATGATACAAATATTCCACTCGTCTGAACGAAGGGTGAATTCGGCTTTGAAGTCGCCTAGAGCCTTGGTCACGATGAAATTCACTCAGCCCAAGCTCAACCCCAGACCTTCCTCTTCGGGAAGTGCTCCGTCTTATCTCTGGGTGACGGGAGCCCGGCAGGATTGCGGGGGAGGATCGGAGTCTATTGTTACTACAATTTTTTCTTGTTTTCCAGCTCGGCACTTACGCATGTGTAATCCAACTTCAATGCGCCGGCATTTCCGCCTCAACTCTTGGAGATGCATCTGAATAATCAGCTGAGAGCTGTGGGAGAGCACATCAGTGAGCAAACGGATTTAGTTGGTCAACCCATCGTCTGAACATGCAGGTTGTATTTGGATCCTGGTCCGCACCTGTGCTGTCCATCACACGCAGGTATTTCCCTCTCTCTCTTTCGCTCGCGCCCGGATATCGGCATGGTACTGTTTGATTGCAAAGCTGTGCAACTCGGAACATCTCAGCCAATGGGCGTCTGTACAAGACCCTCAGCACTCTAGATCGACGCTCCAAGTCAACCTTAGCCCGGTACTTCTGTACCGCTCGCGATGCCCGAACAAGCAGGAGGGCGACACGATGTGGTCTGCAATGCTTCAACGCCAACCAACCTTCGAGGCATGCTTCCCGCTTCTCGCCTTTTGCGTGACCGACACAGCCTACCCTGCTTCCCTTACCGCATCAATGGAACACGCATCGATCAAGGAGCTGGACTAATGCGCGCCGGTCTTGGCCACACGTGGACTGGAGAGACCTCCAGTCTGCAGAACGCTACATATAACCCGCTCCACTCCCTCATCGTGACATTCTTCTTCCCTCTTCCCGCTCGCCAAGGACACTCTCCCGCCCCTCCAATCCATTCTCCTCGCCACCTCCTCCCCCGTCCTCTTCCTTTCTTCCCCGTCTCCCGCACTCTCAAGTAGCATCCCAAAGTACCAAGAGCCATGGCCCGCCTGACAACGCTCGCCCTTCTGGCCGCCGCCGCCCTCCCCAAGGCCGCCCTCGCCTGGGGCTCCATGGGCCACGCGACAATCGCCTACATTGCCACAAACTTTGTCGCCCCCGAGACGAAAAGCTATATGCAGCAGCTCCTGGGCGACACGACAGACGACTATCTCGCCAGCGTCGCCAGCTGGGCCGACTCATACCGCTACACCACCGAGGGCGCCTTCTCCGCCGGCTTCCACTTCATTGACGCCCAGGACAACCCCCCGCACTCGTGCGGCATCGATCTCGACCGCGACTGCGGCGCCGGGGGCTGCATCATCTCCGCCTACGCAAACTACACCAACCGCCTCCTCCAGAAGCCCGCCCTGTCCCTCAAGCAGCGCCAGATGGCCGCCAAGATGATCATCCACTTCACCGGCGACGTCGGCCAGCCTCTCCACTGCGAGAACCTCGAGCTGGGCGGCAACGACATCGACGTCGAGTTCAACGGGGCCAGCACGAACCTCCACGCCGTGTGGGACACCAGCATCCCGCTGTCCATTGCGGGTTCCGGGAGCAGCGTGCTGGCCACCGCCAAGTCGTGGGCGTCCAAGCTCAGCACCGAGATCAGCTCGGGCGACTTTGAGACGGTGTCGGCGTCTTGGGTTGCCGGGCTGAGCCTCGACGACCCAGAGGCGCAGGCACTTGAGTGGGCGTCGGAGAGCAACAAGTTTGTGTGTTCCGTTGTCCTGCCTAAGGGTCGTGCGGCTGTTGAAGGGTTGGAAATCAGCGGGGCGTATACGACGAATGCGCAGCCTACTGTGAGCACGCAGATTGCGAAGCAGGGTTACAGGTAAGCTCTCGAAATGATTGGTCTTATTTTGGGTGAGATGGTGAAACTGATCATGTACAGACTTGCAAAGTGGCTGGATGCCATCGTTGCCCAACTTGCTTAAATGTAGCACGGCTTGCTATAACGCACTCTGAACATTTCGAGGATGTGATATGACTCGATATATTTTGAGATGATGGATGATGTTGTAGCGGTTCTAGACCAAAATATATCAAACAGATGATGGTCACTGGTCTGCTTTTGAGACCAAATGATAATTTGCGTCCTCTTAAAGGCAGTGATTACGATGACCACCCGCTTTGTATTGGAGATTGAGCTAGAAATGACTACGGCTGTGAATTAGATTAGCGGCTAGATCTGCTGAGACCTGCTATTCGTCACACTTAGGCTTGTGTCTAACAACGGCACCGTGCCATTCGTCAATGATAAAATGATTAGTGCCGTTGGCTACATGATAGACATGTGGCTTCTGGCCACATTGAGTACTCTTTCCTGAACCTCGAATCATGTGAGAGCGCTCTTTGTCCGTTTCGAAAAGAATTGCCTCGCAAGTCAATGAAATCTACTGCATAAACGTCTTCATGTTTTCATTTCAAATGCCGCAGGTATTGAACGTCTCGTGTCACCTCAAAGCCTGGTACCGCCTTTGATAGTCTGCCGCAGCATGGGCGCAACCTGCTTGCGAGAGCTGGACAGACTCTTCTGGTGCCAAGCCATCCTCCACTCCCCACCTCCGACCTGATCGAGTCTGCCCTCGCCCCAACTCTCCAGACCCAACTCGTCCTTGTAATCTTGGTAGAACTTCTTGCAGTAGTCAACAGCGTTCTCGTTAAATGCCCACAAGAGCAAATCTCTCTGGAACTTCCCACCAGGATGCGAAGTCGTCATAATGACGCCAACATCCATCTTCTTCTCCTCGGCCCACTTCTTGAACTCGCCCAGCAGCACTTTGTCGTCGCCACCAGCCTTCTCAAGGAGGTAGTCCAAATTCTGGACAATGGCTGACACGCCCATAACCTGGCGGCGGCTCTGTGCAGAGCCTTCGCCCTTGTCCTCCCACTGCTTGTAATCCTTGCGGAACACGTCGCGGAACCCCAACGAGGATATGTCTTCCTTAACGGCGGATATCTCGTTGAAAAATGCGTCGCGTCCATCCGTAAACTTTTCGAGAAAGGAAACAGCGCTAATGTCCTTGTCGGTCGTCTTATCCTTGGACTTGAGGTTTGTGGTGTCAATCAGGATCGCCGCCAGTGAGAGCCTGGCGAGGTGCTCGTCCACGTCTCTAGGACCCTCCTCTGACTTTGCGAGGTCCTCCCACGCCGGGCGGCAGTACTCCACCACCAAGCTCGCACAGCTTCCGCACTTTTCGACCACCCGGGGTTCGTCGCCAGTATCCTGAGGAACCTGATTGTCATCGGCATGGTGGTCTACGCAGCCGACCACACTGCTGCTGTATTTGCTCGCAAGGCCTCCCGTCAGGGCATTGTGGTCTACGAGAACCCATCTGGAGTCCTTCGCGGCGAGGTCTTGCGGTATCTCATCGAGCGTGAGAAGGTCGCTCGGCTTCAGCTGGGCGTGCGCCAGGGCAGCCGTCATCTCGGGACGGAGCTTGAGATCATCGCGGGGTAGGTTTGAGATGGGGATGTGGAGCGTGTGAGGCGGAGCATAGCTGCGGAGGTAGGCGTAGACGACGGCAGAGCAGAGAGAATCGAGGTCTAATTCATTTCGTGAAAAAATATTAAATCGTCAGTTTCTTCGCAAATGGAAGAAGAAACGCCAAGCCTCGGCTGTCTCTCGTACCTGCAGATTCGTTGCCGATGACCAACGTCAGGGGACTTGCCCGTTGCGGAGCCGCCAGGGCCGATCTCGCGTTGGCGAGAAAGGCGCCAAGGGAGACCCTTGGAGGCATTGGAACAAAAGAATTTGGTATTGGAACAAGGCTTGGAGCGTTGGCAACAACAATGCATGGGGAAATGCATATGCAGGTTGCCGCGGGAGTGTCAAGAGGCGCGGTCCTCGCAGCTCGGAGCTGGTGGTACCAGTAGTGGTGGGGATGACGTCGGAAGGTTGCACAGGTACAAATAAGGTAGCTTCGGGGGGTTGACGGCCCAATTGACTTTGGCCGATTTCATCGGCGTGTCTTATCACTATCTTATCTACAGCGCGGTCCCTTATCGCTGACTCTCCCCGCTATCGGATCGCGGGGCACGCCTTAAGGTACCTAGAGTACACCTACCCAGGGATTTCATACGTTAGCGCAGTGAAATGACAGGGAGGGTCCACTGCAAGTACCAGTTCTATCTTCTTCGCCTAATTTCTATAGCCGGTCTAAAGGCAGTACTTCCAGATCTGAAGGCCGAAATTCTCTACTAGAGCTGAACCTCTTACTCACAAATATTTTATTACTTTCCCACCAATTTTCCCACTAATTTTACTAAAATTATAATTATTTTTAATATTTAAATAAAATAATAAAAAATATCGATCCTTATTTTACTATATATTTTATATATAAGTATAAGTATTATGACTTTGCAGGGCTGCTACCGAATTTAGTTAAGTCCGTCTCTATAAGTACCGCACTAACGTATGAAATCCTAGGACAGGCACCTTACCTTACTGACTCAACCGCGACCCGCGAGAACCCCACCATCGCCGCGGGACCGCGGTCGGGGCGCCGGCATCTGAACAGTCACCACCTGTCACTTGCCTCCGTGCTTTATTCTCACGATTCTTTAACCTTCCGCTTTGTCCCCCGGCTTTATCCTTTCCATCATACATACCTCATATAGTCTCACTCTGCTACGACAAATTTATTACTATCTAACCCTCATCTTGTATATATACTCGTTCTATCAAAGCAAGCCAACATGGGCTCTCAACCACCCCGCATCCGCCTGGCCATCCTCGAGGCCGACACACCGCAGCCGCAAACCAACGCCCAGTACGGCGGCTACGGCGGCGTCTTCACGGCACTCCTGCGCACCGCCGCCTTGGCCGACGACCCGCCCGCGCCGCTCGACAGCATCGTTGACCTCTCAGTCTACCACGCCGTCGGCGATGACGCCGTCTACCCGGACCTGGACTCCATCGACGCCATCCTCATCTCCGGCAGCAAACACAACTCATTTGACAACGACCCATGGATCTTGAAGCTGATCGAGTTCACCAAGAAATGCATCGACAGCGGGCGGGTGAGGGTCATCGGAGTATGCTTCGGCCACCAGATTGTGGGACGGTCACTAGGCGTCGAGGTTAAGAGGAGCGACCTCGGCTGGGAGGTGGCTGTCGTTGATGTCAACCTGACGCCCAAGGGCAAGGAGATTTTCCAGCTGGAAAAGATGGTGAGCGTTCACCCCAGACCTTCCGGCTCCGATCCCGGCGCGAGGGAAGGCGGCTCTGTCGTGAACAGGTACTCACACGTTACAGCGCATCCACCAAATGCATCGCGATGTCGTAACAGCAAACCCGGCTGGCGCCGAGTCCCTGGCATACACGGAACTGTGCCCCGTCCAGGGCTTTTACTCACCAAAAAAGTTCATCACTGTCCAGGGCCACCCCGAGTTCACCGGCCCCATCGTCAGTGAGATTCTCAATGTTCGCCACAAGGCCGGTGTCTTTGACGAGGCCATGTTTACTGATGCCATCAACCGCGCAAACATTGAGCACGATGGTGTCAACATTGCTCGCGGTTTCCTGCGCTTCCTTAGAGAATGATCATGATCGTTTATAGTACACTAGCCCAATAGACCAGCGTTTGCTTTGGATACCGGTGTTACTCCCCCGAATGAGCCAGTGTTTGATCCGTACCATGTACCAACTTATCTTCATCATGCCGGCTACCTGTGCTCCTTCGTCAGTCACGTATTTTATGCTTGTAGCCTATCAGTCTGGGAAGACGTCAGCATTGCTCTTGCTACCTTATTTCCAGTATTTCGGAAGGACCGAAGTTGTGCACTTAAGGTACTCTGCGCCTTCCTTCCTGTCCTTTCGATCAGTCAGCCATCCATTACAGACCCCTCCTTCTTCAACAGTAAACACACTGGGCTTCTTCTAGCTTGAGACCCAAGTCTCAACCACCTCTCTCCATACGTCCTCTCTCCACACATCCTCTCTTCCTCTTCAACTTCTCAATGCCATCACCAGCTCTGGAATTACAACCTTTTCCTTCAACACATCTCGGGCTTTCCCTTCATCTTGGAGTAATCAAACTTATCTCTTCAACTACCTTGGTATTTCTTCAAATTCCTCCTTCTTCACAACTCACCCGAGTGGTCAGGACTGTGCCATTTGCCACCTCACTTTGAAGGCGCCTTCCCAACCTAACATTTATTCCATCAATTGCTCTCATCTTCTCTTGCCAACAGTTTCTTTCTTTCACTATCTCACCTGAGGTAGGCAGCTGATTTAGGAACAGTTCGAGAAGTCCAAGTTCCTCTCGTTGACCAACTTTACCTCAACAACTACCAGCTACCTTTTCTTCTTGTCATTCAAGCTAAGTTCGAGGGACAAGTCTTGCATTTTCAGCCTTCCCCCTTTTGCATCTTGCTCAGGCCACTCTCAAGCCTTTAAAACTATGAGCGACTCTCAATCAGGAAACGCGGGGGCAGAGGGTGCCAATCGCAAGAGGCGACCTTTCTGTTTTGAGGACGAAGACAGTTTCGACGCAGTGGATACTCGCGCCCCGGTTACAGTTAAGAATACGGCCGATACTCGGCAGGAAGAGCCAGGCATTTTCGATATGTCCATAGAGGACATGATTAGAGAAAGCCGTGGCGGCATTGATACTGACGCTAACGCTGCAACTCTATCACGGACCGAACACAATGATGTAGATGGTCTCTTCGTTTCCAGCGACGAGCCTCAAGAGACCGGTTCCTTTCGAGCCAACAAAGTCTCCATCAAATCTGAGGAGTGTTCTGATGACGACCTCGATTGGATGATCATTGACAAGGATACAGCATCCACTGGAGCTCAAGCGAAATGGTCCAAGCCAAGTGGTCCTTGGATCGTCGACCTCACTTCACCGTCGAGAGTCAAGAAAGAACCAGCCGCCGAAACCCAATGCAGTTCTATGGTTCAGGGCAATGAAATGCAGATCAAGCAAGAACCCGAGGCAGAAGCTACCGCTCACGGATACACCTCTTTCCAAGACAACTATTCTTTGGTCAAAGAACTAGAGAAAAGGAAAGAAGAGTTGCAATCGAAAGCTCTCAATGGGGCGCTAAGTGTGGACGACATCTCCGAGATGTGTGAGGTCATCTCCGACCTCAGTAAAGCTCAAGAGGCGCTGAGTATGGACAATACCGCAGCCAGAGTGGTGCCGGAACAAGAATCTGGTGAAGGCAATGGGAGGAAAGCGAAGAAGTCAAATCCTCCAATCAAAACTGCAGCAGACTACTGGGCTCGAGAAGAAGAAAAAGACCGCAACCGCAAGGCGAAAGGAAAGAAAAGATCCGGAGTATATCAAGGCAGCTCAAGCGACATTAAGCGGGCGAGGACATCGAATAGAAGTCTGAGAGAAGAACAAGAAGAAGAAGAACAGGAGTCCAAAGAAATTGAACGTCAAATCAACAACATACTTCATCAAACCGACGCGATCCAGGAACGAGCGGACGCAGGTGACTTACCCGCTGCGCCAATCATCACCGCGACCAGAAGAGCCGACCAACTGAAGCAAATGAGAAAATCCGCACCAGGGTACTTTGCTCCCAAGCTTTTGGATGATCAGACCAGGGAGCTTCTGGAAGCAACCAAGGCTTGGGGCCCACGTGCTGTTCGATGCAAAAATGGCATTTGGGAGGTCAAAGGTCTTCGGTCTCTAATGCTCCATCATCAGCTCATCGTTGGAGCCTGGATGATGGGCCGAGAGCTGAAGACAACGCCCAAACGGCCAAGGGGAGGCATTCTTGCTGACGCAATGGGCTTAGGGAAGACCATCGAGACCCTTTCGTGCATTGTGGGCAATCAGGCATCGGAGAAACTTCAAGAAGCCGGGAAGGGAGCAACACTAGTAGTTGCCCCTTCAGGACAGATGATCAGTCAATGGATGTCTGAAGTCAAGAAGCACTGCAACAAAAAGTTCGCCAAGAATATCATCCATTTCAAAGCTGGTAACAATATGGATCTTGAGCAGTTGTCTTCCTTCAACGTGGTGTCAGTATGACGCAACAATCGGCGTGTCTTCTGGGAACTAATGATTGGAACCAGATTCGCTAGCTACCATCAACTCAGGGCAAGCATCCCTCACGCCAAGGAGAGGGTAGAGATGATGAAGCGGATTGTCGACCCTGTGAAATACCAGGAGTGGCTGGAAGAGTCGACCGGTGTTCTGCATCAAATTGAGTGGCACCGGGTGGTGCTTGATGAAGCTCACGCGATCAAAAACCATCAAACCCATTGTAGGGAGCGTTTTTTTGTTTTTTCGGCAGGTTCATTTGCTAACTTTCACATTTGCAGCTGCATTCGCGTGCTTCGAGCTAAAGGCCAAGCACCGTTGGGCAGTGAGCGGAACACCGCTTATCAACGCAGCCAGCGGTGAGTTCGAATATCGAGACCACATGACAGGGTGTTTCTCACATTTCACAGAGTTTTTCTCCTACTTGAAGTTCATACGATGTCATGGAATCCAGGAGTTCAGCGACTATGAGCGCGAGTACCGCGCAGGTGTAAGCATCGTTTTTGACAAAGCCTGAGCAAGGGAAAATGCTAACTTCTGTCAGACTCAAACCCGAGTAAAGCACAACAAACTCATCTTCGAGGTCATGTACAGGAGGTAAAAGTCATCATGATGAACTTGTCAGAAACTTCTAGCTCATTCATTCTATTAGAACTCAAGGCGACTATTTCCTGGGTCAACCGATTCTGAACCTGCCAACTACTAATCCCACCCACCAGTATCTGACTCTTTCGAAGGAGGAAATGGTGGTTTTCAAGTGAGTTAAGACAAGTTTTTCATGCACCTTTCAGCTTCTGATGGGTTACAGGATGATGGAGGGATGCTTTCGTCGGGAAATTAACCGAGACCTTGCGAACGGGAATGCCATGAAGCAAATGAGGTGCTATCTGGTCATGCTACTTCGGTTACGCCAAGCTTCGACGCACCCTTTCTTACTGGAAGGCATGATGGCAGAGTATTTCACTCAGCATGACTTGCAAACCACTAAGAAGCAATTGGAGAACCTCAAAGGTGGCAACACCGTCTACAAACAGATCGGCTCTTGGACTCAGAGGCACCGAATTGCCAGCGACCGCGTCAGAAACGTCATCGATGAAACAAACCGGCTCAACCAGCAGCAGCTTCTAGACGACAGCAAAGAGCTGCTCGACGCACATAATAGCCAGACTATTGAGCCTGTTCACGGCAACATTACGAACCAAGGTCACCCTCAGCAAAATGCTAGCGAGCATGCTATTGTGACAGACGATAACTCTGATGAGGTCAACAGCCAAGATGACGTAGAAGAAGACGAAGATGGCTTGGTTCCGGAGAGTCATCTTCCCCCAAGAGTGCAGCCAGAAGATGTGGCATCCACGGAGGTCGAGGCGGAAGAGCCACGGCTCCAGCCTTTTGGTCGCAGTGATTTTGGACTGGCATTCGACATGTCCGAACAGCTAGCGTACCTCGAAAAGGTCATGGAAATGAAGAAGTCTGCATGCGTCGTTTGCCGCATAAAGCCCCCTTTGAATCCTGTGAAGGGAACAGTAAGTAATCAACCTACACGGATAAGACTTTTTGAAGAATCTGCATAGCCAACATGCTTCACAGTGCGGCTGCATTTTCTGCTCCAATTGCGTGGTGTCTCACCTCGCAATGAAGGTATATATCATCTAAATCTCCGGAACTCTCTAGATTGCTAACTCTTATTCGTCAAAGGGCAGGAATTGTCCAAAATGTCGCAAAATCATTGGCTACCCGAAGCCACTTACACCGTTCAACAATGAAGATGATGATGAAATTGCAGAATTTGCTCCGCAGAACTCCAATGATAAGGAGTATGCAAAAGGGTTTGACCATACTGGATTCCAGCATACAGAAGATGACAAGGACGACAAGCATGCAGTCAGATTCCTACAAGTGGCAGACAGACGTCCCTATTTGCCTGTCACGCCTAGTGCCAAAACGACAGCACTGAAGGAGACAATATTGAGATGGCAGGCCGAAGCTCCAGACGACAAGATAATCAGTATGTACTTTACCTTATCACATCCGACCAGTCCATTCCATCTGTTACAGATGTCTGATCTGACTCCTTCTAGTCTTCAGCCAATTCAATGTCGTCATGAAGATCGTGGGCCGCATGCTTGAAGCAGAAAAGATTGACTTCGCATACCTTAGCGGCAAGCAGAACACCGAGCAGCGCAACAGGGCCGTTGACGAGTTCCAAAATGGCGACAAGATCAAGGTTCTCATTGTGTCGCTTCGCGCAGGTGGCCAGTGTCTCAATCTCACAAAGGCAAACCGCGTCATCCTCATGGAGCTCTGGTGGAACCATGCCGTGGAGCAGCAGGCCTTTGCCCGCGTCTTCCGAATCGGTCAAATCAAGGAGACTCATTTCGTGCGCTTTATCGTCGATACACCGATTGAGCAGCGCATGCTGCAGATGCAAGCCACCAAGATTCTTTCGATTGACGCAGCTCTACAAGACGATACTACCAGAATGCCAAAGATTACCCTCAAGGACATTGCCAGCCTCCTCGGTAGAGTTACAGAAAGAGACGGAGTCATGCACATCTCAGCCGATTATGATGATGGTGAGGATGAGAGCGACGAGAACGATGATGAAGAAGATGAAGAGAGCGACCTCGAGGGTTTCGTTGTCCCCGATGACGAAGTGGAGGAGAGAGAGAATCGGATGTTGGCGATTCGGACGCGGATGGCTTCACTTTCCGATGACTCAGAGGAGGAATGAAGCTTCCCCAACGGAGAATTCCCATACACTTGGGTCGAGACCAAAATCTTGAGTCGCCCTCCAGCAACAGGGCGCGACATGGTTCAGGCAATACCTCGTTTTCTTTTTCTTTTCACGATAACTTTGTTCCTGGTTTCTTGCGAGTTGCGAGTTGCGACTTGCTTCTTTGACAGCACCACGAGAAGGTGCTGCTAAATCTCCGGCCAAATTTGGCGGTCCGGGTTTCAAAGTGGAGCAGCGGATGATATAAACGGGGGGAAATACCGCGCACACTGGATGGGAAAAGTGTGCACTTGGAAAGGAAAACTGGAGGCCATTGATCGAGGCGTATAGAGCCTTCCTCTCCCGGGAATTAAGACAGATTGGAGAAGACCTCTATCGAAAAGCTCGAGGAAATCGGGAGACAGATAAAGGGGCATCGTCTCAGATCGTTCATAGACATAGACTCGTTTCAAAAAAAGACTCTTCGTATTCGATCCTGTTCAATCCTTGTTCGGTTCGCTTAGAAAAACGTTCATGAATTTGGCGTCTTCTTGTGCCAACAAATGCAGTCTTCATGGACGTCTCACCACTGTCGCAGAGATGTTAACATCGTTGCAAAGTTTGGCACGTCTCAGACCGCGCTAGTGGGGCCGTTGGGCCGAAGTTGCCGTGAGCGCGCGCCTGCTACGCCGGACTTTATGGGTCCGCATCCCGATGATCCGGACAAATGAACTGCCCACCATCAGGCACTGCACTTGGTTTCCGGGAAAATGCATGGTAACTGTACGTTTGAATTTGATGTAGTGAGGTAAAGATGTTTGTTCATTCAAATCATGTGGTATCAAGGCGAAAACGACTACGCTAATGATGATGTCCTCCTTCCGGTCCGTTGCCGGGCTTCGTCTTTATCCCGCCGTAGTTTTGACGGCGTCCTCATGTATCTGGCCTGCGTATCAATCCACGGCTTCTCTACAGCACAAAACAAACATGCGTTTACTAGGCCCTGTATTGACAGGCTCACTAGCGATAAAAGCACAACCACAAACGGGCCAGCTTGCTCTGGGTTGTCCCAGCGCATAACATGAGCGACAAACGGAACGGCCCAGATGAGTATGTATACAAGTGGGTAAACAAAAAGCAATCGCAGTTGGCGACGAATCTTGTCGCGGGTCTTTGCCATTCCCGTGCCGTCCATGGTAGGATGGTAGAGGAAAGGAGTATTGTTATGGTCCGTGTCAGAGTCGAGGGATGTGCCTCGACGGAGGATGGACCAGATGTTGGCAAGAGACTTGGCTCGGGCGTTTGTGGGGCTATTGGGTGGTTGCCAGTGTGTGCTGAAGCTCCCTCCCTGGTTAAAATGCGCCTGAGGCGGGTTTAAGTCGATTGTATCGCGGCGTATATAGCTTTGAGGAGGAGGAGAAATGGGCTCAAAGGTGGTGGAAAGAGGACTCGTGCTGGGCTCGAATGCACGCGGTGAGACGTCGTCATTGGGTTCGGGGATACGTCCATCCTCTGCGTTTCCATAGCTTGGCCAATTCCATTGGATCTTCTGCCGACTGTGGAGAAGCTCGATCTCAGCCGTCATGGTGGTGTTTGTAGAAGAGGCACGTCGCCGTTCCGAGTCTTCCATTGAGGTTTCGGAACCACGACGGGATGTCGGAGTGGCTGGCACCGAGGCAATATGACCCCAGTGCCCATCGTCTAGCATATGAGTTGCACTCGCCCGTCGCATAGCACTGAGTCGACCGAAGCGCCGCATGCGCAGAGTGACGTAGATGTAGATGTAGGCGTAGAGCGCGACAATAGTGAGCAAAATCATGTAGCGGGGAACCCAGCTCAGGGCAAGTCTTGTCCATTCAGGCCGGGCGGGTAGATAGCAATACTCCCCGTTGTTGACGTAGCCGGGCCAGTTAATGAAGGCCAATGAGGCCATCAAAAGTGGGAAGAATGCGAAAGCGCTGAAGGCAAGGCGTCGGTGGGGATATAAGCCACTTTGGCGCCCAGAATGCCGCGGTCGGAAGATGTAAATGGCTGTGTGTAGCGCGATGAGAACGACGGCAATGTCGGACGCTTCTATGCCGACTGCAAGGAAGAAGCCGCTCGCCTGGCAAAAAGACGAGTTTGACGCAACTGGCCCGCTCTTGAAGTCGACAATCGGGAATATGATGAACCACAGCGACTTGAGCATGTCGCTCGACATGAGCAACATGATGAGACTGCGTAATCATTAGTAAATACCCATGGGCCGTCGTGAACTGTGCAGCCCGCCCAGTGAAAGCGATGCACCCCCACTATCAGTACTCACTCATGTCTGAAGCTTCGTCTCCTGCGAGAAAACCAGTAAAAGGCGAACGTAACAGATGCAAAACTCAATGCAGCGGCAGCAAGCGAGGTTGATTGAATAATCGTCCACTGGTGATCGGTCAACCCATCGGGAATGCGGGTGTAAGATGTGTCAAGGCTGCCGCTATCAACTTCGGGCGGCGTTGCGGCTGGCGATTGCGACGCACCAATGTTGTCCAGTGCGCGGGGCCACGGTGCCATGACGGCTGTGGTTTCCTGAACACCGGACGTGACCTTGGAGTCGGAACGGGGATTTGTTTTACGTGGGAGGCTTCGGATTCCTCATGATGATGTGACAGTGGCCACTCAGACGACCCACGTAGTCGATCCTGGTGTTGTTAGGGTGGCCGCTGAAGTTTCGAATCTGCGTATACACCCCTCGCCTTTTGTCCTCGTCCAACTGGGATTTTCTGAGCTGTGCTTATATTTTGACCCGTCATTCAGCTTCCTTCCATGGGACAACGCTCGTTTCGATATTTGTGATTCCCCCTGTGATCAGCCAGCTTTGTCGAAAGTCGGGTATTCGTAGATGAGTGGGCGGGACTTTGTATCCGTGTTGCTGTTTGCCTCGATGGCCGGAAACAGTAGTTGGTTTTGTTACAGCGATTGCCCGAACTAAGGTACTGCGAAATAAATATCCGGTCGTGTGGGAACCAAGATTGGCTGCCAAAAAATTCGGATTGTCTGGGAAACACAAGTTTCCTTCTTCTTGCCAGATTGGACGGAGGTGGTGGAAGAGGATGGGTTGGTGGTTATAGGAAAAGGGTAATGGTACGTAGGTCCTATTTTGGTAAGCATTCAGCCTTCTGTTAGCAGGGTCTGTGGAATATGAGGTCCGTCCTCCGCCTGGTATCGGATTGCCGCTCAGGAAAGGGCGACAGAAGCTTAAAAAGGGACGGACGCAGGCGAGACATTTGACCGCGAATAGGGGAGACGGGAGTCGGAGGCGCTCAAAAAAGCAAGACAGGCTATTAGCGTCGTGGTTCGAGGCTTTTGAGCGGATGTCAGCTTAGCCAATCAACAGGCGACCAAGGGAATAGGCATCCGGTGTGGTGTGGTGGTGTCTGTGGGTTTGTGCGTCGATCGTGTGATTGGGGGCGTGGAGAGCGGTGAGGGTGTCTGTCGAGCGAGCCAACATATCTTGAGTTTGGCCTGGTCTGACGGCTCATGAGCGTCGATGTGTGACAAAGTGCAACAGAGTTTCGTGGTTGAGGCTGCTGAACCAAGGGGGGTGGACAGTAATAGGGTGGCGTCTAGTATTATCCTCGATTGTTTGGGGCCGGCGACCTCGGTAGGCGAGAGACAACCTGGAAGCCACCTGCTGTACAGTCGGCGGTACAGGGGTAACGAGCACAGCAAGGCACAGCGGCTGGGTTGGGTTGGATGGCTGGCTGGCGGGCTGGGTCTGCTGGTCTCGTCTGGTTCGCCAGGCGCTTGTTGAACAAAAAGCAAAAAATGTGTTTGTTTCCCAAAGGGCTGTTGTACATTTGGGGGGGGGGGATTGTACCAAACAGAGGTGAGTAGCCTTGGGCGGATGGGTGAACAACGAATTGACGATCAGTGATGACGATGTGCATTCATCCATTCCATGTGATCCCCAGGGCGGTCATGATTTTCTCGCGATGCGATGCGAATGGTCAGATAGGTGCCGACAAGCTTAAGCAATGCAGCAGACAGATGGCAGTATGCAAGTGCCCTGCTGGTGGTATTGGCCGAGTTTGCCCATCGGCAGAGCTCTGAGCAAGTCCATGACTAGCTTCAACGAACCGAGACAAGTGACGAATAGCGGAAACCACAAGCGCTACCTAGCGAGTAGTTTTTGGTTTAACGAGAGTTTGATTTGCGAAATCGGGCCTGGATGCGGTGTGGGAACAGCGAAAGGAAACCCGGCCAACCGATGCTGTGGTAGGTATTTTGGCGGAAATCTCGCCCGCCAACTGTCGCCGCCTAAACTCACGTCGAGTTGGAAACATTCCAAAACATGAATGTCACTGAGTGGTTGATGGGACGGTGACGGGATGGCCACTGCCAGATCTAAGTTGATCCACGGACGCGGAATGGCCGTCGCTGAGCGACTTTGGCCCTCGATGCCGTATGTCCGGGAACGGCACTGGACGCCTGGCAATCTGTGGGCAGATGGAAATATGTGCCGGCATGACGGTGGGACGGGGAAGGTTGAGGGGACCGACCACTCCTTGGCTTCGCTATGAAGCGAACAGTCCAGCTGGTGGCCGAGGAGACATACAGAGGCTATCCTCTGGATCTCTGAATGCGCGTTGCATTAAGCAGCTTGTGCAGGACAAGCCAGTTGGACGGTGGTGATGGTTGAGCTCGGTGCAACTGCAGAGGAACGCAGGAATAGCCAAGATGAGAGCTGTGGCTTTGACGGGCGCGCAAGGACTCTAGCGATGCCTTTCCCGGGCTTGCGGTTTGCCAGGTGACGTGGACGGGACGTTGGATTTGGGACCATCCCGTCAGATTGAAGCCGAAAACGGACAATAGATGCGCTGATTGGCGTTGGTTGGCGGAAATGTCTATACTGGTGCTGACGTGTATATGGAATCGAGCGAGCCCCGAGAGCCACGGCAACAGCAAGGACATGACGGGATGCCCGTGATGGAACTGCGCAGCTGCGCAGCATCTTGATGGGAAGATAAAATCCCGTCTCGACATGGACTGGAGGATGCGGCGGTCAGGCACTCAGGGAGGAAGTAGAAGTGGCACGGGTCCATGGGTCAACAGGATTCTGGGGTGGGATACGGAGTACGGTACGCATACCTAGGTACCTTACGGATACCTGGAAGGGCACATGGCCGAGCCACCGAGGCAAGGAGCATGGGCGGGAACAGCTCATGATCGGCAAGAACCAAACCCCCACCCCCAGAATGAGGCAGGAGCTGGCACAAGGATTGTACGGATAGAGCTGATCACGACGCGCAGGAGCTGAGTCATGGTGCACAGGGCACGGGATGCGCTTTCCTCTGCTTTCCCCATCCGCCTTACTATGGTAGGGACTCCGTACAGCACTGCAGATTGGGCAACATCTCGTACCAACGCTTTCAACACACCATGTCATACCTACCTTATGGCTGATTCGCATTGCGCTCAGTCTCCCGCCCATCAGAAGCATCTCGGGATCGTATTGGCAATCGACCTGTCAGCCTTTCATCCAGGACGCTGAGGTGCTTCCCCTGATGATGGAGAAATCACAAGGGAGGAGACAATAAGGATTGCCGACGAATACACTTGCTCTCTGCTTGTTGCACGGGGCAGCCGCTTGCATTGGACGCACTTGCCTACCGTTCTTAGGTTTCCCATGCCATCCTTCCCTGCCCTATTATTACCATCGGTACGAATAGTACCTACAGCTTTCCCCTCCCTGCCCTTCCCCTGCCGGGCCTGCTCTTTCCCTGAGGTATCCTTGCCTGTGCCTCACAGTCGGCTGGCCCGAGCGTCGCATCCGCTGCCCCATGCGGTGCACGAGCCACGGGAAGAAATGGACCCCCCTGTTTGTCCAATGAACAATGGCGGATGCTGATCCGCCGTCTGCCCTGGAATGATGGGGATATCTTCGCTAATCCGTATCCGTAGCGAGGTACGGATACGTTCCTAAGCACCTACCTAAGCTACGCTCACCGTCTCCACGATTCAGCCAAGGGACTGTTGTCTCCCTCTCACACCACCTTGCAGCCAACTGATCAATCAGCACCGTTTTTAAGCCCCGAAGTGGTCGTCCAGAATTCTTCTGAGCCATCTGATCTTGCTGAACCGAGTCATCTTGAAGCACTTTACGATCTCCGGGAGCGGTGAAACGCCGCCGTTTCCGCACATCGCTGTCGCGCTGGCAACAACAACCGACCAAGGACGGCACCGACGATCATCTGGAACTCTGTCGGCACCCTGTCGGCACCCAGGCGGCACCCTGGCGGCACCCTGGCGACCCATCCCAAGCGAGCGAGCGAGCAGTCACGCAGTGTTGGTTCGAAGTGTCGACTCCAAGGGTGTCTTTGCATGGCTGAGTAGGTAATCGACCACCCATCCGTTCTCGTTGTATGGCTTTCCGAGACGCTAGGCGCCATTCCCTGTGCTCCCCTTCTTGTGTTTTGGGAACAGGTCTACGTCCGTATTTTCTTTTTGGATGCGACCACCGGCACCGTATTCCTCCCTCTCTCAACTTTGTAGCCGACAACGAGAGAGACATGACCCCTATTTCCGTTGCCCATTGGATCGGATTTGGGCAGGCTCGTCTTCCCAGCCCTTCTCGCAATCTCCTGTGAGTTGCCAACGCAGACGGCCTGTTGAACCGAGAATACAAGCGCGAGACAGGTCTCGGCGCCATTGAGGGTTATCTTGATGCGCTCCAGGCTGACACATCCTCCCTACTTTCTCTCAGTGTGTAGCCTAATACAACAGAGGCCCCATCCTACAGTCACATGATGGCTTGACGCTGTCGATGTGGAATCTACGAAAACAGCACCATGGGACAGATACGCTGAGCGCCATCTGGAATATCGAGCTCCGTTAGGGTCATTGTATGCAACGCTACAATGCATTCGTCACACGCCATGGCCGAACAAATACAAAGTCGCGCGCACCAACTCGCGTCGGCAATCTTTTGGCCATCGATCCGGAAATGCCCCGATTCCCGTGCGTTAACCTTTGCCCTTTTTACCCGCCTGCGGTATGTAGCTGGGAATACGAAGACAAATTTAACCCCTTCCAGCTAGGTCCGACTCTAAGAATCCTTCAGACGGTAAAAGAGAGGCATCTGCCCTTCAGATGTCAATTGTCAGTTGGGCAGCATGCGTCATCAGCCACGGAAACGGAACAGACACCCCTTTTGTATTCTCCGCGACTCCGCAGCGCCATGGCATACCCTCGCCCTGGCCCTGAGCCTATTCCCATGGTGCCATACTTGGGAGTCCACCACGTATGCACCTGAACCGGGCTCACTCTTCCCGCAGTCCTGGCTCAAACGGGATAATTTGGTCGCCCACCGACCCTTGTTCACCGCTGCAATCGACATCTGCCGAGCATCGCCTCGATCTTGCTTGCCCAACATCCATATGATTGGCCGACTGTCTGAATCTCTTCCACCCGATCCGTGCCATCCTGGTCGGCGATGGAAAGCTTAACCTTCATTTCGGGACTTGGACCATTGTTGTCGGTGAGCCAGGTTGGGTTGTCCCTGCCACTTAACTAACACATTGCTCGCTCTGAAAAGGTAAGTCAGGCGCGCATGTTTGGGTTTTTTTGAGCCAACTTTCTGCTCAGCGCAATATTGCTCATCATTTATGCGCTTCACAACTTTTCAATTTGGTCATTGCTTGACTCCGATGTCTTGTACGCGAAAATTTTCCAACACATGTAAAATCCAAGGTAAAAATATGATAAAGGAAAATGAAAAAGGTAATAATACTGTTCAACGGCCAAAGATGTCCCAAATTTGGTAGTATGATCCCGAGTCACGGGATCGGACACGGAGTTTTTTGGGTGGCCTCGGGACCACGGGCTATTTCATGTCGCTAGCAGCGCAGGGAGGCCGTCGTCCCAACGTTGAGGTGAAGGCAGGTGAGCAACGGGTTTTCCAAACGCAGTCAGAAGGCTTACAACAGGTCAAAGACCTGGCTTGCTTTACATATGGCTGATGGGCGATTACGGCCTAGACATTAAGAGCTACCCCGAAAAAGGAGCTACCAATGTTGTTCGTTCGCAGACATATTCACCGTGCGGGATCTCGGTTTCGGTCATCGGCAACGCTAAGACTGAGGAGGCGAAGAGCACGGTCAATAAGGATGGAGACACCTATAGGAAGAGTAATTATCCAAATATGTGAACGACGTGATGACAGCATTCGATTCGGACGAATGGTCCCCCGAAGGACCGATAGGAGCGCCAAGATGAAGCAGAGCGGCGACTGTCCGCGGTGGCTGGCGCCACATCAACTAAGGGGATGCGTCCCAGCAAGCACTACACGGTATTTGTCGTCCTCATCACGACTCTTCCCTTCAGCCCCAGCAGGATATGTAGGCACGACCAACACACATTACAGCCAGCAAGAGGCCTTTGCTCGAGGCACGTGAATCAATCAAGCTCTTCATCAGTAGAGGCATCATTTCCTTATCTACCTACCTCGGCAAAATTACAAGTCACGCCCGCAGAATGCTAAGGTAGTACGTATACACGAGCACTATAGCTTTCTATTACCGCCGCTTAAACACAGACAGAAATCTGATCTCGGAAGCTTCATGAACATTCCTTAATAGGCAATATCAATGCAAGATCTGTAGAAGAAATACCATCTGACCGTCAAAGAGTATTTAGTGCCAACGTTATTTGGTCTAGGAATGGATACCATTAAATATAATAACCAGTCGCGCGCGCCTATAATTATCCGCCTTTGATCAGACGAACTTCCTCTTGCCACCCAATTTGCCGAGTCGGCACTATGCATCAAGTGCGCCTCGGAACGTCTTTTGTTTCACAAAGAACTCAGCAATCGAAATTATCTGATAGCTGTGCACGACAGGCTTCACTATGGGAGGGGTGGAGCTATGGCAAGGCCATGGCCACGCTCATGACCATGAGCTTATCAGATGACCAGTCGCTGCCTCCTTTGCCTTTGATCTCTCGTTGTAATACCCCCCACGGGGCAGCCTGACGAGTCCTGGGATGGTACTCGGAGGACAATTCCATGACGAAGGGCTTCTGAGGACCACAGCCCTATGAATGGAGACTACCAAGGGAACGAGGGAATCCCTGTGTGAGCAACTGCTTTGATGACCGCAAGGAGTCACAGACCTGTCGTTCGTGATGTCACCCCTTGTAGCAGCTGCTACCTTATCCAAGATACCGAGGTCCGGAAACCAGGTCCGACGGAGTCGAGTCCGGGCCAAAAGTTTTTCTTCCTTATTTGGTTACTAGCACGAGATTGTACTTCATTTGTAATTATATTCACCGATATTTAGGACTGGTCTAGAATAACTTGTAGAGCAGTGTGGCTTCGTGTAGGTATCTGTATTTTCTCATTCGACATTATTTCCTAAGCGAGCTTCTCAATGCAGCTTGAAACCTTTGGTAAAAAGTTTTGTCTATTTCAATTTCTAGTCTATGATCTATGGTATCGTTTGTCTACTTAGGTAATGGCGCAGTTTGAATGTCCCATGATGCAGCTTGGCACCTCTCCATCCATCTAAGAGGGCATGGGCTGATTTTCAGCTCAGAATAAGGAATGGGGGGAGGGGGGAATATCAAGCGAAGCGCTTAGGGCATAAATGCGCAAAAAAGTCTCAAGGCAAACACGCAGAAGAAGGGGGTATGGGTCCAATGGCCTGTTGATGAGTGTCAGCCATCTGGGGTTCTTCGCCCTTGGACGCTGCATCCGCAGCCACGGCCTCCTCCTCCTCCTCCTCCTCCTTAATCTCGCGGAGCAAATTCGCCTTCAGCTCGGCCCAGGCCTTGGGAGCTGTCAAGGCCATGATCTCGTAATCGGAGAGGATCTGGGGCACGTGGCCGTCGTCCTGGAGGACCTCTTCAATCTCCTCGCACTTCTCCTCCTGGAGGTTGCGAATGTCTTCGTCAATCGTGCCCCGGGCGAGGATGCGGACGTAATGGGACTCCTTCACCTGGCCCATGCGGAAGACTCTGCCGAATGCCTGCCGCTCGGCGGCGTTGTTCCACCAGACATCAATCAGGATGACGCGATTCGCGCACGTCAAGTTCAGAGCTTGACCACCGCACTTCATCGATGCAACCTATAGGTAAGGAAGGCAAGTTAGCACCATTATAAAAGGTGGAGTGTATTCTTCTCGTTGTGGACTTACGAGGACTTTGATATTCGGGTCGCTCTTGAACTCCTCCACAGCTTTAGATTTTTCCGTCGTCGTCATCGTTCCCATCAGATAGACAAATGGGATGCCCTCCAGGTTGAGCATAACGCCGGCCATAGTAGCAGTCTTGACGAACTGAACGAAGACTATCGGTATGTTAGTATTGAAATGATAGGAATTCAAGGAAAATCATGTCCCAGTGGAGATGAGAATCTTACTAATGATCTTGTCGTCTGGCTGCTCCTTTTGCCAGTTGATGACAACGTCCTTACAAGCTGTAAGCTTGGAACTGGGGCAAGGAACGCCTTCAGGGTTGTTAATGCCGATCCTGATATAAGCCTTTTCATTCACGTCAATGACTGGGAGGTTGCCCATGGTATCGGCGCCGTACTTGGCGTTGACCTGCCTCTTCACCTCCTTCCGCTTGGCGGCCTCACGCCTCTTCTCGCTCGCTTTTTTAGACTGCTTCTTGATTTTGGATGGCGTGCCGGATATAGACGCAGTGTCATCGTTGTCTTCTCCGCCTCCATCCCACATGATGCACTGGGCCTCCTCGCTTCTGAGCGTTTCGACGTCGTTCCACTCGTCAAAGCCTTTGTCACAGACTGGGCAAGTTTTCTTGCGATATCTCAAAACCTTGTTCATAAAACAGCTCGAGCAAAACATGTGCTCGCACTAGAAAGCCGCAGTCAGTAAAACATGAAACATACCAAAACCTTTGGCCGAGCAGAATAGGGTTACCTTTGGCAGCATGATAGGATCGAGTATGCTCTGGTCGCGCTGGCACAAGCCGCATCGCTGCTCGTTGACCAGCTTTTCGATGCTGGTGAGTTCCAAGAGTCTCGCCATGCTGAATGTTTGACCAAATGTGGATTTGCCGAAAGGATCGGTAAACTGGTGTTCCTCCGGGGGAACGTTCCGGACTTGTGCATCCGCCTTTTCTTTCAACTTCGCTTTCCGGGCTTCTTTTGCTGCCGCCTGCTGCTTACTGAGTCGCTTGTCCATCTCCTTCTTGCTCTTTTTCTTGCCAAAAGCTCTGGCATGACCCTTATCAGGGATAGGTGGCACTTCGCGTCGCTTAGCACGAGTGCCAATCTGATGAAGTATAAGTGTCTTGCCCTCAAGCTCGCGCAGACGGCTCGCCATGTGCTTCAGACTGTAGGATTGGATGTCTTCTCTCAACGCCTTCTCTAGGCAGTAAGGGTGTGAAATCGCTTGTCTCCGACGGAGGACGGCAACATGCTTCTGAGGAGGCTGAATGTTTTCGTAGTGATTGCCTATGGTACTAGTACTTGTGTTAGTTTCCGGTCATGGTGTAGACACAGGACATAGACATACTCATAGAGTATTCGCTCCTCTGCAGACAGATCAACCCACTGATCCCCAGGGGTCAAGGCTGGAAGATCGAGTATCTTTCGGCCTAGGAACTCATCCTCTTCGGTTCTATCATGGATTCAGTGAGGTCCTCAAATCGCCGTTCACTATTTACTCACCTCCGGTAGGATATCAGGCTGACTAAGGCGTCAAGTCGTGCTGTGCCATTGTCCTTGAGCATTGTGAGTTTACGAAATGGGCCTAGCCATGACCAGAATGCCCACTTACCGTGTCCAAAAACTCTTCCTCGAATTCCTTCTGAGTGGTGAGCCCTTCAACTCCGATCAGCTTTAAGTAAGAGAAAAGTTCTGTGACATGTGTTAGCTGGACCATTCCCATGCCGAGGGAGTACTGGGGATCACCTTTTCCTCGGTTGATAAGAGGTGTCCCGCTCAACACCCAGAAGTGTTTCGCCCGCAGTTGATGGGAAGCTAGGGTAGCTAATGTGTTGTCAGAAGGGTTTCTTCAATCGTTCATAGATGTTGGACTTACTCCGAGCCTCGAGGTTCTTGATTTGATGGCCTTCGTCCAATATGACGCGGTACCAGTTGATGTGAAACAACTCGCCAACTAGCGTCTGGAATTCATGATTATACGCAATTGGGTCTTCGGCGTGCGTCTCCCTCATCTCATCGAGCTTCTCCTTCGAAGGAAACTCTGCGAGAAGTTCGTTGTATGTGGTTATCCTAATAGAGTTAGAAATCTCGCAGCGAATGAGTGTATGTGGATCAGAAATTGCACATACACGATCGTGAACTTGGCAATTGTGCCTATAGTCAAGACGTTGGAGCTTCTTCGAAAAAAGTAGACGTCTTCAGGGGGGATGATTTTGACGTGTTTTTGAATCTCTTCGCCCCATTGCTCAGCGACTACCTGATTAGGAGCAATGATCAAGGTACCACAGCTCCATTCCAGCTTGTCCTCGCTGCCGGGTGGATTGCCGACAATGCAACCAAGAGACATAACAGTCTTCCCCATGCCAGGAACGTCAGCGAGGACGCCGCCAAAAGGAGGCGCCTCAGCGTTTTCACGCTTCACCATCCATACGACAGGCGTCAATTGGCAATCTCGAAGATTCGATCTCATACCCTGGAGGTGGTAATCGGTTTCTCCAACGGCCCTCACCCTGGCATGACCCAAAAAGCGCAGCGCTTCTTTGAGATCCTTCTTTTGGGTACCGCTGTGGCGGTTGTCATTACCCTGGGTCCCAGCCCGGGTAAGTTGCTTCAGGCGGGATGCCTTGGTGACTCTACCCTGACACGTTGCAGGGATCGCGCCAGTACTAGCTGCCACAGATACACTGCTGATATTGTGGAACATATCGGCAGTCTTCTGAATAACTGCACTATTATCCATGTTGCTGTGCGGCTGAGCTGTTCCCTTGGAGTTGGGCCTGCGTCTAGGCCTCTTCGCTTTAGGTGGCTGAACGTCCACCTCGCCGCCACCCAATGCTCTCTTTTTAGAAATCTCTTTTCGAAAATGCTCTTTGAGATTCTGGTGCTTCTTTTGGTGGTCTCGCGCAATGTATTGCTTGGCGGTTTTGGCCACAGGACCCCGGACGGCCCTCGGCTTGCGCGGCTTCTCAGTTGCAATGCGAGATGCATCATTACTGCCGCCATCTTCATCCAAGTCCAAGAATGGGGCGTCCCCCAAGTCATCGTCCGTCTCAGTTTCGGTTTCTGGATCATACTCCGAAGCATTGTCGGCGGTTGTGTCTTGATTGCCGACAAAGTGGCGGAAGCCGTCATTTCTTTGGTACGAATTCGTGGAAATGTGACCTACTGTGCCCTCTCCATGCAAAGTTGTCACGGAATCGTTCTTGGGAGGATGATCCTCAGTCACGAAAAGGTCAGAATCGGCGACACCAAAATAGCTTGCGGGAATCTCAGTTGCAGCAGGAGCATTCCGAAGAGAATCCAACAGCCATTGGTCATCAATGGCATAAATCTGCAATTCGTCTGGTGGTGGCTGCAAAGCCAGTTCAGAGCCCTCATTCATGTCGTTTGAATGGACGCTTTGCTCCAAGCCTGGGTCTTGATCCATGATTTGATCCATGATTGGCGGAATGAACTTGTATCTTGGAAAAAGTAAGGTCCAAGAACTCAAAAATTTTGTGTTGAGAGAGTAATAGATCAACGTCAGTTGCTATGATTGAAGATGGTCGAAGAAAGTAAAAAGATTGAAGATTGATGTGGGTATCTCAAGTAGAGGTGAAGAAAGCTTGTCAGAGAAATTGATTTAAGTGGTGTGAAGAGGGAAAGATTTGAGGTACCAGCGGATGGATGAGAATGGAGGCTTTATATAGACTTTGCAGCAAAGACAAAGACTAGAGGGAAGAGCAGCAGGCCAGCCTTCCTTCAGAAACGAATCCTCGCGGCAAGAGCAGTTGGATTGGATAGGTACGTAGGGAAGGTTCAATGAAGTCAGCAGTAACTCAGAAGATGTGGGTTGAGTTATCAGTTTGTAAGTTAACTGACTGCAGAATGAGAACAACAACGAGCGCAAACAATGAAGAGTGGGAATAACCTCTCATTGGAAACCTCGGTGTGTCGGTATGGGTCTGGGCCTCGGTGAGCTTCACCGAGAACACCTTTCACCGCCCAAATGGCAGAACGAGAACCCCACTAAATTTTCATAGACCCCACGCCCCAATTGCATTTTCTAAAGCACTTGCGACGGCAGATTTACGCCCTTTTCATTATAATCAATTCAACACAGCCGCCATGTCCTCAAAATCAGGCAAAAATGGCAAGGTTGCCGACTCTCGTTTCTCAAACTTTGAGACCGATCCCCGCTTCCGGCTGCCCTCGAAGAAGCAAACCAAAACGAAGATCGACAAGCGTTTCGCGCACGCACTAAAGGATGAATCCTTCACAGCCGGCCCAAAGGTTGACCGATACGGCCGGAAAGTAAAATCCGACAAGAAGAAGAAGGCTCTCAAGAACTTATACGAGGCGGAGGACGATGAGGAAGATGAGGAGGAAGGCGAGGGCATGGAAGTCGAGGCCGACGACGTTGTCCAGCGCGAGCTCGCAAAAGCGGACGCCAAGTACGACCCTGCTCGCGGTGGCGGCTTCTCCGAGTCAGAGTCAGAGTCCGAATCCGAAGACGACGATTCCGACGAGGAAGACGCCGCTGTGGCTGACCCCAAAGCTTCCGTGTCGCGCCTGCGCGATGAAGAGGCCCAAGTTGAGGAGGGCGAGGTCACGAACCGGATAGCAATCGTCAACCTGGACTGGGACAACATCAAGTCGGCCGATTTGTTTGCTCTTTTCCACAGCTTTCTGCCTTCAACTGGCGGGCGCATCGAAAATGTGACGGTGTACCCCAGCGAATTCGGCAAGGAGCGCATGCAGCGCGAGGAGTTGGAGGGCCCCCCGAAGGACATCTTTAAGAAGTCGGATGACTCTGAAGAGGAGGAGAGCGAGGACAGTGAGGAGGAAGACGAGGCGATTAAGAAGGAGCTATTGGAGGAGGGCGATGCTGACGACTTCGACCACGATGCGCTGCGGAAATACCAGCTGGATCGGCTGCGGTATTTCTACGCCGTCATGACCATCTCGGATAAGGCAACGGCGCAGAAGCTCTATGAAGCGACCGATGGCACGGAGTACCAATCTTCATCAAACTTCCTCGACCTGCGGTTCGTCCCTGACGATGTCACATTCGACGACGAGGCCAGAGACGAGTGCAACAAGTTGCCGGAGGGATACAAGCCTGTCGAGTTCACCACGGACGCCTTGCAGCACTCAAAGGTCAAGCTTACCTGGGATGTCAATCCCGACGACGCCGCCCGCAAGGCCTCCATCAACCGCGCCTTCACCGGCAGCCGCTCGCAGATCGAGGAGAACGACCTGAAGGCCTACCTGGCCAGCGATAGCGAAGACTCTGGCGAGGAGTTTGCGGGCTTCGATGACGAGGGTGAGGAGGCAGAGGAGGAAGAGACCGAGAAGCCCAAGTTGTCCAAGAAGGAGCTCGCCCGTCAGAAGATGCGAGAGGCTCTGGGCCTGGGCGCCGAGGAGGAAAAGAAGGCGTCCAAGGACGCTCCCGTCGGCGAGATGGAGATCACATTCACGCCTGCTCTGACGGAGAGCAAGAAGAACCAGAAGCCCGAGGAGGAGGAGACGACGATTGAAAAGTACAAGCGCAAGGAACGCGAGCGCAAGGAGGCGAAGCGCGAAGCGGCCCGTGCCAGACGCGAGGGCAAGCCCGTCGCTCCCGTCAGCGAGGAGGCCGACGAGGTCGAGATCGAGGGCGACGGCGCGGAGGATCTCGGCTTCGACGACCCCTTTTTCACGACCGAGGAGCCGGCCAAGACCAAGACGTCTGTCCGCAAGGAGGAGCGTCTCGCGAAGCGCGCGGTGCGCGAGGCCGAGGAGAAGGAGAAGGAGGAGCAGAAGAAGCAGCTGCAGCTTCTCATGGCGGACGACAAGACGGACGCGGCGGAGCACCTGGACCACTTTGACATGAACGAGATTATCAAGGCGGAGAAGGCCAAGAAGAAGAAGGGCAAGGCCGCGAAGCGGTTGGCCAAGAAGGCGGCTGCTGACGGCGAGAAGCTCGGCTTGCAGGAGGACTTCAAGATGGATGTCGGCGACGACCGTTTCAAGGCCGTGTTTGACAGCCACGAGTACGCTATTGACCCGAGCAACCCCAGGTTCAAGGGCACCGATGCGATGCAGAAGTTGTTGGAGGAGGGCCGCAAGAAGAGAAAGGCTGGCGGGGATGATGAGGATGTGCCCGTGGAGAGGGAGGGCAAGAAGGCGAAGAAGTCCAAGAAGGTTGGCGGTGACGACGAGGAGTTGAGCAGGCTTGTTGCGTCGGTGAAGAAGAAGGCGGCGAGCAAGGCTGGCAAGAGATGATGTTGATGCCTTTTTTTCTCTCTCGCGCTTTGCTGATTGTTTCGAGGCGTGTTGTGGTCATACCCTAGAATAGAGGTCCTACAAAAGTTATTGCAATGTACAAAGCACAAGTTCATAACGGGGAAAAGAAATGTGTATCAAAGGAGTTGGTTTTCTATTTATGTGATGCTATTCCGTGGGGTCCTTTCATGGGTATCTGGGGTTGCAGAAAGAATCATCCAACGCCCTTCGTAGCTAGACTTTCCGTTCCCCGAAGATGTTTGACCTGGCATACTTCTGCCTACCATCCTGTTCTCATCTTTCCCAGTATCGTCATCCCGCATCTGAGGCTTCATTCTGATGGCTTCGTCTGTATATTTCCGTAAACTCATAGTTCACGAGTCGAAGATGGCGTATACGGCAAGCGAGACAAGGGAAGGCGGGCCAATCCTGCACGTGCTCAGAAAACTGTCGAAAGTAGGCTTGGACTGGACTTGCGGAGCGACAGCTGGTTCCGCCTGATCGTCGACGTCGTCGTCATCGAGAGGTAGAGGCAGGCCGGTGAGGGGATCCCATTCCATGTGATCCTCGTAGATGGAGCCAAGCATGCTTGCGATCCAGACGAGCTCGGCAAGCATGAGGGTGAAGAGAACACCTCTCAGGGTGGCCTCATTGTGCGAGAAGGGGGGAGGCATGGTTTGTATGGTATCGAAAAATGATGATGAGGGTAGGGTGGTATTTCCACTGAACACGGATACTGAGTATGAAGGGTTGAGGATTTTGAAGGTAAGCCTGGCAAAGGAAGGAACGAGAAGGAAGAGAGGTTTTGTGGCATGGTCTAGTTATTATGGATTCGTCTGTAGGTGGACAGCCGATGGATGATGTTGGCGCAGATCGGGACGATGGTCTTTAGGCATCTTCACAGGGCAAACGGTGCAAGCAGGCAGGCTACATATTTACAGAGTGATTCGTGTGCATCATGGAATCTTGTTCTATTTCTTGATGATTTAGCAAAACATGGCTGCCTCGGCTTTTGTTTATCATTACCAAAATAACAATGACAGCACTTTACCGAACAACGGCATCCTTCAAGCTGGGAACGGTGCAAACACCACCAGACTTGGTCTTGAGCTTGCCAAGACCCTGCTTTCCGAGAGCCTCAACGACACCAGCGTCAAAGGCTACAGCCAAATCGTCGGTGGTGGTGAAGCCAGGCTGAAAGGTCTCCCAGATCTTCTTCTTGGGGTTCAGCACACCCTCGGGCTCACCTTCCCAGCCCTCAAAGTTGATCCTCTCACCGGCCTTGGCGTCAGCAGGGGGAGTAACGAGCTCGACGGGTCCCTTGTGGTCGTCGACCTCGCCTTCCTTCAGCTTGGGGGATGCGGCCAGGACCATGGCGCACGACTTGATGCCACGCATCTTGACGGGCTTGAGGTTACAGACAACGACGACCTTGCGGCCCTGCATAGACTCGAGGGGCACGAGGCCGTTGAGGCCGGAGCAGACGGTGCGGCAGACCTGGCCCTCGTACTCGGTGGTGTCCTCGTTAGGCTCGTCGCCGACGGCGATGGTGGAGACGTAAAGGGAGTCAGCCTCGGGGTGCTTGATGGCCTTGAGGATGTGGCCGACACGGAGGTCGATGAGAGCCGGGGAGAGGGGCGCGGCGGCGGGGGCGGCCTTTTGGGGCTTGGGAGCCTTTGCCTTCTTCTCCTTCTTGGGCTGGCCCTCGCCGGCGCCGACGGCGGCCTTGACCTTGTCCTTGGCCTCGGCGACGACTTCCTTGACCTTCTCGCCGGCGCTCTTATCCTTCTTGCTTTCCTTGGTACGGTCGGGCAGGGCGGCCTTGTCACCAGCAGCAGCAGCACCGCCAGCGGCAGCAGCAGCAGCCTTCTCCTTCTTGAGACGCTCCTTCTCGGCCTTGGCGTCGACGGGGGGCTTCACGTAGAGGACCTCGTCGAGGTCAACCTTGACCTTGTCGTCGGCCTTGACATCGGCGGCGAAGGCGGGGAAGTTCTGGACGAAATCGAGGTGGCGGACGATGTTGGGGTAGCCCTTCTCGCCGGTGCGCTGCTCGGGGGACCAGGAGGCGACGAGGGGGCGGACGGCGGAGTAGAGGGCGGTGTCGGCCTTGCTGGGCTTGGTGCCGAGGAGGGTGGTGCGGGTGCTCAGGTGGGAGTTGAGGGTGTCTAGGATGGGGGAGGCCTCGTCAGGCTTAGACTGCTGGAGACGGGTGGCGGTGGTGAGCCATTGCTGGATCTCGGTCTCCTCGTTGGGAGTATACGTGGTGTTGGAGGCCATTCTTGCGAATCGGAACGGGGAGATGCTGCGTGAGCTGGGTCGGATGGCGCGTAGTGAGGAAATCATTAGGTGCGAGTCTGAGGTGGAATTTTTACCTGTGTGGCTCTGCGGGGTAGGTGGCAGCAACGGTGTGGTGGGAGGACTGCCCCTCCACGCCGTTCCGCTCAATTGAATGCCTCAGGCTAAAGCCAGTGGGCTTCGGTGAGAGCTGACCGAGATGAGCTCTCGGTATGCCCAGGTGAGTGCCTTCCATCAGACAGCTGAGATTGTTCCCCCTGCATTATTCGCGGAGAATAAGGTACGATCCAAGCCATGTGTTGCAGGAGAAAGCTGACTCATTATGTTTTATCATTCGAACCATGTCCATCATCCATTCTCTCCGCACGCCTGTATATCAATCATTGTTTTTCGAGACTCGGTCCAGCTTCATTTCATCATTTCGGACAAAATTGCACTGTTTGACCGAAGCCGATGCATTATCTTATCTACGCCAGAGAGATGTGCTGGACAAGGGTCTAAGTTCAATCGCTGGGACCCCGATCTCCTTCCGATCCCCGACTGCTTTCATGACGACAGCTGCCTGAAAGAAAAGAAAGAAAAAGGAAATAAGAAACAGGGGTTTAATTGAAAACGACACGAAGTCACGTGTTAGCGCTTTCCATTCGCGTCGCGCCCCTGTCTTTCCTTCCTGGCCCCGCGATCGCGCCCTTTGGCAGCTGAAGCCCGGTCGTTCCTGCCTCCTGTTTCCTCTTGCCACCACACCCTCACTCAACAAACTCGTGTCCCTCACTTTTTTTTGCTCCTAGAACGAAACCTCAATTCACTCTTCGGGGCCTTGCATCACCAGCTTCTTTTTCTTGCACCCTCTACTGCTTCAATTACTCTTTTCAAAAGTTGGTATCCTGGAGGCACAGACCTAAATTGCCAAATTTAGCGTCTTTTCTTGCATCATCGATTTAGGGCACTTTTTTGTCTCCTGGATTGACCACCACCACTACCAGATCTCCCTCACTCATTCACTATAGACAAGACGATTGCCCCTGCAGAGCTACCGACTTCCACAAAAACCACAACCGGATTACCTTGCTATTGCTCTCTGAGTCTGGCTGAGGCTACATTCACAATGAGCTCCACAGCATCGGAAACAGAGTCCATCATGTCCGCTAATCAGCGGCTTGACACCAGTGCACCCTCCTCACCACCCCGAGATGAGAGCGTTGAGCCCATGGACTCTGAATTCGCTCTTATCATGAAGGAAGAGGCCAGGGCCAAGGCAGACAATGACAAGAAGAACAAGGCCGCGCAGAAGTCGCAGAATGTGAAGAACCGCAGGAAGCGCAAGAATGAGCTCTCCAAGGAAGAGAAGCTTAAGTTGGCCAAAGAGCTGGACGAACTCCTCAAGAAGTCCGAGGCTTTCAGCAAAATGTTGATGGAAAAGACCCAGGCAATGGGTCGGGTTGGCACCAGTGTGGCAGGAGAGTCCTTGGGTGATCACAACCTATCCTTGACTGCTCAGCCCAAGATCATGAAGGGCGGTACCATGAGAGACTACCAATTGGAGGGACTCACGTGGATGAGAGAGGTCTGCCTTCAAGGCTTGTCTGGAATTCTAGCCGATGAGATGGGTCTTGGTAAGTGTCTCTTCCTCACTTTCTTCTACAACTTTCACGCCTTCTCTACTTAGTGTTTAGACAACCGTCCACGAATCTCACCTACTCCCTGGAACCACATACTGACTATTTTCCAGGCAAAACTGTCCAGACTATCTCGCTTATTGCAAACCTGAGAGAGGAGAACTACCTTGGTCCTCATCTCATCATTGCACCTCTGAGTACCCTCTCAAACTGGATGGACGAATTTGAGAAGTGGTGCCCTTCTCTCCCCGTTGTTCTGTTTCATGGAGACGCGCAAAAACGCGCGGACATCAAGAGGAAGCACTTGACGCCAAATATGAAAAATGGCAACCCCACAAAGAAGTTCCCTGTAGTATGCACATCCTACGAGATGGTCCTGAGAGAGAGGGCCACTCTGAGCAAGTTCAACTGGGCATTCATCATCATTGTGAGCCGTGCCACCCGCAGCACAATGCATGAATCCTATTTGCTCACATTTCCTAGGACGAAGGCCACCGTATGAAGAATTTCGAATCCAAGTTGTTCCAAGAGTTGGAGACTTTCGCATCCGCGACCCGCATGCTCATCACCGGAACTCCCCTGCAGAACAATCTCAAAGAGCTCTGGGCTCTTCTTCACTTTCTGCTGCCCATGATCTTCAAGAGTTACGAGGCTTTTGAGGCATGGTTCGACTTTGACGACCTCCAGGACGAAGAGGGCGCACAGGAATTCATCGCCGACCGCGAGAACCAGGAGTTGATCAAGAAGATCCACGTCATCCTTCAGCCGCTTCTGCTTCGCCGCGTCAAAGCGGATGTCGCTGCGCATCTTCCTAAGAAGCGCGAATATGTTCTCTTTGCGCCCATGACAAAGGAGCAGACCGACATGTACAATGCCATCAGCGACAAGGATGTTGATACTCGCGCCTTCCTGGAGAAGATGGTCATCAGCCGTCTGACTACTGTCGCCACTCCTGTCAAGAAAGAGAAGCTCGCTATTAAGGATGTCGAAATTCCAATCCGAAGCAGTCCTAGAAAGGTACAAGGTGAGGCAGTATCGGAGACCAAGAAGCCCAATGCTTTCTCGGCGATGATGAGCAGGGCTAGAAGTTCGTCTTCAAAGCCCCAAGAAGCCGCCAAAGCGACGCCAAAGGCTTCGTCAAAGCCATCCTCCCGCGCTGGCTCTAAGCGCAAGGAGGCGCCCACCCTCGAGACTCCCCAGTCCAAGAGCGCCAAGTCATCAAGACAGTCGACACCTTCGACCACTACCCGAGGCCGAGTCACTCGTGGCCGTCGCCGCTACGCCGAGTCCGACCCCGATGATGAAGACAAGCTCTCCGATGATGAGTTCGAGGCGAAGCTTGCCAGAGAAGCTGAGGAAGTTGACAAGGATGACGACGACTCTGCCGTCGCTCTTTCCCCTGAGGAACAACACAATGCCAACATCCTAGACCAGGCCAAAAAAGAAATGTCAACCAAGAGGCTTGGAAACCCCATCATGCAACTTCGTCTCGTGTGTAACTCCCCACACAATTTCTTCGATCCTTGGGGCTACGAGGGAGGTCCTCCCGTCGACGAGAGCATCGTCACGTCATCTGGTAAGATGCTGATGCTAGATCGCCTTCTCCCTGCCTTGTTCTCGAAGGGTCACAAGGTCTTGATTTTCAGTCAGTTCAAGACCCAGTTGGATATTCTCCAAGATTACTGTGAGCTTCGGAAGTGGAAGGCCTGCCGGCTGGACGGTTCTGTCTCCCAGGAAAGCCGTCGTGACCAAATCAAGGAGTTCAACGAGAATCCTGATTTCAAGATCTTCCTTCTATCGACGCGCGCCGGTGGCCAAGGCATCAATCTCGCAAGCGCCGACACTGTGATCCTCTTCGACAGTGATTGGAACCCGCAGCAGGATCTCCAGGCGCAGGATCGCTGCCACCGCATCGGTCAGACGCGCCCTGTCATTGTGTACCGCCTCGCTACCAAAGGCACTGTCGAGGAGGAGCTTCTCATGAGTGCTGACGCTAAGCGTCGTCTCGAGAAGCTGGTCATCAAAAAAGGGTCGTTCAAGACGATGGGACAGAAGATTGACTTGAAGGAAGACCTCGACAACGAGACGCTAAAGTCTCTGCTCTTGAAGGATGGTCAGATCTTCAAGCATTCGGGCGATCACGAGGTCTTGAGTGACAAGGATCTGGACGTTCTATGCAACAGGTAATTTTGCTCATGATTCTGTTATCAAGATTGAAGCATGGCTAACATGATACAGAAGCGATGAAGCCTACTCCAAGGCGGCCGAGGGTACCGCCAACGCCGACGGCTACAAGGTTATCGAGACTAGTTCCGACGGCATCACCATTGCTGGTCAGTCTTCTGGTTAAGGTGGTGCAGCCTGCCCAGCATTCGCTCTTTCGACATTCTACCAGTGAAGCTGAGAGGTTTGCTCGACAAGCCGTGTACACCCTTGCCGTTGTTAACCCTGCCCATGTCAGTGGAGCGCAGCACATGGGTAATTGCATATTACCCTGGAGAAGTGTACCATTGAAGCTTCTAGCGATCGAAGTTCAATGGTGGAAAAGAGAGATGTGGACTCTTGCTTATAAAGACCAAACAGTGGCAATGGATTGTTTTCTTTTCGAGGATGGAGGTCCATCCTCGCACAACATGCATTTTGAATCGGGTTTGCCTACTCTCTGAATGGCTACCTTTTCCCTATCTTGTACTATGTAGATTCGGCGTTTGATACCCCAGGACTGATCAGACGACTTACTTAGCAAATAAATGCCACCAATGCCTGTTCACTCTTTCCAGACTATGATTGCGTGAAAGCTGTGCATGCCAGAAGCCACTAAGCTCGTGATGTGATGATGCGGTAATCAACCGCTCTGGCGTCTACTAGATAAGTACTTCACTTCCGTTTCTCCAGAAGGAAGACCGGAGAAGCAGAGTGCACTCTCATAATAGCGCTTGGCAGGAGATGTTACTTGGGAGTGACGTCTCATTGCCACAGTGAACCGCTGATGAAATGGCATTCATAGTGGGATGGGTTGTCCACGGTGTTTCAACAGACGGAAAGGTGAACTTGTCTAAGAGTCGCAGTCGCTGGAGCGCATGAGAGTCTTGCTAAGCCCGGTGTGTCTGAGTAACCCGAATCACCAGGATTCGCCTACTCTTCTTCGCGCATTTTCCCTTTAAATTTCGTCAATACTTATCAACGTCAAGGACTAGGAGGCGATTACAACATCACAAAAGTACCATCGCGGAGACCATCAACGGTCTCTCACCAGCCGACGCCCTCCCAGAATCCCCGCTTCACCACAATGCCATCGACCCAAAGACCGACGTCAAAGATGAGGTCTCCAACAAACATGAGGACCTCTGCGGTTAGATGAACGGCGAGACGCTGCAGGTAGGGGCGGTACAGGTCGACGATCATGGTGTAGAGCAGACAAACTAAACTGACACAAGCGAAACCGACGCTGAGTCGAAGGAACAACCACTCGGTGCGGAGCACACTGCGGTCAATGGCGGCCACAATCTTCTGAGGGAGCGCCTCGAGCCAGCGGTGAAGCGCGGAGAGAAGCCTCTGGGCAAGCTCGCAGGGGTGATGAGGGATGTGATACGACGCCGCCCAGACGAGCCGGGACGTCTTTGCGATGATCCAGCAGAGGACGCGGAAGATTCCGGGGACGACGAGGTGGACTGCCAGGCTTAACAGGAGGGGCATGTGCAGCATGCCGATGACGAACCCGTAGAGATGGGCGAGGTTGTCGAGGCACCTGTTGTCAGCGTAGAGGACCCAGCACACCCATATCGGGCCGACGAGGTTGGGGAGGAGGAAGAGGCTGCGGAGGTACCCCTCGACGAGCCAGCGGTTAAAGGGACCTATTTGCGAAAAGACTTCTGCGTTATCTTTGATGGCCTGGACCGCGTTTTTGAGGCGCGTCATCACGATGACGGCGTTGAGGGATAGGGTGAGGTAGATGGAGGCCGCGGCGAAGATGTGGTATGCTGCGGAGAGGTCCGCGCGGTAGAAGATGGTTTCGAGGGACGCGACGAGGAGGGCAAGGATGCTGGCGAGGAGGGTTGGGGGCCACATTGCGCGCAGGGCGAGGCAGCAGGTACTCGGTATTGTCGCCATACTTGCGCCGCTTGGTTTTCTGGTGAGAGATGGAATGGTGGAATTTAGCTGTGCTGTGGTCAAGGATCCGGTATCTATGTGAAGACGGGTTTGGTGATTTGAGACGGCAAGTTACGAGTCCTCCTCCAAGTGCAGGAAGTCTTTTGTATGTGGCGGCACGTTGTCAAAGCATCCGAATAGACTTGTTCGCGGTTCTCTTTGGTGTCCAACCATGGGATCAGTGCAAGCTGGCCAAAGGCATTACCACCCCTGGTCTTCGAAAGGTCTCTTTGATCGCAGCCATAAAGGGGGACTTGTGTAGCTCACAGCAGCTTGGAAAGACCATTGAACTCAATCCATGCTGGAATCAATCTTCCCCCAGAGGATTGCTGTCGGAAGATGCTCACCAACGGAACAATGTGTACGAGAAAGTTGAGGATGAAGTTACCGGAGATATGTGGCCACCTGATCCGCATCTGCTAAGCTCCCCGAACTTAACTGTTCATTGCCCGTCTTTATCACCGACCTGCTTCTCCAAGACTCTACGAGCCGATTACTGGTTGAGCGATCTTTGGGTCCTCGAGTTTACTTCATTGCCGATAACATTGGAAAGCTTGTGCTTGACTAAGCATTGGCTCATCGTCTCTGGTCCGGAGTCCTTCTGCATGCCGTGGAAGAATCATCGCATATGTATGATGCCAGCTTCGAGATCAACCCTACGGATCTTAGCTCAGGCCCTCAACAATCGATGCAGCTACGGATCTGAAGATTGGTGATTTGATGCCAAGGGCGAGCATTCGTAAAGGTCATTTTGACAGAGTAGCCATGGACTGTATAAACGCCGATCGCTGTCAATCATGGATGGCCCCGTTCTGAAGCAAGCTCATCACTCTGATCAGATCCCTTACCAGAAATCCCTAGCTACCTCACCCTCAAAACGACCAACATCGGGCCCATCAATGGGGCACCTCCAGCAAGCTTCCCCATCCACCGCCTTGGCAAGACCGGCCCCGGGATCACCGCCTAGGGTGTAGGATTGATGGGCCTCAGCTTCGCCTACGGCCAGCCAGGGCTCGTCCATTCTGGGCTTTGGCTCAATTACTTATCGACGACATCTTCCCGACGATTCAATTCGGCTTGTGCGGGGAGATCAAGACCGACGAAACGTACAGCATTAGGATCGACAGCTCGCCCGAGTACTGCCGCGAGCTCGGCGTCACGACGTTGGCCAAAGCGCCACTCGGCTGGGGCTTCATGACGGGCCAGTATAAGTCTGCGGACTACTTTGAAGACTATGATTTCCGCCGCCAGCTGCCGTGGTTCCCGGGCGACAACTTCAAGAAGAATACGCAGCTTGTGGATGAGTTTCCCGTGATTGGATGGGCGAAGCATGGGTGTTCTGCGGGGTAGCTTGCGCTTGCGCTGGACGATGAAAAGAAGATTAAGTGCTTGGAGAAGAGTATGGAGGCTTTGAAGATCGTGTTGCGGAAGGAGGAGGAAAATGAGTTGAGGGCTTTGGTTGATGCAGCGGATGTGCAGGGAGATCAGGGTGCGGCGTTTGGCAGCTACTCTGGTTCGCCGGCTCTCTGAGGATGCTCATAGATGCGTGATGCCGGGAGGGGTGTGTCGGGAGTCGGTGCGGGTCTCCGGCCCCAACTTCCGACGCCCCGAAATCTGGGTGAGAGGGCGAAGGTCAGTGATTAAAAGGTCAAACAAACAACCATCGAAAATCAAAGATACATGATTGTTTTCTGAATCAGGTATCCGAGACAAGAAAGTATTGAAATCCGCTCAAATCACGGACACACCTCGCGTGAGGGCTCCGCTGGCCCAGTTCTCCTCGGGGAAAGGGGCCGAAGCCGGCTTGCTGGGTTCGGAGATCGGAGTGGGTCACCGACGCGCCGTTGATAAGTGACTTGGTCGGCGCGCTTTGGCCCGTCAATCAAGCTATTGCCGACCCTCGTCTTATCATTTTGGGGATATGATTGCAAAAGATCATGCATGTCCTGATGGTTCATAATAGGTACTGCTACTGCTACTAATCTCACCAGGCAGCCGCTTAATCATACTCTACACTTGAGCCGGAAATTCAACTATCTTGCAATCTCAAAGACTTCTATCTCGATTGATCATTGACTTGACTTCATTAACCATGGCCATCTTCTACGAAACCGGGGAAGATGCTCGACTAGCATGCCGCTCCGGCACCTTCGCCTCAACTACAGCCGGCCAAGCTCCCACATATCTACAAGCAAACCTCATCGTTCTTCCACGGCGTTACGCCGATGATTTCCGTCTCCTCTGCCACCGTAACCCAGTGCCTTGCCCCCTCCTCGCAGAGTCAGCAAGTCCCGGCGACTTCAAGCAGCTCAAGTCCTACGTCAGAACCCCTGACGGCGAAAAGATTCTACCCGTGGCCACAAACATTGATCTCCGACACGACTCGCCCCGATACCGAGTCTACGAGGATAGTAAACACGTCCCAGTCAACGACGTCTGGGAGCCTGTAAGCGTGGAAGACAAGTGGCTTGATGGCGACCACGTGGGCTTCTTGATCGGCTGCTCCTTCAGCTTTGAGAGGGCACTCAACGAGTCTGGACTTCCACCGCAACACATGACACATGGCCGCAACGTCCCCATGTATCGGACCAACATCCCGCTCTGTGCTGCAGGAGTCTTCAAGGGGGCGACGTATGTTGTCTCCATGAGGCCGTACAAAGTCTCGGAGATTGAGAAAGTGAGGGATATCACCAGACCCTTTGTAGCAACGCACGGGGAGCCGATCGCGTGGGGCTGGGACGGTGCGAAGAGAATCGGGGTCACGGACATCACGAAGCCTCATTGGGGTGATCCAGCCCTGCAACTAGATGGGAAAACTGTATTCGGACCCGACGATGAGGAATACGTGCCCGTCTTCTGGGGGTGCGGGGTCACGCCACAAGAGGCTGTGATGAGAGCCGATATCAAGGGCACGGTAATGGGACACGCACCGGGACACATGATCATCATGGATGTGAGGGAGGATGAGATCTTTCCCATCTCATAGACACTAAAGACTGCGTCAATGAAGACACGCTTTCCAAATTGACTTGAAACGCCGTGGTAGCAACACACGGGTTGCCTTTGCCTTTCAAATAGACGCGGGTCGAAGTCTTAATAATTAATTTCCCATTCTGGGCTGTAAAATAGAAATTGTGCTAATTTCATACACCAGAGTTATCGTGGTTATGAGCCGGTGTCAGGCTAATAGACAAGTCGACTACCACTCATCGCTCATGATGCGATGTGCTGGGGGCTCGTACCGATAAAATGCCAATCTAACGCGACTCATTGAGGCTTTTCAGAATTCCATTAATTCTTTGTGAATAACAATCGGGGTAGAAAGACCTTTAATTCTATCTGCCTTGTGTCTAGGAACAATGCAGTCCAATGACAGACAGACTCATGAAAGACGCAAGAACCAAAGGACTCCGCAACCAAGACAGGCTGAATGAACGATGTCAAAGGCGACGTAGAGAAAGAAAGAAACTAACTGTACAATGGCCGATGAGAATTCCTAAGAACCCAAGCTCTGGTGCATATATGACTTTGAAAACTCTTGGAACAGGTGCAGTAATCCGACTCACACGACCACATCGTCAGCATATTCCATTACTTGAACCAAACAACTCTTCCAAACTTCACTGATGCCAAACCAAGTTCCCAACCAATTTCCGTAGCATATTCTACCGCTTTTCCGTGCTCTCCCACCCATCACTGAGCTCTGATGCCAACGCATACCGATATCTGATAAGATGCCCCCCAAAAGAGTCCCCAAGGGCCGCCCTCGATGGGCTGTTGACGAAGGTTATACTCCTAGACGGACTCGTTCAGAGGCCGATCGCCCAAATCCGCGGGCATTATGGCCTCAGCTAACTGATAGGGAAGAGGCTTACGACGATCAAGGTAACCTCGTTTTGGCGAGGCCGCTGCGCGGGGGTCAACGGGCACGGCAAGCGCAGCCGGCGGCGCCTCCTCAACCTGTAGTTGGACCTCATGACGCACCTGATGATGAACCTGATGAGGCACCTGCTGGTGCTCCTGGTCTTCCATCAGGCTCGTTGCCACGAAACACCCGTCCCACACGAACTCCCCTTCCAACTGGAAAACCGAAATCGTCCAAGTCGTCGACGTCGACAACCTTGACAGCACCGCCCGGAGGAATTGAAGGTGGCACTGATGGGGGTGATTCAGACTCCCCTGTCGACCTCATAGGGGACGGGTCCGATGGTGATTCGTCTGGTGACGACAATCACGACAAAGGTTCGAAGGGGGCACGAAAGGGAAAACCCCCCCGGGTGAGCGCGGCAAAAATTGGTAACGATGGTGGCGACCCAGACTCTCCCGTTGACCCTCCTGGGAACGTGCTCGATGGTGGTTCATCTGGCGACGAGAGTCGTGGCAAAGGACCAAAGATGAGGGCGCGAAAGCGGAAAAACTCCAAAGTTAGCAAGGCAGACACCGGCTCCGATCCTGGAACAGGTTCTGACTCTGGAGAAGAGCCGGAAGGTAGCGCTCCTCGGGACGGCAGTACGGAGCAGACTGGCAACCCTCAGAGAGGCGAACGCACTGGCACAGAAGGCCAACAGCCTGTCGGCCAAGGCACAAGCCGTGAAGGCTCACTGTCCCGGGATCCAACTCCCGAATCGGCTGGAGGAGCTTCCGGGTACGACACCACTCCTTTCAAAAAACGTACGAGAAAGAAGCCAGAGAATGACGAGGAGCCGGGTCAAAGAGCAAGCAAAGAGCCGTTGCATGGTGGACCCGAACAACGAGGCGAAGAGCCTCGACAAGAAGAAGATGAAGACCCTGAGCAGAGAGAAAGCGGGGAGCGAAGTCCAAGTCAGTCCACTGTGGTTTACACAGATAGCGATGAAGAAACCGAATATCTGGTTTACGAAGGGCATGATGATCCAAACCAGACCGTTGACCAGGGAGATGACACTTTCAACATGACGCAATACCCAGATTCCATTGTCGAAGGTGACGACAGGAGCGAAGAATTCAACGGAAGCGGAGAGGGTGATGGTGACAATGGGTATCATGGTGAAAGTGGTTACGGCGGAGGCGGTTATGGCGGGAGTGATGATGGCGACGGAAGTGGTTATGGGGACAGTGGTGATGGTTACGATGAGTACGGCAGCGAGAACAACGACTACTCGGAATTCGATCCCGACGATACCGAGGGTTTCCCTGAAATGGGCCGCGGACCAGACAGCGAGTCCGGTTCTTCGAGGCACTCATCGCCGAGTGGTGTCTCGCCGGGAGCTTTCCATCGGAATAATCGGTCACCCAGCCACTCTCCAGGCCCGGCTGCCAGTGGACAACAGCAGCAGTCATCTACCTTGAGCGGTGGGCAAAGCTCGACAGCCCAGGGCTATAAAACGGCACAGTCCGGGGACTCTTCTGGTGGCAAGAAGGGCTCGGCGACGGGACGTGGAAACGGCCCAGCTGCCACTAAGACGAAGAACGCCATTGGGAAGAGGAGCAGGGCTGAAGATCTTTACCCAGACACAGCAGCTAGGCCACAGAAGCGACAAAAGGAGGACTTGGGTAAGGTTGCCACGCTGATGAAGAAACGCGAATTTGGCCGGACTGGATCGAGTAGGAAAGTCTCTGGCGCACAAAGCTCCCGAGAGTCACCGCCTCAGACTTCCGAAAAGCGGGCATCAGTTAAGAGATCAAGCAACTTGCTTGGCGAGGCAGGATTGAAGCCTGCGAAGAAGACGAGACGGAAATAGGCGGGAACCAGAGTGAATTCAGAAAAGCGGCGCGATGATTGGATGATTTCGTGTTAAGAGCGGTAGATATGTTTGAATGGACATGGTCTTATTGATTGACCAATGCGCCAGCATGATTATAGACAGAAATCACGCTCATCGTGGCTAGCAATCCGTAGGATTCGGTGATGCCTCCAGTCTCTTGGATCGCCTCTTTGCTAGTGCCTAATCGACCTCTAATGCAGTTAATGGTCTGGTGAAAAAACATGAAGCGGGATAATTGACGAGACATAGCGGTTTTCGGTAGAGTTTTGGCCGAGATGACTTCTCGCGAGTCCCTTCGCGCCTTTCCGGTAATAAATACAGTCATTGCAGACATAGTCCGCGCGAGAGCGGAACTTCTCTTCGTTGTATTGGCGTTGGAAACGCTGGGTATCATAGCATATCTTCGTCTTCGTCGTAATCGCCGTCCCCGCTGCCCCGTTCCTCCTCTTCCTCACGTCTGCTAGCCTCCGCACTGGCGCCAATCTTCCGTACGCCCTCTATGACGCCCAAGAAGAAGCCGCGACTCTCGGCCAGCTCCATCGCACCAACTCCGCGCAGACTCATGACACCGCTCACGCCGTTAGACAAGTCCTGCGTACTCTTACGCATCTTGGCGGAGCGAACTTCCTGAAGGTCCTTGAGGAGAGATCTCACTTCGGAAGTGGAAGGTATGTCGTCGGATGCGTGGGCCAGTAGGACCTCGGCGAGCTCGAACCAGTGGTAAGGAAGAGCATTCGGGGGCGCATCGGCTGTACATGACGGCAGGAACGGCGGTGACAGGGTTTCGTCGAGAGTCGCGCCTAGTCGACGGGCATTGCCTCTGCTGTCGGCGCGCATCGGAGGTGGTGGGGGAGCAGAGAAGGCGTCGGGTTCGAGGGTCGTTTCTTGGTGTACGATCTTGGCGAGGGAGGTCGGATGGAGCCACTGCGGAGGGACAATGTTTGCTCGCCGTTGCTTCTTGAGGAGGAGTGCCAGCCAGAGAGGCAAGTTGGCACGTGCCGGGGGCCGCAAAGCTGGAGTTGCACCCTGGACGAGCATCGGGATGTGAGCAGGAGGACAGATGCGCGACGCGTCGCGGGGTAACTGGGAGCTGGGTCCGTCCTTACGCTTAGGAGATCGATGCTTTCTAGCCGCTGGCGGGGGACAATTGTGACGAGCTCCATTTCGCACAGGAAAGCCACTTCGGCGGGCACGAGGCCCGGAGGTAGAGGCAATGCCATCGTTGGTTTCGCAGACACCAGTCGCTGCAGCAAGCCCCGGCGAAGTTTGAAGCTGCAACCGCCCTATGCAAAAGACGCGTCCAAATTTGACGATGCGACGGCGCCGCGGGGGGGTTTGCGCACGGAAGCAGCCGGCCCGCTTTGGTGGGAGGTTTGGGCCTTTTGACGACAGGAGCACAGGGGTCAGGTCCTGGGAGGTAGGGAAAGAGGACGTACCGTTTCAATCGGGGAACCGGATATGGACCCACTTCGCGCTAGGCTCAGAGCCCCATAGATCCCCGGAGCAGGACCCACTCTTAACCCGGGTCCTCCGAGCCGGTGACCAGGGTCATGGAGGAGGGCGATGGAATTGAGATAAGGTAATGCGCCCTACGCAAGGCTGGTCGATAGTGAGGCCTGGATGCATAAGAGCTGAGGTTGACCCTGCCTTGACCAGCTGAAAGTCTGGCCAATTCGAGGCGCGGCCGGACCGAAGCGGTATCATGTGAAGAGGTGGCACTGCAACGCTGGATGAATCTGGACTCTCCACCTCTGCTTGTTATTTTTACTTTTTTGTGCTAGTGTACCAAATATCCATGACCGCGCCAAGCTACAAAGAGCGGACACTATACGAGGCACCCAGGGAAGCAACAGGTGCTCCTCCTCGCCAATCGGCTCTCAGTCGGCCCTGCCACGCCAGTAGCGCGTGAAAGATATGTGCAACTTATCCAAGCAAGTGCGACCGATATTGACGTCCCTCAGTCCCTCACCTGAGACATCACCTTAGCTAATCGGGCCTGAGAGATCTGTGTCACCTCATCTACTAGTGTAGGGAAAGGGGACCTCTGCTCCTTACCTTAACGGCTGCAACCCTGTAGCTGCAGATCTCCTCACTCCCTTTCCTTTCTCCGCGTCACCTAATAACCAAAGGTCTAAGAACTGTCTCGAACGGGCTGTCCCGGCCCTGTCGTCCCATCTAGAGTCCGTTTTTGTTTTGCCGCTCCATCACCCACCTGGTGGCTCCATCAACCATTCGGAGGATTATGTCAATGAACCTGTCCCTTCGTCTCCGACTACGACCTAGATTCCTGTTTCGTGGTGGCCGCTGCAGGGCCGCAGCCGCCCACGCTCTAGCCTTCATCGGCCGTGATACTCGGAACTGGTCTCCGAAAGCAACAGATACGCTATTTCTACGATCAATTTGATTTTCCTTCGAGTCATGATGACGAGCTTCTGCATATTCTCCGACTCGCCGTTCAAAAGCCGCTAAGAAAGCACGTCGATCCATACGGGAAGAGTCGAGACCGCAACACGAAAGAGGAGGAAGAAGGAGAAGAGACACACACACGCCCAAAAATTGCAAGGGTATTGCAGTAAGCATCCGCCGCCCAACCGCTCTAGCCCTTCCTCCGAGTACAGACCATAGGAGTACCCCACTGTCATCCTCATTCTGATTCTTAACCCCCTCGTGGCGGGATTGGGCCGCCCAAAGGTCCGCCTATTCGGCCGCAGTCGCCTGGGTTGGGACTTCAGCTGCAGCAGTAAAGGCGGTGGCCTTGGACGTGTTCTTCTCCTCTTGCACTCACTTTCCCTCTCCTCCCACACCGGAGTGGAGTTTTCGATTTTGCTCTCACCATCGCCAGAGGTTCAACATCGATCATCATACGTGGCAGTCGACCCTCGCATCGGTTCACCTTCGGAGCCGGGAAGCTGGCACGGACGAATCGATCATCCCTCTTCCCGCGGGGTATCCCCGTTCTCGAACCCACCACGTCCGGATATGTTGGCAATTTTGAAGCAATTATCAAGCACTCCTGTTGGTGCCTTGGAATCCCTGACTGCTTTATCATCTAGGTGAGGCCTACTATCGTTCGGGAAATTCGGACCGGCGCCAGACGAGCCTGCTAGGGCTTCGGCGCCGCATCCCTTCCCGAAAGAGACTGCTTGTCCGCCTAATTTTCCCCACCGACACCCAAGAAGAGCCTCATCGCCAGATTTTTGTCAGCACGCTTGTGGTTTTTCCGAGCAGATAGTCTGCCTCTTCAAGTTGTAGGATTTCTTTTTTTTTTTCAACTTCAACCATGTCGTCCAATTTGTTGAACTTCAACAAACCATGCAACGGATGTCGACGTCGAAAGGTCCGCTGCGATAAGGCCAAGCCCTGCCTCAACTGCGTTCGCCATGGCATTGCCTGTGTCTACGACCCCCAGAGGGAGCCCGGCCTCCCCAACCCCGAGAGCCAACAACAGTTGCAAGAAAGAGTCGACCGACTCGAAAGGGTCATCGAGGAGATGAAGGGCATGTCTGTGCGAGGGGAATTGCACAAGGGCGCCAGCAGTTCGTTCCCATCTGCGAGTCCGGCAACAAGTCACTTTGGCGAGTCTTACAACGAACGAGATGAGTCCCTGGCTGGGGACCCTGGGATGCAGGTTTACGACGAAAACGTGTCCTATTATCTTGGTCCCGACTACTGGCTCAACCTTCAAGACGTCGTTTACGAACCACGATGTCTGTTCCGTATCGACTCGGATAAGACGGGAAAAAATCCGGCGAGTCCGTCGTCGTGGCCCATTGGTCGAACGCCCGTTCTGGCCGATCTTTCCCATCTACACCTTGAACCCGAAAAAGAAGACATCTTGACCGACGTTTTTCTCGCCCATATTGAACCCTTTGTTAGGATAGTCCACGAAGGCTACTGGCGGCAGCAAATCACAGATTTTCGAGTTGGCGTCCACAAAGTCCCGATAGACGTGGAGGCTGGCATGTTTGCAACCCAGGCCATGACTGTTGCTGCAATGCCAGCAAATCTTGTCCAAGAAAGGCTCGGTAAGCCTAAGAAGGACCTCCTTCGACACTTGCAGGAAGCTACTCAATTAGCTCTTGAGAGAGCAGACATTTTGCGGAGCAGAAAGGTTATGGCATTTTTTGCCCTGCTCTATCATATTGTTCGTTTGATTCTCTTTACGTTCCTACCCACAATGTTATGGATGCTTTTTTGCTGATTTTTCTAGCAAGCCAAGTTCATCACTGGTGACGGGGAAGTTGCAGTTTCTCTCCTAGGGCTGGCGGGTCGTTTCGGTACAAGACTTGGATTACACCGGGATCCAAGTCACTATAGCTATTCGCCCTGGATAGCAAATATGAGGCGCCGTCTCTGGGCTCACTTCGAAGTCATGGACAACCCAGTGTATAATCTAGAGGGCGCAGATTCCGGCTTGCCATCAATATCCGACGTCCAGCCCGCAAAGAATGCAAACGACAGTCAGTGGATACCAAATAGGTTTGCAAAACCGGGTTCTACTCCTCCAGATCAAGACGGAATCACAGACATGTCATTTGTCCTCGTACGGCAACATCTGCTCAAGACAATGCAGTCAATAACGCGAAAGAGGAACGACACTAGCCCTGAAGAGCTCAGTAGGATAATTGACCAGACTGAGAATTTTATCAAGGCCAAGTTCGTTTCCCACGTTGACAGTAGCTCTGCAAGCCATGCAATCATTGTATCATACTTCAGGGCAAGCATGAGGAGCATGCGGCTTCTTGTAGAAACTGTCGTGGCTCGACATACAGGTGCAGGACAAGATGCCGAGTTCCGGTCGGGGTACGTTGAGATGCAAACTCAAAGGGTGCATATCGCTTCTGTCGTTTCTAACATTCCGAAACTAGGTTCTATCAAGAATGTGTAGAGATACTTGAAGAAGCTGAACGTGGAGAAGCCGTGGCTATTCAAAACCACTGGGGCTGGATCTACCGATGGCCGACAACACCTAGCACGATTTCGAACATTCTCATCGGTCTCGCTCAGCAACCAAAACACCCGGTTACGGATCGAGCATGGAGGCAAATGAACATTGTGTTCCGCAGACATAATAACGAGGATATCAGCATGCGCAAGTTCGCCGCGTGGAGGGTCCTTGAAGCGCTATGCGACCAAGCTATGCTTTACCACAAGCAGAGATCACACGAGGGAGCCTGGTACGCCCAGAAGCTCGACCAAGTTCAGACCATGACCACGGTACAGGGAAAGGCCTCCCTCTCACTGGAGAACGCGACCGTCGACGACATCCTGGGCGACGTACAAATGTTTGGGCAAGACGCCTCAGTCTTGGGCGGCCACAGTTATTTCGCAGCACAGCAAGCACTTGAACCGTTGGGTTATCCTCCTTGGAACCAATCATCACCAGATCAATCTCACGGACCGGGCCAACCACACCCGCATCCGCATCCGCATCCGCATCCGCACCCTCATCCGCACCAGCCTCCGTCTGATGATGGCGAAGACATTTAGATTGCAGATGACGCAATCGGCAAAAACAATGAAACGACAAGGATGGGTCAAAATTCAAATCATCATTCAGCTCCCGAGGCTATCTAAGGAAAAAAAATTCTATCCGATTTCCAGAGCGCAGAGGCCCCCGAGGCCATTCGATCTTCGGAAACGGCACGGAAATGTGGATGAAGCCAAGCCATAATTCCAAGAATTCAAAACTCAATGCTTGCTTGGTCTGTGGGTCCTTGTGCGTCCGAAAGGCCAACCGTCTGGGAGCATATGTTTAGCCAAAGTCTAATTTATGGAGAAAATAACGCTCTTGGAGAATGGAAAGTCTTCAAACTCACATTGACTGGGAGCATGGACGTCAATGTCCAGCTCGTCAGCCCAAGTCCATACCAGGTTGGGGTCTTTGAGGAACGCCCTACCCACGAGGACGGCGTCTGCCTGGCCGTCTGCCAAGACCTCCGTGGCGTCCTTCCCCGTTGCGATGCCGCCGACGGACCCTACCAGGGTGCCGGTTCCCTCAACGGCTTTCCGGACGGCTTCCGCTATATGGGCTTGGTACTTGGGGCCTGGGATGACCTTCATCCTCGCATCTTGTCCGCCGCCGGTCATATCGAGGAAATCAACGCCCTTGTCCGCGAGGATCTTGGCGAGCTTCTGGGCCTGAGGGATGTCCCACTGGGGAATCGAAGGGTCGAATTCCAAATAGTCGGTGCCGGCGAGACGAACAAGAACCGGATAATCCTCGGGCACGTTGGCGCGGGTCAGCTCCGCCAGCTCGATGAGTAGGCGGGAACGGTTCTCGAAGCTGCCACCGTACTGGTCGGTTCTCTTGTTGGACGTGGGCGAGAGAAAGTTATTGATCAGGTACCCATGGCCGGCATGGATCTCGATGGTCTGCAGAATTATTCAACAGCTGGAAACAAAAATAACAACTGGGTCCCCCCCATCCGGCAATAAACTTACGTCGTATCCCACTTTGACAGCTCGCTTGACGGCATCAACCCACCTCGCTTTCAGAGTCTCAATGTCTTCCAGGGTCATTTCTTTGGGAACGTAGGTGTCATGACTGTATGCGACGGCAGACGGTCCATAGACGTCCTCAGGCCATCCCCTACCCTGCAAAGAAAATGTATTAGTTGTGCTGTGCTCATCACTCATCATTCAAAGCGCAAGTGTCTGAGACGGGATCTCTCTACAGAGTGCAGAGTGCCAGGTACCTTTTTGCCTGCTACCGCCTTACGGTCAATCCATGGAGCAACAGTGCTCGCTTTCCGGCCAGCATGTCCAATCTGGGCACCAATGTACCCTCCTTGGCTATGGACAAACTCAATCACCTCCTTGGCGGCGACCAGCTGCGAGTCATCCCAGATCCCCAGGTCCTCGGGCGAGATGCGGCCCTCAGGCACGACGGCCTGGACCTCCGTCAGGACCAGCCCGGCGCCGCGGACCGCGAAGCTCTGCAGGTGCGTCTTATGCCACGCCGTCATGTGCCCCTTGTCGGCGGAGTACTGGCACATGGGCGACACAATGATGCGGTTGTGCAACGTCAGGCCGCGGATCTTGAGCGGCGAGAAGAGGGTGCCGTCTGGTTGAGGGTCCCTAGCGGTCCCGGCGGCTGGGTCCTGAATGGGGGTGAAGTACGGAACCTTTCATCCGGACTAATCAGCACTACATTTTCCATAAACGCCCCCGGAGGTTTTCCTTGCAGTGCGGTCCTCGAGCTGGCAAGGAGAATTCCACACGACGAACGCCTCTTGGAGGAGGGGGTCTTACATTCTTGGCACCCTCGTTGACCAAGCCGGGGTCTGAGACTTGCAATGCACCGGAAACTGGCGCTTGATCTGCGCACATCGGAGCTTCGACTTTGGCCATTTTGTTGAGTGGAGATGATATGTCTGTTTTATGATCGGGACGTGATTCTACTGTCTGGTCTATCGTTGGTTATTGTGAACGGTAAACCTTGACGAAGATCAAGAAGCATTGAACGTTATATATAAAAAATTACTACAAGGGCGCTGTGCTTTCAATGTTGGAGATTTCAAGCAACAGGAACTTGAAATATCGGCGAGAATGGACGAACTGTTGAGCCGCGCGGTGCTGAGTAACTGCCGTCATATTGCGCCAAAGACGGAGCCGGATGGTTCGCTGAGAGACCGGCTCAATTCACTGCTGCTTCCGACATTAGTGTCCCGTTTGTTGGCCAAGACCATGCCGTTTTCGACTGGTGGCTTTGTGCGGCACTTCTTGATACTTGCTGACTGCATAAGGCGTACGAGTTGTGCAAAGAGTGTTACAGAGCCATAAGGATGTAGTTAGTCACACCTGCATTATCGATGATGCCCTTTGTCGGACAGAGACCATACTGATTCCCCCGACTGATGACTCAACCCCCAAAGACGCGATACTCTCGCGACACTATCGCGACTTCGCTTCTCAAAATCTCAATTCATGGCGAAGTTCCGAGTGCACGCGGATTACGAGATACTTTGCCTCTCTGGCAGCATATCAGCCCGGAAATGAAAGAAATCTCGTCTCAAACCTGTGAGATGCTGCAGTGCTCGCAACTGAGTGGCCGGTTCGTCAGGCCATCGCTGACCAAGGACCAAGGTCTGGCACAGTGGTACTCTGCATGCCAGAAGGATTCAAACCCCTGCAGACACGCGGTCTAATGTTGCCCACGGTCGCCTCGCCGACTCGCCGACACGGCGGATGCTACCCTAGGACACAGCCACAAGTCCCAGGCGGCATCAGTCCGGTCACCGATCGTGGGGTCAATAGCTCAACGTCGGGGGGTATTCTGGGGGGACTCTCTTCTGCCTTACCCGTACAGGTGTGATAGGAGAGGAGCGTTGGGGGTTGCTCCCCTGACTATGCCCGTATCAAATTGCGGCAACATGAAGCTGCAGACGGCCGATGCTCGGTTAATTTTGACTGCAATTTTGAGCGCTATGCATGAGGACTATTTCAGACATCACCTATCAACAATCCCAGAGAGCCGGTATCCGTATCATAGTGTAATAGGATACGGACGCCACTGAAACCCCCTTGCTGACTCCTCATTAATATAGGTGAGTACCTAGCATATCCGTACGTACATGTCGTCAATAGAAACCTGCGTGTTTCAAATTTGCGACCATAAAGCACATTAGAGCAAGACAAAAGGTCAAGGGCAACCTAATTAGTGCCTCGAACAATCCAAAATAAGCTATAAGCCTCGTCAACTCCAAGGCGACCCCAAAACACTGTGCTCTCATGGAATCTGAGAAGAGTGCCTGCCAAGACAACAGATTGTTGAAACGTCAAGCAAATGGTCCCCTCTATGCTCCACGGTATCCTTTTTTCTGCTTCTCTTGCCGTATTCGCCTTGTTCGGCCGGTCTGTAAATCGAGTGATCCTCGCCAAGTCTCAGACACAAGGCAGGAATTGCGATTACAAAATCAGTATATTCTAAATAATAATCGGCCGGAACTTAAAGACGGCGGACGGCAACATATGCGCGACTTTCGGATCGAAATCATGCCTAGTAACTGCCGGGCGCCACAGTTCTAGACAGAGTGCGTCCAATCAAGCACAGCTTCCCATCTGTTCTCTACACCCTGGACACGCCCTCTGAACTGTATTAGTATTCGTATGTGACTTGAGTCAAAAAAAGTAAAAAAGAAAGCCCCGAAGAGTCAAGACTTATGCTTCCAGCTTCCTATTTGGCACTGCCGGGTTGAAGCCTCCATCCCTAATGACACTCCAATGGCTAGACTGTGAATTTCGCAAAAAACCGAAAGTGCTCGTCCCATGTCCTCCATCCCAATCCTTGCGGGCCAGATGACGGTAGCCAACTTCAAGACCTTGCCATCCGTTTCGGATCTGACCGCAGTAGATTGAGCCATAGATTTTTCCCTCCTTGAAAACAAGCGCAATGGGCTGAAAATCATCAAAGACAATTGGCTCCACGTAGCATCCTGTCTCACCAATCGTACCACCCCCACACGCGAGAGCTGCGCCTGTTGCTTGCCAAATGCCAGAAACGGAAGCACAGTTTCTCGTTGCCGGTGGCTGTAAGTTTTAAGCCAAAAAAAAAAAAAATCGCAGTGAATGCTCTGCGACAGGCAGCTCACCGCCCTAGGGAAGACTCTGCCGTGTGTCGCCCGGCAAGGTAAATACACTCGATCTTTTGCGATGAACCTTTGTAGGGCGCCTTCTCTCCTCTCGTGGCCGACGCGAGTACGAATAGAAGACGCGGTGGTCAACGCACGCGCGATCCTTGCCCCTTCATCATCAGAATCATGCAAAGCCCGCGCCGGCGGCCGCTCGGCCAACGTCCGAGGATCGGGAGAAAAGACAAAAGTACAATGTCGAGGACTGGACGACGCCCAACTTTAATGTAACACTTTCTTTCAGGTTCGACTTGGCAGCGCGCCGATTTGGACGAGGTTGTTCACACCGACAATCCCGGTGAAGCTGAGCTTGAGCAATTTTTTTTGGGGGGGGGGGGATGAGAGGAGGCCAGGGCGGTACGAACCTCGGCACACCCCGTCTGTGAGGGCCCCCCGGGCAGGGATGCCGGCTTCGGTAGGGAGCCCCCGGAACAGGGCCCCGGGCAGCGAACAAGGTTGAAAAGGGGCTGCGTTCCGAGATTTTGATGGCCATGGAATGACCGGTTGCAAGGGCCGGAGATATATTCATTGTAACTTGCAAGGGGTCCAGATCGGTGCACTGAAGGGTACTTTACCCGCAGACAGGCCGTATAGTTGACAGAGTGTTTAATCACGCTGTAGATGCGTACCTCACACGGGTAGTGAGAGTAGGAGTGAAATATACGGTGATGGAACTTGGTAGAGTCGTCGGATTCGAGGATCTCACCACTCCGTAGGAAAGTCGCTGATCGAGTATCCATACGCTTTGATACCTTGGCACAATACGGTGAACGGATATATTTCATGTTCAATTGAAAAGCACAGCGGTTGTTTCCATAGTATGAAACTGGAAAGAGAGGTAATATCTGCAGTGTGTTACACGGCAGGAAACAAGTACAGGCTCTGCTTAGATATGATGTGATGATCAAGTTGTTGGAAGAAAAATTGCAGCTTGTTTTCAATCATACGACTGGGTCTAGGAAACCTGTGACCACTCTGTAGGTGGTTTCTGCGGTTCCTCCGAACAACCGTGTACCCTTGCGCCGCCTCTCCGGTAGACTTGATGCCTTTCTCGGGGTTCAGCGGGTACGCGGTCCGTGTGTGGTGTGGGTCCAACTCCGGAGGAAGCACGGAGGAGTGAGAACTCTTGGTGGAATCATCGGCGGAGGATTGGCTCCTCGGTAGAATTCGACACGAGCTGTCAAATGTTATAGGATGAAGTGTATCATTACATTATCAAACCCCTGTTCCTCGGATGTATCATTGTCGAGTTAGAAAACTGAAACGCCTCGCATTAGAAGCCGAACGTCCGCATTCAACAACGGCATTCAAGACCGGGTTTTCGGCGCAACCAACAGTGCCTTGGAATTGCGTACTGTTTCTGCGAAACTCATCGCCATCCATGATATGTTTCAAATCCTGATCGCTGACTGGAACGCTGAGGACTTTGGAATCTTCACAGTTGAGATTACTCCCCCTGGGCCTCTCACCAAGGGGTTCATCAACACGGTCAACGTCCCTCACTCGAAACGAAATAACATGTGGGTTTCCGAATCTCGACCTAAAGATACTGGTTCCACCTTGAGACATCTATGGCTGCTTCTGGAGCTGCAATTTGCAAGGCGATCAGGGCATTTTCAGGTCCGAATATCCCTCAGTGTCATGCTTCTCGCCAGGCTCCTCGTGCTCGTCTCTTATTTCCCCGTAACGCGCTTTCAATCCTTTCACTGCTCTTTCCCAAAGGACTAACAAGGGACCCATACCAAGCATTTCCAAGAAACTGATGTTGGACCTGACCATTCCTTTCCATCATCCATGCATTTTAACAGCCACCAGGCTGTCCAGTACAGCATATTAGAGCGACAAGCCCAGATCAATCTCATCCTCGTCTTCAACGGGATTCAAAAGCAAGTGAAACAATGGCACTGCAATCTGCCTTGCAAGGAAATTTGAAGCTCCTCTCGAAGCAAAGCCTGCCATTTCTGTAGCCGCAGACTTCAAGAACATAGACAGAGCACTGTGATATGAAGAAGCAACGGGGGATAGTGGTTTCACCGCTGTTCAAGTTGAGATAGTACCGCATTCGTCGATCTTCTGTCCATGGGATTCTGTTCGTGGGGTCCCTCAAAGATGCAAGACTTCGAACCTGAGCACGAGCTGAGCGTTCTTAACAAAACTTGTTGCAGTCGAATATTGGATGCCAGAATCGGGTGCTTTGAAGATAACCGTAAGGGCGTCCGGAATTTGAAGGATCTTCATGTCGCATATTCCTTGACCCATGAGTCTCTCCATCAAAACTGGGCTGTCGGCGAGATAGCCCGAGCCGATTATGGCGCCAACATCTATGACGCCGGCCTTCGAGCCAAGACTCCGGCGATACTGGAGGAAGGCTTCGAGGAACGTGTTTGCAGCCGCATAGTTGGCTTGTCCTCTGTTCCCGTACATGCCGGAGATGGAGCTGAGAGTCAAGGTCCAACCCTGCGGTAACACTGGCTTTGTGAAAGTTCCACATTCCCGGGACCTTTGGGTTGGATGTAGCCGTCCATTCTCCATGGCTCGTTTTCGCAACGCTTTGATCCCTCAGAACCATCTACATGTTGATGACGCTGCGGACGGGTTGCGCTGCGGCTGTGATGTCTATCAACGTCCTCGAGCAAGCTAACATCCCCACGCAAGGTGACTGTCGAGCATCCCTGGGCTTTGAGCTCGGCCAAAGGCTTTTAGTTCTCGGTCCTGTCTCCGCCCTGTCTTGACAAGAAGACTAGATGCTTAGCTCCATGCTCTTTCATCCGATTCGAGACTGAACGACCAAGACCACCCAGCCCGCCGACAAGGAGGTAGCTAGAGCCACCATCGAATCAAGGCTTGCCGTTAGAAGCCGACCCGACTCTTAGAGTTTAATTCATGGAATCCATCGTCACAACAATTTTGCCGATGTGTTGGCCCTGTTGCATGTCCCTGAAGCATTTTTCAACCATCCCCGCGTCGAAATTCTTTGTTGGACTAATTGGGCGAGTGTGGCCTCGTTGGTAGTATTACTCGTCAATTCGCCTCAATACTCTTTGGAAGCTTTTAGCAACGGCTCGCCTCAAAAGCTCTAGGCATACCTACCTGTTTCCTTCTCTTGGCTTGGGTTCGATCAGATGTCCGAGATCCACGCCGGGATAGCTCCGGCTCAGCTCAAAGACATTGAGTGCGAGCCTGCTATTGCCAAAGAGGTCACGTATTCCAATCTCAATCATCTTACCAAATTCCAACACGCAGCTCCAAGAAGCATGTAGCAGCTCTCCGCTCAAAGAGTTGAGCACAATGTCCACAACCCGACCGCCAGTCAGCCTCTCGATATCCTCGGGAAAAGAGGCGTTGCGAAGGTTGAGTATCCGTTCTCTGGGTATTCCATACGTCGACTCAAGATATTGCACCTTTTATCACCACCCACAGTGTAGTAGATCACCGTAGCCACCATCTTGCAGATCTGGATTGCCGCAATACTGACGTCCCCGCAAGCAGAGTGAATCAAAATAGAGTCTCGTTAGACGGCCAATGTCAAGCAGGCTATGAATCACTGTCAAAGACACGCACGGCATGGTAGCAGCATCTTGGAAGGCGATGTAGTCTGATATCTTGATGCACAACTTCTCCGAAACTATAATGCCGGTGGAAAAACAGCCCCCAATCGAAATGAAGACTCTGTCACCGGGAACAAGGTCTCTGACGTTGCGTCCTCTTTGGATGACGATCCCGGGGACCTCGAGACCGAGGCTGCTAATGTTCGAGTTGACGATACCCATGGTAATGAGGATATCCCGAAAATCGTCATCGAGAAGTTCACTGGTTAGGGTGTCGGGCAAGATATTATACTCACCTTGGAGTTCATGCCGATAGCCTTCATGTTAGCTAATACAAGCACATCATCCCCGTCTAATGGCTCTGGATCCCTAGGGGTCCAACGGAGCGTATTCAGGCGGCCGTATCTCTCGATGCGTAGGTCATGGACTAAGTTATCAAGACCCAGACTACAAGCCTGCGATTCAGTGTTGACGTTGATGGGGTACAATTTGGAAATGTGTACCGTTCCGTCCCAGATGCTGTATTCGTATTCCGGTAAGCTCTTAGCACCGTAACGAATCCTTTGAAACTTATCCCAAAATTGCGAGATGGCGTCCAGTAAGGGTAAAGTTATTGGATCGACTTCGCAAGTTACAAAGTCCAGCCTCAGTTCCTTCCCAATGGACCATGCGGCACCTATGGTTTGCCCCCATCGTGGGTCTGAGCATCTGAGTGAGATCGTGACGCCTTTCTGAACGGAGATGGCCGGTGAAGGCCTGGATGTAATGAAAGCAAGCAAGTTGGTTGGACGATGGGAATCATAGTCAACGTCCTCGAGGCCCTTTAACCAGCGTTTCTGACTTCTACGTCCTGACGGTCGGGCGAAAGGTGTGGCTGGTCTGGTCTCTGGTCCTCAGCTCCAAGCCAACAACCTGGGAGGACACGCACCCTGACGAAGCTGAGTGGCAAGGCATCATATGACAATTCTTCCATATACTGCCTCCCTTCGGAGTTTAGAAGTTTGCGGACGTGGACGAGAGTTTGCCTTAGACTTGGAGTGTCACGAAGAACGTTGGCCGCAAGCACCAGGTCGCAAGACTCGTGCTCGAATCCTTGCTCGATCGGGTGCTTGCATATATCGAGCACCTTGAAAGACATGTTGGGAAAGTGGCTGAACCTTTTCTTCGCGGCTGAAAAGAACCCGGGTGAAAATATCCGTATAGGTGTATTCGGACTACAGCCATACGCCTGTCGGTCCTCTAAACCAATGAAGAACTTTGCTTGTAGCCCCCGCCTGTTCCAGCGCCAATTTCCAAGATTTGAAGATTGGGTTTTGAGCGACCAAGTGCTCGGAAGAGAGGCTCCCTGTCGGTAATGTTCAAGGAATCGGAGATGAGGGTCAGAATGTTGTTCGGCAACAAAACCTCGAGAAGCTTGGTTTCCGCTCTGGAAGCCGAGCCAACATTTTCAAGAATAAGACGCATAGCAAAATAGAAAGGACAAACGCACCCACTTGAGCGCCGCTAGTGGAAAAATCCAGATCTTTGGTGTAGGGTGGTACTGGTCGCTGTTTCATCCAGGCGAGGAATCACAATAGATGCGGCTGCGCACTCTCCATACCTTCCAAGAGTTTCAAGGCTGCCTTGGTACAAGAGAGGGTAAGATCTAGGGTAATACTGAGACTTTCTTGTTGCAGATGCGGTTTGATTAGATCCGAAATCTTGAGAAAATCGATGTTCAGCTGCCAGAAGATCCTAGCTCCGGCATTGGGATAAGGGTTTTCCTCTGACATGTCGTTTTCAAGCGGAATTCGCTTCACTCTTTTGGGTGACATTAAAAGCTCGTCTTTTCAGAATCGATGCCAAACCCGCTTCCCAAAAGCAACCCACGCGGTGTTTGAGTTGCCTGAACGTCATTTCTGATTCTGAATCCCAATCATAGACGTTGAGGGCCTCGATGAAAGCTTGGACGTTCATTACGTGGATCTTGTGTCCGATACCCTTCCCTGCAGCAACGCTGAAGAGTTGGAGAAGGTAATTGACTTTCCTGGGGTGAATTGCCTAATACGAGTCGTCCGGAATGGTGTGTGTTGCTGTACCAGCGGAGATGTTCTCTGTCGGAGAGCGAGTGACATCCGCTAGTCCTTGAAAGGATGACCATAGTTGGCGCCGAAATTCTGAAGAGCTTGGTACCAATTTTGAGGGCCAACATCGCAGTGTAGATTCTGAATATGCTTTTTCGAAGCCAGAGTCATAATCGCGAGGGCTTTCACCTGTCCGTTGCAATGCTTCATCCAGGTGGAGCTGTTGAAAGAGGTGATGGTAAACTCCCACGAACGACTGTCGAGGTTTTCCGTCAGCCTTTACTTCCCAAGGTTCGTGATAACTGCTGTAGTCTTGTTCGCACACAAGACCATTGCCATGTGAATGACGGCGTTATGCGTAGAGTAATTGACGAAACTTCCCGTGCTGAATTGTCTCGCAGCTTCTCCAGCCGTGCCAATGTAGCCCGCGCAGGGGGAGATGATTTCGCCCTTCATGTTGTGGTTGCAAATCCATGGGTCCTGGTCCAATGACAGCATATTACGAAACATTGGCTCATTGAGACTGTTTTAGGGAATACTGACGCCGAGGATCTCATGTTTGGGGTACCTGCGGAATCGCCACTCACCGGAGATGAACCTTGAAAATGGCAATGAGTGGTCATAATGCCATGGATATGTGGGTAAGTCTGTAGCCACACGGGCAGTCCGGTCGGCATTGGTGAGCAGGTTGAAGTCGATCCCCAAACCAAGTTTCCAGAACTGGCCGAGAGATGTCAAGAAAGACTGTGACGTTCGTTCCTCAAACGAGACAAGAAGCATAGGAGAGTCGATTAGAGAGCAGAAAGTCTCCGTAGCCAGTAGTCTTGTACTGGCCGACGGCTTCGCTGTCTTTGGTCAAAGTCTCGAGCCAGTTCTCGCCGAAGCACCCAACAAAATTCCCAATCATTTTGCCGCGATAGCCAACTTCGTCGGCACTCTCTGGGTGGATCGAGGAGGAGCCTTTGTTGAGGATCAGCTGGCTCAACCTCCTTCTTGGGAATTCGAAAAAAAGATGGTGTCGAGCGCCCCAAGATCGACCGAGTAGTCCAGGAAATTCCCGTGCTGTGTCTTAATGTGAACTGGTTTTCCTAGTCTCGGAATTGCAGCTACACCCATTGAATCTGCATTCAGGAATCGGGCGTTGTGCGTCTTTCTTGTCGACCAAAAACTGCCAAAATTTCTCGGTAGCCTCAAGGACATGCCACAAATCGCGATGGGCTCCATGATGTTTTGCAAAAGGTCCGTCAACGTCGACTACTGATTTTGCTATAGAAGACCTCCGCTATCAGAAATTACAATGCATTATAATATTGGGTGGATGCACTTACAGACGTTTCTGTCGTTGACTCCAAGAATGGAGTCATGACGAATCGTTGGTGATTTCAATTTGGGGTCGTGTTTCACTGCATCCAAACGTACAAGAGTAGAAGTGTAGAGAGAGTCACCTGGATGAAGACTTGTGTCGGACTCGAGTCATCATAATGAGCGTTGGGACCTGAGCCAACTCTCGAAAGCCGCATGCCTTACCCCTGGCAGAACGTTGACGCTGATACGCTAAACAGCCATGAGCATCAGACGTAATAGTTCCGATGTAGAGCTGGCCAGCGAAATATTGGACGAAAAAGCACATGTCAGCCCAGGCTCCTCCCGATCAAACTGCACCAAAGTTCCTAATTTCCGTCCCCCACTGGGACCAAGACCATGGGATCATCATGCCAAGTCGTCATTGATTCAATCTGAGCAGTAATGATATCGGTCGACTCTGTTGAGGGGATAAGCGGGGATAACCCCCCAAACAGTTGCACTGGCTATCTCGTATATGCCCTGTCTATGCCAACTCACTCTCAATTCGTATATAAAGGAAGTCGCCATTGCTCTCCACTCACTACATGTTTGAGCAGCGATACTCTTGTTGTAAAGTTCATCGGATGTTGATGAGCCCTAGCTATTCCTAAGAGACCTTCGTCGATACGAACATGGAGGTTGTCGTTGCAGGATTTGGGCGGCAATCTATCGACAACAACCACGTCGAGAATGGCTAGCGCCTCCGGTCCCCATGTTCCCATTGCGACAAGAGTAAGTATTCTTACGGATACCGCACCGCCGCAGAGCGTTGAGTGTGAGATTTTGGGCAGCCACCCGTGGCGGTGCAAGCCCAAGTTTCTGCCCAGACGGAGGGGCTTTCTTCTGCCCATGTGAACTGCAAGTACAAGAAAGACATTGGTAAAAGTTTCGAGATTACGGATATGAACCCGGGCATTCCGGTCCGTTCTCGGCATGTAAGATGGGTCCAAACACCGCCGGGCCGTGACGACTCACAGGTTTTCCATACACCTCCAGGCATGGAGACGGTTGGGGCAGAGGAAGGGGGAAGGGGGATGAGGGTGTATCGGGATGCATGGAAAGGGGCACCGCAGTGATAACCACTTTCTCTCTAGACAAAAGAAAAGCCGACAACATACGAGTAAGCAATAGTCAGCACGATGCTAGCTCCTGAGTCTGCGGGTAGGACCTGGGGGCGATATGCACCTGACCAGGTCTTGTATGCACGTACGTTACGTAGCTTGTGGGGGTTGGCGCAGATGGCATTTCAAACGGCTCACCTGCCGCTAGCTCGATCTCGACCAATAAAGACTGCCAAGCAACTTGATGAGTTTGCTACGTTGTATTCTTGATGATAATGTGTTGTCAAAACCACATCTTTCCACAAAAGCAAAACCACAGCGCTCAAGCACTCGGCAAGTGAGAACATTCGTGCCGCCGATGAAAACCAGACGAGCCCAAGATGTTGCTCGCAACGCTCGTGGTAAGTATACAGCAGAAATAAAGCATACAGACACGCTCTCATGGGACCCTAATCACATTTGCTTGTCGTCTCAGCGCGGCTAACTCCCTGAGCCCTGCCGGCCCTCAACTTTCCAGTCGTGTCCTAAACTCTCCCTCTCAGAGCGGTTTCTGCCCGCTCCAGAAATGCATCTTGCCGTAGGCGTGCACATTGGGATCTCTCATGGCATTCCGGCATTCGGCGAAGAGAACCTCCATCTGAATTTTGCTCCAGCCCATCATTTGAAAATGGATGGCGCCTACTACGGGGAAGAACTCTTCGCAAGCCGTGCGGTAGTACATCCCTATTAGTCGCATGATTCTGAGAGAAGGGCTTTGTTAGATATTCTCACAGACTATGCGGATGTTCTGGCACACTCACTTATCCCTGGGCCATGTACCATACGGCAACTTCACCGTATGATGTTGGATGTTGACAAAGCCGGCCTCTTCCAAATACTGCCGTCCAAACACGGCGGCGTGAGAGTTTGTCCCAAACTTTGCGAATGCTTCTACAAGGTGGTTTGTGAAGCGTACAAGAGGCCAGTCAGGAGGCATCGTGCCGTCGTCGCAGTGAACCTGGCCGTCAACATCCTGAAGCTCGACCCAGGCGCCAGGCTTCATGTGCCTAAAACATCGTTATTAGTCCTCCCAATCGGATGTGGGAGTAGAACTCGATGAACATACTCGTATGCGTTCCTCAGTAGGCCAACTGGCGACTTTAGCACTGGTACCATGTTGCGCAAGTGAACAAAGTCAAAGTTCCTGCCGTTCAACCAGGTATCTTCGACGTCGTCGACCAAGAACTTGACGTTGGGTGGTACCCAAACGGGCTGAATGGGACTCAAGTCAAGCCCATGAATCTCTGCGCTTGGGAACATGTCTCCCACTGTCATTTTGGTCAGTTGCTCAACCTTCTTTTTACATAATTCCCGTCTCTCATTAAGACGTGTTTGGATTGGTACTCACTCTCGATTGCCCATATACCCGTCCCCGTACCAAGGTCAATAATCTTTTGCGGGTTATCGCCGATGGGCGCAAAGTACAACTTGCCGTCTGTAGCCTCCAGCATCATCGCGTGTAGCATGTCCTCGCGGTTCTGCTCCGTCTCGTCGTTGGGAATCGGATACCGCCCGTGCCGGAACTTGTGGTAACGTCTACCGTGCTGGAAGCTGTGCTCGTAGACGCTGGAGTTCAGAGACGTCGAATCAGTCCTGTCGTCCGCTATCGATGATCCGTCAAAGATACTTGGCGTAAACTCGTCGTCATCGTCGGTGCCGCCAGCCTCGAGGGGTTCTTCGACAGGGGCTTCGACAGGGGCTCCGACAGGGGCTCCCGTAGGAACACCGGAGATACTTGAAGCAGCTGAAGCCGGCTCAGGCGATGTCGTCGTTGTCTCCAAGACTGTCGTCGTACTTTGCTCCGCACTAGAGCCGCCAGCCGTTGGTGTCGCAGATGCAGAAGCTGCTGGTCTGATGTTACTACCGTGCCTCTGATGAGAAGCAATCTGGCGCGTCACACGCCGCGTTTGATACTATTTCGAGGGCGCCCCCCGATGCCATGGAACCACCTCAAGAAGCGAAAAAGTTCAGCTTACCGCCGACAGTGTCGCGTCGCGGGCTGTCAGAACGGCCCGCGCTAGGGCTGCCGGGATTGCTTCCCGTGCCCGTCATAGCAGCTGATGTTTGCTTCGGCCAGAGCGCATATGGGTTGGAGAGCTGGCTAGGTATATGCTTCGCCTCCTACCAGTAATCACGTTTTTCGAGTTTATGTTGCGTCAAGTTGAAGAGTGACAGAAGGTGGTGAGTGGAATGAGGGTGAGAAAAATAACAAATGGTTTTTGGCTGCGACTTTTTGCGTCGTAATCTCTAGCGGCCCTGGCTCCGAAGGTCTAGCTACCCTAGCCTGGATCACCCATGAATCGGACCACCCGTGGACTGTGGAGGCGGGGTTAATGAAGGGTGCGTCCGGGTTCGCTCAGAGGCCTAGGCTTTTCCCTTTCGCGCAGGGGATTAAGGTTTGGGGGAGAAGGGGAGGGGGGGATGTCTTTGTCTTACTCTGTTCGTTAGCTTAGATGGACTTGACGAGAAGAGAGAAACTGTTCGTGCTGCTGAACAGGCAGAGTGAACAGGAAGGGATCAGGGACAAGAGGCAGATTTAGACGGGAAACAAAATCGGCAACCTGGACGGAGCCCGTGACACTGACGACCGCCACGATGACCGAAGGAATTTGCCGGCTTGAGACATACTGCATATCAAATGCTCAGGGCATCGCCAACTTTACGAACGCCAGGAACGGCAAGCGATCTCGCACATGTCACTCGGCGTCAGTTGGCAGGTCTACGGACACATGAGAAGGTGAACGAGTGGTATCGGGATGAGGATGCGGGAACTGTTCCCCCCCGTTTTCTTTTCTTTGGACAAGTGATGAATCGCTGCAAGTCTTGCACTGCCATCTTTCTCGTGACATCGTCCACTTGCCAGATTGAGATGGAGGGAGGGGAATCATGTCATTGTTGCTGTGGTCTCTCCCATGACTGCAGCTTTACCCTGGAACCTGCAGGATCACTCCCTCAAAGTTCCAGCCTCTATTATCACTGGTGGAACATATGGTGGCGTTTATTGGGTCTCATCAGGGCCGCCCAAACCGGCGCCGTCCATTCCCAGGTGCCCGGTTAGCAGGTTGAGACGAGTGACGTTCGACATGCCTTGTTCCTAGCCCTGTTATCTGATGACTATCAGTCGTCCTTCACACTCGCCGGACGGTCCTCAGGACTCAATAGAGTACAATACTACAGACTCGTATCAAGGACTCAGTCGTTTGCTGACCGCTGCGTCACTGGCTATGAATTTGAATTTTGGTAGGGAGCTGGCCCCGGCCCGTTCCTGTCGATCGTTTCCCGTCATTATACTATGTAATCATCGCTTCGCATTCTCCTGCAGTCATTGGATTATCGTTGTCCATGTTCTGTTCGTGCTCAGTGGGCCGGAAACCGTTGATATCGCGATTAGATCAGAATGTTGCATCCTGAATCCGCACGCGAGCCAAGACCCATGTCCCTTCTCTCACCCCATACTGAAAAAACCAACGACCTGCAGTCGACATGGGTCTCTCCTCATGAGCCATCTGCTGCGCTTTTTTTTTTACTAGCAGGGCTGATATGTGACACATCACACGGTGACGAACTGCATCTCGCTCTACCCGGTAGTAGTAGCGGAGCTGATGTGAAAAAGCAATGAATACTCAGGCCTCAGTGCAGTCCTCGGCCTACGCGATGCCCGATCGCCGGTGGCTGGCAGTGTGATGTTCGATCCTATCTCGCTGATTATGCTGTGTGACTCTCGGCATACCACAAACCAACCACTGGTGGATGGGTATTGACATTGAGAAAAGAAACTCCATGACCAGTCCATATTTTGATCGTGATCCTGAAAGTCGACTGACGGTCGAAAATGACATGGAGGTTGCCACGTTGCCCAGCCCTCGCGTCATGCGGCGGGGAAGCATCGTTTAGCTGCCGGTCGGTCTGCTGCCAAGAACGGAGTCTTCTCCGACCCTAATGCGTCGTTTACATTCCAGTCTCTGCACTCATACGCTCAAACACCGTTTCCGAACTCCCGTGTACTTGGTATTAATAGCTTAGCACAATGATGAGTGATCCAAATGACCTTGGCTCAGGAAGTAGTTCACACCCGGATTAGGCGCCCAACAAGAGAGCCGTGACAGGCGCTCGAACGGAGCGCAGGCCAACTCCACGTTCCAAATCATGACCGTCTGCATCCGCTCAAGTCTTGCGGCCCAGAAGCTCCCTACCATGTTTCTTTCTTCCATCTCGGAAGCCAGTCATAACAATCAGGACCCACGCGATGAATTGTCCAGAAGCTCAGACGAAGTTTCGCGTCACTTCCTGCCATTCATCACAACTCACTCCTCTGCTCAGATTTTCAGCTGACGCATATTGAAATGGATGACCATGTGCAGAGTGGTTAAATAATCGAATTCTATCAGACGACACATGATGGTAATCCCCATTCAAAACGTGTCAGACGGAGGAGCCGCGAGGCTTCTAGCAAAACACGACTTTATCGCCTTCACAATTGGTACTGGGTCGACGTTCTTGTTGCGTACATGCACTAGTGACACTGCAGATTTATCAACTGTGCTAGTACAGCAAGGATATCTCTATGTACGTCAAAAGGATGGATGTCCTTACTCCAAGTGAAGACCTGACAACTTCTTTTGCTGTGTACATGTATGCTGTAGGTTTAAAACTACCTAATTTGCTGACTATGAGTAGATAATGCATGTATTGGCCCTACAAAGTTTCCCCTTCACTCCAATTGGTCTCTTTGCCTTCACTTCATGATTGATACGATTATAGGTAGTGTCGCATATTTAAGATTCAGCGTCCGATGACCTCGTCTCTAAATCTCTTTCCGCATATTATCCCGGTTCGTGTGAAGGAGATGTGTAAACAACTGACTCCAAATTGACCTCAGGCGCCGCTTGGTAAGGCATGTCATCCGGAATCCAAATTTAGAACTCAAGAGAGTCGGCAGTTGAACTCCTCTGATGATGCTCTGGAAGTTCCCCACCCCCGAAAGTCGCCAATCTCACAAGTAGGGGCGGGAAAGTTTCACAGCACCGTTCATGGAAGCGGTATTGGGGATAGGCGTCGGCCGGATTAGTGAAAGGCCTCGCTCATGATTGGACGCAGCTGTCAGATTCGTGTCAAGAAGTCAATAGAGCTTTACCCTCAATCTCCCGAGCGGAAGGAATCGGACGTCGGCCAACCTCAGTCGAAAATTGTTCTAAAGTCCATTTCAAGACTTAACGGATAGGGATTCAGGCCATGAAATAGGATGATGTACATTCTAGTATTCTCTTTGACATTTACAATCAACACATTGGAGTTGAAGCTTGAGTCCCGTCTATTTTGCCGCAATACCTTACTTCGAGCGCAACGACAATATCTCAATCTACTACGTTGACGAGGGCCCTCTAGATGCCCAAGCTGTCTTGCTCATTCCCGATATCACCTGAAACATTCACGATTGGAACTGGCAGGTGCCAATTTTACTCAAACATTTGATGTCTTCTGAGTGGTGATCACCCCGGATCCATGAGGACAGGAGCGTTCCTCCGCACCGGCACCGACTCCGACCATTAAATCACGCCCCGTACGAGACGCCGATCCGTCCACCGTGGACTACTATCCCCAGTCTATCGCCTGGGACTTTGTCGCCCTCCTGCAGCACCTCAGTGTCTCATCAGAAGTCGTCATTGCTCATTCTCTCGGCACGACCGTGGCGTACCACTTCGCCTCTGTGAGGCCAGATCTGGCCCGTGCCATAGTTATTCTTGACCCCCTCACTCGATCCCAAGTACTAACGTGGATGAGTACCTCACCGATCCGGACAAGACCTTCCAGAACCTCGCTATGCTGTTTGGTCCCGCACTGTATCAGGCCACGATCCCAACCTGGCACTTGACTTGGATCGGCAGGCGGTCATATGCAAGGCGATACGAATGTCATTTTGGATGGGTCATATGCGTGCCAGGTCGATCCGCAAGCGATTGGAAGGCGGGAGGTCTCTGTGGCGCAGCATGACGGCAAGACCAAGTGCCCGCGATGACAATTGGAAACAGCGAGTATTGGGTTACGACTGAACGAAGCTATCTTTCTTCGAGCAGTGAGTTTGGCGAGATACATCGGGTGGAGGGAATTGGCCATTGGTTCCATCAATCGAGAAGTGAGCAAGTCAACGATTGTGTCGAAAAGTGCACTGGTTTGAGAGAATTGGCCTGCTTCCACTGTGAAAACAAGACGGAAAAGCTAGGCGGTAGATTGCCGTCCTTGACGCGCGCTGTACCATTGACCAATACAATCAATCAAAGCATCTGTACTCGAGGTAGTTTGAAGTGTCCAAATAGACCGTGTCAAAATTGACGTTGCAAGTTGCGCAGCGTGACTAGATTTCTTCTCTTCGTTTAAGAATCTTGAACCTTTAGTACATGGTTGAGGATGAGCAGTGTCATTGCACCCGGAGCCCGAGTGTTTGTCATTGTAGTCTGAAAGTGATCAAAACGCCCAAGATCTTAATGGGTGAAACGGAAATCCAATCGCTTGTTGCCCTGATCCTTTGTTGTCTCCAGGTATTCAAGTCTCTGCTCTTCCGACATACCATCCCAGATCCTGTCTCGGCTCTTATTGCGCCACACGTAGTAGGCCTTGACCAGTGGGTAAAGGACCAAATTCATACAAACAATGCCGAGAAGGGATCGGTTGCCACGCCTGTACAATGGCGCATCATCTGGACTTATGGTCAGTACTGTGGGATCTGTGATGTATGGATTATGGAAATTATACCAGCTCTGTAAATGTTGGAAGAAATGATTCCGTCTGCCTGCACAAACATATTGTAGCACGCGGCGGAGACTGTTCGTGATCGGACTGTATTGGAATTGCGACTGTTCCATCCAACCTATTCATTGAAGTTAGCGATTGCATTTCTTATAAGAAAAGAAAAAGAGCGGGAATTGAAGCGAATTCCGCATTGTATTACTCGCTCCGTCGAGATCGGGATCTAGGTAGCTTACTTGGATGGGGTGGGCTATGATTCCGTTAGTTCCAGGCACTTAGCTTAGTGAATTCGGATATGGTGAAGCTTACGATTTGGGTACATGAGAAGCAGGGTGATGATGGTGTAAAGAACCCATCTGTTGACTCCCGTTGTGTCGACAACGGCGAGGTAGATCAAGAATGGCAGTGCCCATATCTGACCAGTCATCGAAATGAAGGTGAGTTCGCCGATGACTTCGCCCAGGTATGTGATTATAAGCATCGTGATCACTGTCCCCAAGTGTTAGTCCAGCAATTACAGTAGAGTTGAAGCTAGTTGTTGAATGAACTTACTATGTCCAACGGTCCACGGGATAGCGAGAAGATTGGCCTGGAAGGTGTCGAATCCAAGATTCTTCAAGGACAGTGTGAGGTATTGCTGTTGTGGCGTCACAGGAATCTGGAACGTGAGACCCAGGATGTACAGGGGCCAGAGGTCGTAATCCTTGAGACTTTCCCAGAGGAGTCGCGGGGTGATTGGCTCGCGGTTGTGCATGCTGCTCTTGCTTGGGTCCTCGCGGATCACTCTGTTGACGATGATTGTTTCTTCTCTGTATCATCCTGTCAGTATCCTGTCTGGAAAAAAATCATGATGAAACAAAGCTTTGGATTCAACGCACCTTTCCGAGAACCAACCCTTTTTCCCGCGGAACCAACTCGCGGTCTGACAAGGGCCAGCTGGCATCAAAAGGAAGCCGAGAATGCCAATGACCAGTGTCAACAGTCCTTCAATGAGGAAAAGCCATCTCCATCCGGAATGGCCTTGGACGCCACGCATGTGGAGCAAGCCATACGCCAAGAGTGCAGAAAGAATATCGGCGATGCTCATGGCGGTCCAGAAGAAGCCGAGCCGCAGAGACAGCTCGTGGTGCTTGTAGAAGTATGACAGGTAGAGAATAACCTGGATATTATGTGTCAGCCGATCATCGTCATAGAGGTTATCATGAGACATTGATCGCTTACGTCGGGGATAAATCCACCCTGGAGGAGACCCAACAATGCTCGGCAGGCAAGGAACGAATCTCTTCCATTGAGCCAGAACTGGCAGCTGGCGACGATACTCCAGAGGATCATCTGCGCAGGGATCCAGCGATCGGGACCAACCCATTTAGATACTAGCTGAGACGGCAATTCGGCACAGAGGAATGCAAGCTTGAAAACGGTGTTTCCGAGATTGAAGTCTGGGATACTTGTCAGTGAAATTGTGTGTGCTTATCAACCTTGGGCAGCCTACCATTGGTGCTCATGCCTAGATCTCCCAGCATGTTGTCCGTGTTCGCTAGAGCAGTCACATGTCAGAATCGAAAAGTTTTGCGATTCATCAGGATGATCTCGCGTACCTTGACTGATGTTGGCGCGGTCAAGTTCAAGTGCCATGAACATGATACAGGCCCATATCATAATCCGAATGTCGATCTTTCTTACTTGGATTCGTGTCAGTATAACTAGGTATTTGCCATGGGCAACAGGAAGAAAGAGGACATTCACTCACCCAAGGCATATTCTTCAGCCCACGTCCATCGAGCGTTAGGGTCGAACCGGTGGTAGTTCTCCCTATAGTTGGCCGGTTTAGTCGCAATGTTGACTGGAAAATGGAGAAAAGAGTCCCTCAGACGTACCAGTCTTTACGCGGATGATATTTCTCGGCAGTATCGGGGTCGTCAAACACACTTGGCTACATCAAACTTTAGCCTGAATTGAAAACAAAAGACATAATTTGTATCGGATCCGAGGCATACCTGCGTGGCGACAGCAAAGGGATCGAAATTCTTATTTCTCTGGAACCAAAAGCGCTTCTCCTCAATGGGGGCCCCAAGAGGCGGGGCACTTTCCAGGGACACGGCAGACTGCTCTGCTTCGCCCTTCTGGAAGGGGCTCTTTGCCAGAACGGTCGCCATGGTCAGTGACACCTATTGTGAGGCTCTTGATGGTGATGTTTGAGGCCGAAGGATGAGTGGTCGGATGGCGTGTCTCCTCGGAGCTACATCCTCAGTGCTATATAAAGCAGTGCTACGAAGAAAAGACGGGTCGGCGGATCTCGTCAAGAAAAATTCGGGATCGTGGAGCTCTTCCGCCACCGAGGACTTTCACTATCATGCAGCATGCTTGATTACGCTGCGATGGCGAATGCGATCCACAGTATCACGTTGTTGCAAGGGAGACAAGCGCCGGCGTCGCCTGCGGCTGTAAGGGTCTCGAACTGGGGTCATTATCGTTAGTATAATCCGTCCGACAAAAGCCAACTGGCAACACTGAGCTCAACCTCGCTCAAAGTCCGAGAGGTGTGTGAGATGGGGTGAAATAGACTTTTGCATACGATGGCCGTGCTCAACTCGACGGTTGGGAAGCCTCGGCAAAGCCTCCCATCATTGGCCTACAGCTGCCAGCTTGCAACGGAATCAAGATCGAGTACATGATTATCGCCTAGAGAATCCCAACTCCAGCTCAAACCGGCCAGGATACCGGTACATCCATTGCCTGCATCCTTGTCTGAGAGATGGAGTGGAGTGGGGGTTTACCCATCCGAGTTCGCCGTGCAGAGAATCCCCTGCAAGGTGAATGGATTATCAGCTATTGAAGAACTCGAGGAGCCTGCAGGATATGGCCGCTATCGCTTCTGCTTTGATTGTGTGGGCGGCCGTTGAGCGATAAGTCTGGGTCTGGGTTGGGCCGCGTTGTTGAAGTTCGCCATAGGCAAAGGTTCTGACGCAAGACACCACTTCGGACCGTTATCAATGCCCTTGGTTTCTGTCTACATAGTAAAGATTGCGAGACATCACTCGAAACCGACGTTGAATACCATCAACCTACAAGCGTGTTGATGAAATATCTGCTAGCTTTTGTCAATAGCAAGATGTCGCTCGTCAGAATGCGAGCTAAGGGCCTGGAGCAGCCACATGGGCTTGCATCAGCTTGCCCCCACGAAAACTGCCACTCTTCAGCCGCTTTGTGTGAAATTGCTCTTTTGTTATCGTGTACAATGTAGCTTGCGCGCGATAATGAAAGGGGGGGGTGTTCGCGAGGTGAAATAGGCGAGTCTTGATTGGCCAGTCCGGTGGAACAATGCCGTGATGACACCATTTCTGCCGCATCCACGCCATTTGCGTGAAGGGGTTGATCAATCACGAAATGAGGTCGCCGTCTTTCACCATCCCGATGCACCCTGGAAGTTTCCACCTGTAGAATGCGGGGGTTCCCCGAGCTGCTGGAATCTCACCGGATGTCGCTCTCATCCGGAGTTGCAAAGTCGCAACCGCCGACAGGATGTCGCGATGGCTTGCATCTTCCTACGTCGCGTCATGGGCGAGCCGGTCGACTTATAAAATGGTATTATTTGCGCCCGATGGAGAGAGTGCAGGGAGGAAAAAGCTTGCAAAAAAAACCATACCCATCCCGTATTCCGCCCAGTAACAGAGTTTGAATCAATCTATTCATCAGCCGGAAAAAAAAAAACATGGCTCCTACAGCTATTGACACCGAGGTGCCTATTCACACCAGCACCAAGACTTCACATCCGACGCCGCTCAAGTCATCCAACGTGCTGGATCAATATGAGTCCTTTGACGTGACCCCCAATATCGGCCGCGAGTTCCCAAAGGCAAACTTGGTGGACTGGCTCAACGCCCCCAACGCCGATGAACTGATTCGAGATCTTGCCATCACAAGTAAGTACCTACTTGGCTGGACTCGTGAGATGAAGTTGAGCGTAGCTAATCGTGGGGCAAAGTCTCGCAACGCGGCGTCGTCTTCTTCCGCGCCCAGGACAACTTGACCAATGATCTGCAAAAGCAACTAATCCTCCGATTGGGAGAACTCACCGGCCGTCCCTCCGACTCTGGGCTCCACATTCACCCGGTCCTCAACTCGGAGCGGGAACTGGGCGGGGCCGACCCGGAAATCAGCACCATCAGCTCGGTGCAGCACAAGAAGATCTACCGCAAGCCCCTGGAGGGCGAAGAGCTTAGCCCGAAGAAGCAGTCCACTGCGCAATGGCACAGCGACATTGCCTTTGAGCCTGTTCCGGCCGACTACTCATCCTTGCGCCTGGTTGAGCTGCCCAAGACGGGCGGTGGTAAGCAAGAACCCACCCAAATGATGAAGTTTTCAAAAAGTCGCCGGGGTGCAAAAAAAGGCTGACACACCGTACAGACACGCTTTGGGCGTCTGGGTATGAGATTTATGACCGGCTCAGCACTCCCTACCAAAAGTTCTTGGAGAGCCTCACAGTCACGTTTGAGCAGCCTGGCTTTGCCGCCGTTGCCGAACGTGGCGGCTTTACCCTGTATGACAAGCCGCGCGGCAACCCCAAGAACGTAGGAAGCATCCTCAAAGCAGTTCATCCGGTCGTGAGAACGAATCCCGTGTCGGGCTGGAAGAGTATCTTCCCCGTGGGCGGCCACGTCAAGCACATCAATGGTGTGACAGACGAGGAGAGCAAGCACCTGCTCAATTGGTTTCTGGACATTTTGCAAAAGAACCATGACATCCAAGTCCGCCTCAAATGGCAAAATGTCAACGATATCGGTACGTTTGAACCATGTATTCGCAAGCGGGAGAGGGGATTACACGTTACTAACAGAGATCCGCAGCCATTTGGGACAACCGAAGCACTTTCCACACCGCAACCTTTGACTACGATGACCAGGGAGAACGGTTCGGAAACAGAGCAGTTGGAATCGGTGAAGCGCCTTACCAAGACCCCAACAGCAAGGGACGTCGTGAGGCTCTGGGCCTTTCGTATGTGACCGTGCCAGGATTGTGAGACACTGGACTTTCATGCTCTTGTTACCATGGATAGATGTGCTTCACAATTTCAAACAAATCTACCCAGAATGAAGCTCAAATGTTGTAAAATTGGGGACGCGGAGAAGTTCACGTGTGCATTCACCATTCAAATGCTCAATAATTAACCCCGTAGCGAACTTTGGCCTGCATGAATTCATTAGCTGATAAATCCTTGTAATAGGTTCGGTAGGAGCACTGACCTCGAAAGCTGCTGCGGCAAGGTGTTCGCGTCAATCTCCCGTGTGGTGTAGCGCATGAATGGCTGACGTCACTCGCTCTCTCCCCGTCATGTTTGCACGCGCCTGGAGACCTAAACTGCCCGATACTTCTTACATTTTTTTGTAATTTTGGTTGCGGTAGGTGGTGCTAGCCAAGCCATAGGTACTGTCTCTCTTCGCGGAACAAACATCAATGGTAGTGGAGGCCCATAACAACCCCGTCGAGCTGGTCCACGACGGGGGACGACTCGGACAATCAAACCAATAGACCACGGCGGATCGACTCCCACATCTTTCTAAAGCTTCTTCTCGTTCTCCTTTCCCTTTGCCTCCTTTGGGGCGCTGATCCCAATACCCAGGATAATCAAGATCCGCACCAAAACCATTGGCGCCGTCGTGAAGAAGGTGACATAATCTTCCACGGTCCACGTGGACCTATCCAGCCATACCTCCCAGCCTCCGACGGCCTGCGCGGTGCCGTGGCAGTAGGCGATGTCGCTCAGGAGCATGCCCGCACAGAGGACGCGCCACAGCGCGAGGTCGTCAAAGACGCGCATGACCACGCCCTCGGTGAAGGCGAAGTGAAGCCAGCCGCCGCCGAGTTGCGTGTAGAGGAATTGCGTGTTGGGCGCGTACGGGAACGCGTTGCGCACCATGACGGCGAGGTACTGATTCGGCGTGTGGAGGACCATGACGGCGCCGAGCACCGCGAAGATTGGCTCGAGGGTCATGATGATGAGTCGGTAGATGCCCGGGACCGCGGCAGAGCCTTTGATCGTCACCCGTTGTGTGGCCATTGTGTTCGGTTCGTCCGTTTTTTTTTTCAATTCGTTATCGATCGCGTACTTTCTGATTCTTGTGAGAAAATTTGTGGTTTATACTCTTCGCGTTCGAGTATTTTGTGTCGCGATGACTGGTGGTCTGGCAGGCCAGTCAAAAACAAGTCATGGGTAAAGGTGAACGACCCGAGAAAAAAAAAAACCCCCAAGCAATATGCTCCCCCCAAACAGCTGCCGGTCACTAGCTTGATCAAATGCTTTTCCCAAGCTCAATGAAACATGCACTCGGATGCGCCGGCTGCGGGGTGCCTGGAACCCGAGACAGCAAACGCCAGTGATCCTAGCTCATACGAAGTTACGAGAGTTGCCGGAGGGGCATGTACAGCCAATAGGTGACCGAGACAATAGTGACCGAGATGAGGAAGATGGAGAACACGTAGGGAAGCTAGCATCTGGTTAGCTTGAGCGCAGAGGCCAACTGTTGCTTTCCTGCCAGGGCTGGGACTGCTAAACGATCCCGACCCTCTTGCAGGTTGTCTCGTTGATATGAGGCGGAACCCCTTGATCTGTGGTTTTTTGCTGTGCTGGATGGACGATTTGAAAGGCAGCATCAGTCCGAAAGAAGACGGTCTGCAGGCCGGAGAGGCCTAACATCGACACGGGTGTCATCGATTGCCGGCAGACGGCTTCGCGGAAGTTTTCGAAAATGCTACTTCAACTTGGTCTGTGCGGTTTAAAGTTAATGAAAACTATGAGCTCTTGAACACTTGCAGGTTTGTCAACGCTAGCGACCCCTTCAATGTATTCATCTACAAGATTGTACGGATACCATCTCACTCGAATGACGGTGAAGTAAAAGTTCCAGCAATGCTATTCATTAACAATCGCTTGGGAAAAGAGCTTCACCGTGGACGCAACGGAAATACGAGACATTGACTCAGTCGCATGGACCGTAGAGGTGGATCCAAGGTTTCGGCTTCCACTCGAACCATTTCTAGCGAAATGATCCGGCAAAAAAAGTGAGAGGAATCGTTGTGGTTGATTGTGAGATGTCTGTGCGAGGGCGGTCAAATTGGAAAAATATTGGAGAGCTCACACCGCTCAATTGTCTTCAACGAGAACAATCCGTATCGACCTAATACTTGACGTGGGTAACTGGTGTCAGACCATGAAGAACTTGGTGCGCAAAGCTGCTGGTGCACGCACACAGAAACGATGGTCTTGTTTGACTATGTAATTATGAAGGAGCTAACAACCCTTCCCCGAACAAGCATCTAGGATACCTCTGAAGCTCCTCTGCTGATGACTGAGTTTAACCTGAAGGGCTATCAATTAATGAAAACGTCAACACGCTACCTTGTCAGGAACATCTTGTACGGCTTGTGAGTCTTGCAAAAATGACTACGATATCAGATGGTCGTAGACTTGCCCTACTTCTTGTCAACATGGTCACTTTCTCCAATGCTCTCGTTTCCCTCGGGGTGATATTCCACCTGGCCAGATTCCAAAGTGGTCTCCCCGTCCCGAGAACTGTGTTTCTGCTCTCGCAAGACCAGCAGGCGAATGCCGATCACTGCAATAATTGCAGCAATGATGAAACCAAACGTCGCAGGAAAACCGTATCCTGAGAGACCGAAATCATCAGCACTAGTTTCTGACACGAGCCATTGGGGATGGCCACTTCCGACCTCCCACCGCTGTTGCTTGATAACCGTCACCATTGGTAGGGGCGAAATATTGACTTACTAAATGTTGGAGCCATGGTTTGAGGAAAGATGATGAGGGGAAGCCAAGCGTCGACGGCGTATTGCATTCCGTTCATGCTGCTGATCACCAAGGCGCGCTCCTCGTTGTCGCCAGCACATATTTCATTGGCCCAGGTGTAGCTGTGAAATGTATTGTCAGCTTTGAATCCAAGGAATGATACTAGGATATTCTAGACGGCGAGGACCTACAATACTGCAGTCATAAGATGCACGCTGCTGGTCAAAAAAGCAAACAACTTCAGTTGCACACTTGGAGGCCAAAAAGCCAAGATGCCATTTGGGATTAAAGCCAACAACTAGGATTTTGTTAGGCCTTGATGATTTTGTAGAAACCTGCTCCCTCGATCTCTGGAGGGGTGTCTTACCAATGGACAAATGATCAAGGCAAAGCGGCTCCCGGTGTAGTCGGACAGGAATCCCCAAAGAATGATACAGAAAGCACTAATGAGCTTTGATCCCGTCGGAATGACGTTCCTGTCTACAACAGAGAACTTTTCTGCCTTGAGCCAGATAGCAAAGTATCCGCCCGCTTGACAAGACTCTCCGTAAAGCTAACGATTGATTAGGATCCTGTAACACATGATGATGCTCTGTCCGCAAAAGATGTTGCACGTACCACGTAGCCCAGGACAAAAGCATACCATCTCCACTTCAAGAGGACTCTCTTGAAAGTCGCCAGGGTAATTCCCGCGGGTGCCGCTTTACCAGCTTTGGTGACTCGATCAATCGCCAACTCGCATTCTTTGGCAGTCAGGAACTTGGACTTGGTGGTGTACGGTGTATCTGGTAGGACGAAAAGAGTGGCAACGCCAACGGGAATTGTCATGCACTAGGGTATAACAAGAGATTAGCAACTTGGTTTGGCGTCAAGGCCACCAGAAGGTGACGGCAGTGAGATCCTCTTACTCCACAGACGATATATAGCCAGCGCCATCCAGCATGGCCATGGGCACCGTCGAGGCTCTCGTAAACTGCCGCTTGCAGATACCCGCCAAAAGCCGAGCCCAGGGGAGCAGTCATGTGGAAAATGGCGACTCTCTTTGCAAGCTCGGTCTTGGTGTACCAACTACCTAGAACGTAAAGCAGTACTGGAAAGAAGGAGCTCTCAAAGAAACCAACGAGGAAGCGGAATGCGTAGAGTTGGCCCACATTCTGCGTCCCTGCTTGGGCAAATGTAAAGACTCCCTAACGATTGAACCAAGTTAGTGTCTCGCTTGACAGAGGCGGTTGAGGCGAGGCGTACCCATCCGACTTCCATCGCGGCTAGCCAAATGCTCGGTCTAATCTTTTGGACAATCAACGTGCTGGGAATCTGCATCACCGCATACGCGCATGTGTAGACCATTTGAGCATAGGTGTACTCGTTCCCAAACATCTTGAGGTCCTCTTGCATTCCCGAGACGTAGGCGTTTGCCAGGTTCCCTTGATCGAGATACTTCATGAAGAAGCCCAGGCATCCTATGGTCAAAATTGACCAATCCAACTTTCGAAGTAACACACGTTCCTCATGGCTCTTGAGGTGTGTATCCGTGTCCCAAATGAAGGAACGGAACGATCGCGAGGGCGCTTTCGAATGCTGAGGCGCAGATTCAGCCATTATGGACATACAAAGACGTGGTTCTACCGGCGTCAAAGGGTTGCAGACGGAACGAAATCAGCAGTCGCAGAGTCCAGTAGGACATGACCCCCTTTATCACTCCTCCTCATCCAGTGTTGCGCCATCAGAATGATGTTTTTTCTTTCCCACGGAGAGGTGCAGCAGATATGCACTGGTAGCACGGAATGGCCACTAACAATGATCAACACGGACGTGTAGGCCAAATGTAGAAAAGCCCAACTGCCGCAAGTCGGGCGACAGACAGTTCCTCCCGTCTCTTTGAGAACATGGTGCAGAACAACCCGGCGTCGTGCTGGGGGCGATCGGGGTCATTCCGACGAGCTTGACCAATGGCGGTGGAGATGGGATCGCGGGGGATGATAAGACGACAGAGGCAGGGGTCAATGACGAGCTCAGCCAACCACCTGTACACTCTCCGGGGAATAAGCGTGTTTCCACCGACAGTATTAAACAAGCGGAATGGACCATTAAGTCTACCGAGTCTATTTGTATCTATCTGACTTCCATCAAGGCGGCTTCACAAGTTGCGTCAATGAGTTTAATGAATCGAGGTTTCACTTTATAGTATGTACCCGAGGGCGTGTCGTGTTGAGCATTATTCTTAGGATAGAACTCAGCTGATAGCCATGTGGATAACGCGAGAGCGTGGACTAAACACGGAAGATAAGCATTTTGAATGGTGTTCGTTTCTGGCAGACGACTGGACCCTTTTCTCAGAGATTTCTTCATTCAAAGATAGGACAGAGTAAGGGAAGTCTGGTCGTCGAGATAGAGCAAAACTAGTATGTAAATGCTATCAAAGCTGCCACGTACTTGATACAATTCTCCAGCAAGCCATTCTTCTGGATTCATTCTCTAAATATTCCGGCATTTGACACTATCTTTTAAAGATATGAAACTCAACGTTCTTCTTTTAGCCGTTACTGGCGCAGTCCGTGTCCAGAGTACTACAGTTTTCGCACATTTTATAGTCAGTCTACAGAACGAACTGCTATTCTTTAGCCGATGAACATCTACTTACACTCTGCCAGGTAGGAAACAAGGCTGAGTACACAGAAAGCACTTGGCGTACGGACATTAGGCTCTCCAAGGAAGCTCATATTGACGCCTTTGCCTTTAATATAGCCCATAGAGAGCCTATGTACGAGGTTTCTCTTGAGCGCGCTTTCAATGTCGCCAAAGATGAGGGCTTCAAGCTTCTATTCTCTTTAGACTACGTAGGAAGAGGTCCTTGGCCGAAGAAGACCGTCATCAGCTAGGTATCTAAAGAAGTATACATCGAAAGCCGAGTACTTTAAGCACAGTGATGGAAGACCTTTGGTTTCTACCTTCGAGGGCCCTGGCAATGCGAAAGACTGGATCGATATCAAAAGCCAAGTCAGCTGTTTTTTCATTCCTGATTGGACGTTTGAAGGAGTAAAGCCAGCTCTGGCTCTCGGAAATAACGTCGCGGATGGCCTTTTCAACTGGGCTGCTTGGCCCTGGGGTCCTTGAGATATGGATATTTATGTCGATGCCTCATATTTTCAGTATTTGGACAAGAGGCCGTATATGATGCCTGTTCTACCGTGGTTCTATACCAATATGCCCGGGTATAACAAGAACTGGATGTGGCGGGGTGACGACATATGGCATGATCGGTGGATTCAGGTCATTTATAACCAGCCTGAGTACGTAGCAGTATGGCAGTGCTTCAAAGATGATATTGTACTAACATACATCCCGATACGTCCGAATCATCTCTTGGAACGACTATGGCGAATCTCATCACATTGGTCCTCTTTAAAGCCGCGCTATGGAGGCGTTCACGGTTGGAAAAGCGCCATACAACTATGCCAACAACAGACCTCACGATGGCTGGCGTCAGACTCTACCTTTCTGGATTGACTACGGCAAGACTGGAAAAGCTACTGTATCTCAAGAGAGTCTCGTTGTCTGGTACCGTACAAGCTCATCCAGCGCCTGCTCTGATGGTGACACCGTCGGTAATACAGCAAGCCAACTTCAAATCGAGTTCCCTCCACAGCTTATCATGTTGGATAATATGTCTTTCTCCGCAGTACTCGCATGGGCAGCTGAGGTCACAGTCACAGTTGGTGGCAAGACTTTTACCCCGAAGTGGCCTTCGATTCCCGATGGAGGTGTTGGCGTCTATCATGGCAGCGTGGTCCTCCTTAGTGAGCCCGGCGATGTGAACGTCCAGCTCTCCAGACCTGGGAGACTTCTAGCGAGGTTAGACGGACCTGCCTTCAGCTCTGCGAGCTGCGACAATGGGCGTACGAATTGGAACCCTTGGGTTGGAAGTGCCGTCGTTGCCGGCTCCGTCTCCGCGACGATGCCAAACTCGAGACAAGACCAAGGCTGTACGAAGGGAAGTGGGGCCAAGGGCTTTGAAGAGCTGTGCGAGTTCAATTGCATGTACAACTACTGCCCCGGGTCGTCCTGCTTGTGCCAGGCTGTGGGAGTTCCCAACACAAAGCCGCCAGCGCTCGAGAAAGACGGATTCCCCGCCAAGGGGAAGAGCGAGAATTACTCCGGACTCTGCTCGAATGCCTGCAACCTGGGATTCTGTCCCGAAGAGCTTTGTTCTGAGATTCCTCAGACGACTGTCGTACCGACAGTCTCCGAGTTTCTTCCACCTGCCTGTAGGGCAGGTACCTCTCGAGCAGGGTATGAACGCTTCGAGGGCCTTTGTTCCTACGCCTGCAACTTCGGCTTCTGTCCTCTGCACGTTTGCCGATGTACATCAGAGGGAGGCCTGATAGAGCCACCAGCGCAGATACCCGGTGCAACTGGCAAGCCTGTTGTGGATTTCAATGATGAGAAGCTGTGCGAGTTTGCCTGCTCTCGTACCTGGTGTCCATCTGATGTTTGCAAGTCAAAGGACGACGAAGAAACGCAACCGCCAACCGACCCCAACGATACCTGCCAAGCGAGCGATAGAACCTACAGTGATCTCCCTATTGATCGGAATGGCGAGTACATGCGCTGGTTGTTGATGGAGCCTGAGAATGCAGCAGTGACGGGCAGACAATACATCACCATCGTCAATCTCACGCCGCATCCTTTCAAGCTCACTTCAACACACAGCTACCAGATGGACGAGTTCAACTGGGGCGATATTCCTCCAGGCAAGGCGCGTCAAAACGTCGCACACTATACTGGGAAAATTGGAGCTAACAATGTCGATGACAACGGAGAAGCGTACTATGACATCGGGAACACTGGCAAAAAGTTCGTCGTACGTGCCACAACTCATATATCTGATACCTATCCCAGGCGCGTCGTTTTCGACCTGAGCGGGATGAGCAAGGGCCAGCGCGAGTACAAGGTGCCGGGCCAGGAGGTAACTGTTACTCTTGTCATCACGGGGAGTGTGTCTATGACTTGACCGCTGACTGGAGGTGGAGTGGATTCAACTACACTTTGGTCAATGGGTGGGCCTGCGCCGCATGGCGCCCCAAGACCGAAGCCCTCTCCAATCCCGAGGACGCGAAATTGGACCAAGTGCTCATGATACATACACCCTGGACCGTGACTTGGGATGCATCTGATACTGCGACATTGACGCCAAAGCTACCGACATTGGCGAGCCCAATGATAGTGCCGACGTGGACAACTGGTCAGACGATCCCGGATGGAGTTTATGACTACAAACCGCCGAGACTTGAGAGTGGTCCTGACCTTACAAAAGATAGTCTTTTCATGTTCCTGGTTGTTGGATGCCCTCTAATTTTGTTCGTGTTGATCTGCTCATGCGTGTTTTGCTGCATAAGGAGCTGCAGAAAGAAGAGGCGGCAGAAAAAGGCTGCGATTGTTGCGGCAACGAACGACGCACCTACTTCACCGCCCAAGTGAGAGCTCAGCCTCAGAATGGAGAATTTCTTTATGATGGAGTCTTGGTGTGGAACCTTATCCTGTAAATACCTCTTTCAACAAATTTTGAGCTCTTTGACTACGTGTTGCTGGATTTGAGATAGCCTCGGTAGGCTTCGCTATTTCAAGATGTAATTCAAATGGACATCTATGATAACGATACTGGAGAATTATTCATAGGATTAGTGCCAACACGTTGCGAACATGACGCCGTTGATGGCGTGCAGCGGACAAACGCATTTTCCCGTGACACAATTTGTTTTGCTGGAGCAAAGGGGCTCGCTCACCCTTACTTTCCATGCTTAGCACAAGCCCGCGGCCCGTCGCCTTGGAGTCGTGGTACAACGCTGGTCCATGCATCATGTTAAGTAATAGTCCGAGGACGTAGTTGCCTTGGATTTACTGAAAGAATATGAATCACTAACCAGCGCTTATACCCAAATAAACAAATCAAATATGAGGTTCGTATTTAATTATTTACTTTATTTCTTACGCTATATTTAATTATTTAATAAATAATTAATAAATTTAATTGATTTCTTAATCAGGAATAAATAAAGCTATTACGAAAATCTTTATAATATTAACTTATAAATTTTATTTCGATTAACTTTTTTAATTAAAAAATTAACTTTTTATTTTTATAACACCGCTACGAAGCTAATTTTTAAAATATTAAACTTTTTTTAATATAAAAAACCTTATTAATAATCGTTATAAAATTAAAATTAACTTTACGAAATTAAATATCTATTACGGTCTATAACTAGATTTCCTATCTTTTATATACGGTTGCTTAAGAAAGAGAGGGCCGCGAAGTTCTTAAGATTTCCTAAAGATTTCCTTTAAAAAAAGCGCTTAAAAAAGCCTAAGATTTCCTTAAAATTTCCTTAAGATTTCTTTAAAAAAAATCATAAAAAAATCCTTAAAATTTCCTTTATTTTTTTTAAAAAAAATTATAAAAAAATCTTTAAGATTTTTTAAAAGTTTTTTTTAAAACTTTTATAATATATTTAAAAGATTTCGTTAGGAAATTTATAAAAAAATCTTAAAAAAAGGTATTAATATATTTTATTATTTTTATTATATAAAAACGTATAATAATTAATAATATAACTTTTTTTTAACGAACTAAGTAATATATTTATATTTTAAAAAGATAAGTTAAAAAGCGTTAACTTTTTTAAATTTAATAAGCTAATTAAAAAGTATTGACTTTATTAAAAAAATAAATTAGCTAAAAAGCCGTAATTTTATTATTAAATATCTTTAATTAATAAAAAGCGACGATAATATTTATCTCTTTTAAGATCTTAATATTATCCTTTTACTAAAGGACGCCGATCGAGCCGCCTAGTTAATTAATTACTATACCTAAAATTACCACCGGCTTAAGGCGTTTAACTAACTAAACGCCCTTATTATATTAATTTTATATATTATTAAAATAACTATTAAATTAAAAAAAAGCGCCTAGGTATATTAAAAAATTTCCTATATATAAACGTAAAATATATACTTATTAAAATTTAAAACCGCATTTTTTAAATAATTTAAAAACGAAAATAAATATCGAAACGAAATATACTTTTATTTATAATAGTATAAAACGCTTTTATTTCTTTTTATTATAAATATTATAAATATTATAAAAGAAATATTATTTAGTTTATTTCTATACGAACTAAAGCTATTATTAAAACGAATAAAAAAGACTCCCCCCGCGCTAAAAATAAATATTAATCCTTTTATTTTTTTTATTATAGAGTAACTAAAAACCCCCGTATTATTATAATTATTAATTAAAAAAAAAAGTATTTAAAAAAAAAAATATTTTTTATTTTAAACCGATTTAATAAAAAAGAAGAGTTATAAAGTTCGATATAAAGTTTTACTTAGCTTATTAACTTTTTATTAAATATAGTATATTTATTTAATGACTTTTTATTTTTATATATAAAAAATAAATTACGCCCCCCTCTATTAAACTAAAGAATTTTAATTTAAAAAAAAAGAAAAGTATATATTTTTTAAAAAACTTTATACCGAACTATATTTAATTATATTAAAATTTATATTAAAAATAAGCACAGAGGATAATAAAGCTATAACCGTTATAATTTTTTACGTCGCGTAGCGTTAAGTAAAATTATAAAGTAAATTAATTAAGATTAATATTAAAATAATCTAAACTAATAAGCTTAATAAAAAATAGATTATAAATAATTAAAAGATTTTAATATTAAGTTCGATTATAAATACGACCTTTTATACTATAAAATAAAATATTTATTTTTTTTAATAATAAGATAAAGCTTTTAAAAACCGCTATCTCGCTATTTATCATAAAATTTTAAAAATTTCTTTAATAATAACTCGGACAATAATAAAAATTTATAACTTTTCTTATTAATAAAAAATTCTATAATAAATTTCCGTTTCCGAATAAAAGATATTAAATAGTTTAAATTTATAATTAAATATAATAATACTTATAATATAAAAATAAAAAATATAAAAATTATTTAAATTAATATCGATCGTTTTATTAACGCTTTTTAATAATACGTAAGGTAATCTCCTATTTATATAAAAACTATTATTTTTAACTTAAATAAATATTTATTAAAAACCGTAAATGAATAATATACTAACGATTTAAAAATATAATAATAAAAAGAATTTAAAAATATTAAATATAATCTCAAAACCTAGGCTCTTTTCTTTTATTAACGTTTTAAAATACCGAAAGCTATCGCTATATAATAACTTAACCGGCTATATTATAACTTAAAAAACGTTAAAAATAATAAAAAAATTAAATATTTCTTAACTAAAATTAATTAACTAATTTAAAACGTAGGATATTTATCTAACTATTTCTTAAAACTAATCTATAATAAAATAAATATTAACCTTATCGCCGGTAAACCTCGTCCGAATAAAACAATTAACTAAAACAAATAGTTTTAAAAAATAATAAATTATTAAAAAAAATAAAAACAAAACGTATACTAAAGATAAAAATCATAACTAAAAGCTAAAATTAATTTTTCTACCGGATCTAAAACCTAATATCCTAAATTTACTTATTTTTAACTATTAAAAGCTTTAAAAAAAACCGTAAATTAAATAAAAAACCCTTTTTATTAACTATAACCGTCCATAAATTAATTAAATTAATAAACATAACGGCCGTAATAAAAATCTCCCCGTTAATAAAAAAACTATTCGTAACCTTAAAAAAATAACTTAAATCGTTTAAAACGAAAATAACTTATTTATAAATATTAAAAAAAAGGAATATATATTATTTAAAACGTCTATATTTAAAACGAGGATGGTATAATTAATATAATTATTTAAAAATAAATATAAAACGAAGGTTTTTATATAATAAATATATTCTATATTAATTTATAAATAAACGTTATAAACTTATTAAGTTAAAACGATTTAATTATAAAAAACGAGGAGTTTAAAAAAATAAATATTTTTAACAACGTTATTATTTTATTAAATTATTAATATATTTTAAAATATAATAATATTTATTTCTTTTCTTTAAGCTATAAGTCCTATAATATCGTTTTAAATAAAAAAAAAATATTAATAAAATTATTATTTAATTTATTAAAATACGATTAAAATCGACTTATAACTAAAAATAATAAAAAGCTTATTATAATAAACCGCTAACTTATATATAATATTTTATAATTATATTTATATAAAAATTATAATTAACCTTAGCCTTTACGGCCTATAAAAATAAGCCTATATAAACTTAAAAGTAAGATAACTAATCATCTATAAAAATAATTTACTTTATATATTAAATTATATAATTAACCGTATTTTTAACTAACTTTTTACCGATATTAAATAAATAGAAAGCTTAAGATAAGTATTATTCGATTTATATATTATAAATTAAGTTAATAAAAAAATCGTTACTGTAAGATTATATTTCGAAGTTTAAATACTTAAGGATTTATAAATAAGAATCCTTATTAGCTAAAAGTTTAACGTCCTTAATTATATAAATATCTTTAATTTAAATAGAAAAATCCGTATCGAAAGCTATAATAATTTTAAAATATTAATAATAATTTTTACTAAACGATCCTTAAAAACTCACGTCGCTAAAGCAATATAAAACTAAACTATCCCGCCTTTTTTTAATACGTTTATATTAATACAAATAATAAAAAGTTTAAAATAAACTCGCTATTATTTAAACCTAATTATAATAATAAAATATACTACGTAATAAGTTATTTATTAATAATATATATCGAAAACTATTCGTTATACCCCTAAAAGTTTTATTATAATTAATAACTTAATTTTTTATAATAAATAAAAGCCGATATTAAAATCCGGCCTCCGTTTAATATTAACTATTTAACTAATACATTAATATTTCCTATAACCTATAACTTGACGCTAAACAAAAATATTTTTAATAAATACTTTAATTAAAATTTAAAAATAAGAATTAAATAAAATAAAGAAAAAGACTTTATTAAAATTTAAAAAAGCGTTATTATATTTAACTAAAATAAATAATTCGTATATTGAATAATAATAATCGTTTCCGAATTTCTTTTTATATAAAAACTTATTAAGCTTATACGAATTAGATTAAAAAAAATAATTATTCCGCTTATCTTAAATTATTATAAATATAAAATAAATTAATAAGTCTTTTTATAAAATATCGAAAACTAATAATTTATTAATAATAAAATAAACGATATATACGTAAAAAAACAAGCTAAATAAATTAAATTCTTTATACCGTTCGGAGCTCCCCTTTTTATAATATAAAAATAAATAAACGAAAAACGTAAAAAACGTATAATAATAAATCTTTAAACGCTTAATAAAATTATAATTCCGAACGCGTATTTATTATTATTATAATCCGAAGTTATAAAAAAAATTAAAAAAAAAGCTTTTATTATTAAAATCAATGT